AATACTATTGTCCATACATGCCCAATTGCATGCAACTGCCATATTTTCAGGAGTATCGAAGGACCTTCCCTACATACACCGACGTATCTGAAGCATCCATGATACATTACTTTTTAACTAAATCCTTTTATGCATCTGCTCAATATTCGGCTTTTCAATCATATGATGTTAACTTTCACTTAGGCTGGAGTAATAATTCAATGGGACTAGGATTTCTGACCGACTACAATCTGGAAAACTCATTAGGGCTACTAGGGGTCTCTAAACATATCCCTTTTTTTTGACCAATCCCGAAGCCTTCAAATCCTAGATACGTTTAAATTACTATTTTTACATTGTTTATTGCAAGCCTCAACCAAAGCTGAACCCATAAAAAATGTCTCTAAATCTCAACAAAGAAAAGGTTAAAAAGTTTTTATTTGTGGGTGGTCAAAACATTCGTCATCAGGGGTGCGGATATTTTCAAGGGTCACTTTAATTGACTACTTCCATGGTTCTTCCCCAGCTTCATCCACTATTAACTATCATGATTTATAATATCCTTTTTTGCGACAAGTCCTAGACCTAGAATGATTACTCTTCCCCGTCATCTCCTCTCGCTAGCCTTCTACACATCGCAATTTAATTATATCTTGCCATGCTCCTATTTGCGCACAATTCGCGCACTACCGTTTGCGGTCTCCCCACCACAATGCCTCTATCTACTATCCTCGGGCTACAAATATTTCCAACAAACTGTATAATATATTTCCATAGGCTAGAGAATGCAAGAATCGAACATCCATTAAAAACGCCCGGGCTGTAACAGCCTCGGCCTGCGGGGGTGCCGTTACCCGGATCGCATTGGAACGCCAAATTTTTACTATGGGCGATTTTTCAGCGGCCGACTTTCACTTTCATAAGCTGTTCATCCACATCTTCAAGTCACCCGATTTCTCTGCATCAAGCCAATTTCTTAGCATTTATCTGAACAACCTCTTTGCATCAATTCGCATCACCAAACCTCTTTATCATGCCTACCACCAACTCCAACTTTACCTCGCACTGGATGCGCTCCAACGAGACGTCGCGTGCGGACGCCGTTGCACAGAACGTCGCGGGCCGTCGCTATGCGATGGACGAGATGTTCGATGTGTGGCACATGCTCCAAGTACGCGGGCTTCGCACACACGCAGGTCTGGAAAACTACAAGGTCCAGACGCCTGCACCGATTCTCCACTTGGAGTTGCAGGAGGCAAACGTGCTAGACCGCCGGTACGAGTTCCAACCAGAAGATCCCTTGGGTGACTTGACGTCGCTGTTACAACAGTTGCAGTCGGAGACGTGGGTGCCTGCAACGGCGACCACGGGCGTGCCCGCGGCGTCGCCGTTTTTGTCGCGTGCAAGCTCCTTTATGCACACAGGTACACCCCCTCCATCCGCCCCGCCAGGCATCGCACTTGCTCCGGCCGCTACCCCAACTGCGACTACGCTTCTTGCCCCGCTGCAGATTAATTGGATCTACCTCGACCCCTCTGGCCTCGAGCAGGGGCCGTTTGACGGCACCCAGATGCACACCTGGTACACCGCCAACTACCTCGCTCCGGACTTGCGTATCCGCCGTGTCGAGGAGACGATGTACCAGCCGCTATCTGAGTTTGTACGCGCACTCGGTGTGTATGACACACCGTTCTTGACGCCATTGCCTCAACCGCAAGTTCTGTCCTCAAACTACTTTGGCCAAGACTTTGGTCTGAACTACTACCAGGGAATGGATATGTACGGGTACCAGTGGAAGTCACCTGTGCAGGCAGTGCAAACAGTGCAGGCAGTACAGCCGGTGCAACCGGTGCAGCCGATGTCGCCGTGGATGTCGCGTACAACGTCGACAACAGATTTTAGCTTGCGCTCGCAGTCACCGTTCGCACCGCAGATTGGGTTTCTGATGCCAAAGTCAGAGGTCCTCGAGGCAAGTGCCCAGGTGACGACTCCCATCCAGGAAAATGGACAGGCGAATGGCCAGGTGGCTGTCCCCTCGCCGACGAAGGCCTCATCTGCAGCTCCATCTCCGGAACAAAAGCCCAAGGAGGAAAAGAAGGTTTTCAAGGAGACCACCCCAGAAGTAGAAGCGTCGGTGGAAGTTGCTCCAGAAGTTTCCACGGAGATTCTTGCTGCGGCTCCAACTTCAGTAGCTCCTTGGGCCTCTGCCTCTACCAAGGACGCCGCCCCAAAGCTCAATCTCAAGGAAATCCAGGCCATCGAAGCCAAGAAGCTTCAGGAAAGCTTGCGTCTCCAGGAACAGGCGCGTGAACAACAGCGTCTCCTCCTTGCCTCGCGTATTCTCGCGGAAGGGGTCGAGCTTGAAAGCAGGCCAACGCTTCCAGCGACAGCCTCCTGGGCGTCCACCAGCAGCGCTCTGACGCAGACTCCAAAGAAGACCCTTGCAGAGATCCAGAAGGAGGAGGCAGAGGCTGCCAGAGTCAAGCAGGTGAAGCCAGTGGCCAAGCCAGACGCCAGTTTCTCGGCATTTGCCGCTGCTGCCGTGCCGGCTGACGGCGCCTGGACCGTTGTTGGGAAGAAGCCAAAGGCTGTACCAGCGACTACGGCGATTCCAGCGGCAAAGCCGGTGGCGGTTGCCGCTGCTGCCCCTAGGGTCGTTGCTGCTGCTGCTGCTCCAACGACAGTCGCGATCTCCACGCCACGCGAGGAGTTCCTCAGCTGGGCCCGCACCAATATTATCGGTTTGAACAGCGGTGTCAATAAAGAGGAGGTGTTAAACATGTTGCTCATGCTTCCAGCCGGTGCAGAATCTTCTGAGATTATTGCCGATACTATTTACTACAACTCTTCCACCATGGACGGCAGACGTTTTGCTTCCGAGTTCTTGAAGCGTCGTCGTGCGGTTGAGCAGACTAGCGCCAGTGCCAGCGACGGCTCCTGGAGCGACGCCTTGCGCAGTACCAAGGTTGTGACCGAGGATAACGACGGCTGGGGAGCCGCCTTTAAGGTGGTGTCCAAGAAGAAGGGCAAGCGCGTGGTGTAGAGAGAAGAAAAGAGCCGTGTAGAGTAGTGTATAAAAGAATAAACCGTTAAACCTGTATCTATGACAAATCCAAACCCCAAAGTAAATGTACATCCACATTCAATTGCTTTCGTAGTTTCTAATCTGTGTTAATGCTACTCGATTACAGTGTCTCGTTGGAGGGGGTTTAGTACGGTTAGTTATACCTCATTGCACGGATAACAGTCTTAAGTTTTGGAAAGGACTACATCACTTTCTGAGGATTGGTCGTTTTGTTTGACTTCAAACACTTTGAAACCAAGAAGCCACGAGACACAAAACTGCAAAGATTGCTATAATTGGAGGTTTCGGACACGGCTTTTTATTCTGTACTGAGGTTTCGGACAAGACCGGTTTATATTTGTAGGGATTCCAATTTGAGTGCTGATAACAGTGGAGAGAATGTCGTGAAGCAAGATTGACTCGGTTAGTGTAAACTGTCAAGCGTGAAAATATGAAACAACCACAAAATGTTACAAAGGTACACGTATTCCCGGTCTTTAACGGGAATCAATGAACCGTAATACACATGATGTTGCAAGGGAAAGGAAACCGTGGAATACTTCTCATAGAGGGGGTGTTGAATAGGAGCAGATGCGGCTATCGGTTGGACATATGAGCTTTGAGGTTAAAGTCTTCAAATTTTGAGGTGCAATTTGGAAAAAGAGAATGTAATAGGACCAGAAAGCCAGTACGTGAGAGTAACACGGGTTATATTAATGCATAAGCAGATATTAATAAAGGTATAATCATAATAGGGTACCGTTATCTGAAAATGGAGTTGAGATATGATGAGCGTGTAGACCATTATGGAGCGGATCCGAAATTTAAGGCGTTCAGGAGCTGAAAACAAGCCAACATCCCCAAACATCAACCGCAGAAAAGCCTAAAACATACAGGGTACAAACTAGCAAGTTTTACCCACATGTGCTGTCACTAATTTAACCAGAACCATTCCAGACCTGGCAAGCGCATGCGTGTGCGCACTCGAGCTTGGATGCTAAAACCAAACCACCGATATTCCAGTCATTAAAGTTCCGATGCTTGCTAAGCCCATGCAGAATTTCAAAGGTGTTGTCGATTTTAGTATCTAGATCAAGTTTCAAGTCCTAGTTGCAGTTAGAAAGTTCTAGCACTGCACGTCTAATGCACCCTGAGCAGTACACAACTAAACAAAACATTTCCAATACCTTTGGCTTGGTTTGAGTAATTTACATCTCGTTTTTCAGCTTCTACCAACGCTTACCTGGCGACCCAGATAGATCGCGAACTAGTATGTGAACTGCAGATGTAGGGCCGAGATTGTAATTCACACATGTCACGTAGCACTTTTGTATGTAACGGAGAAACCTTCGTATTGACACAATGTACGTGCATTGTTACGAATTGAGCATCTGAAACAATACGTCAAGCTCTTGTCCGACGCAGATCTCTTTCAGATCGTGGTAGAAAGGTTTTGCATGATGTATCGTGGACGTTACATATGTGTATTAACCGGGCAACATGCAACATAGCTGCATCCCGCGCATTTGAGGTGTTGCACTAATTTAGTGCAACCAACCCTGGTCACACATACACTTGACACTGATACCTCAGATATCGTGTTAGCTGGACACCAGCCACCGAAAATCACTAGACATTATTCCCATACGAAGCACGAAATCATTAGTACGGTGTGGTATGTATACATAAACCCTAGCCATAGGTGACCTGCATCTATAGGACTTGTATCTATGTGAATTGCATTTATGTGAATTGCATCTATATGACTTGTAGATACAAACGCTACTGTTCCAGAAACCAATACTTTGTAATTATTTTTTCCACTAGAGCATGGAGAGATATTGCTGCTATATCCTCGAGTTTACTATCTCTCGCCGCCAGAAGGTATTCGGGGCTAGCTTAATATCTTTTAATTACGAAATACTGAAAATCCCAGGCAGTGTTTGCTTTCCGCATACCCTATCAAATCTACGTTATAGGAGCTATTCAATATATGATGTAGGAACGATTTCATATTCTGCGAGATTTTGAAAGACTTCTATAGGTCAAGTCGAGATACAACCATGTGTGTCTACAGTTTCTGGTTACTCAGATAGTCATTATTCACTACTTGGTGTACACCCTGAACTCAGAGATGATCGCCTCTTTCGATACACCGTACTCCACCTCTCCATAATACCTCGACAAGATGAAGTTTAAGCGCTTGAATGTTGAAATACACTGGTTCTGCAACGAGAGCCAGATACGGTCTCGAACACGGTTTTCAAACTCGCTGTTTTCAACAATAAAGTGCTTCTCCAATTTCTTGTGAAGCATTTCGATTTTGAGGCGCAACTCCTTCAAGTCGAAACTAGCCAATAGCTTTTTTGTTGCCGCCTTGTTATACACGCTGCTTTTGGAGAGATTAATCGCGATACTATCCTTGGTCAACGATTCAATACTTTCAACAAACTCAATCAACTTTCCAAATGGTATGGCCATGATAGAATCAATATACTCCACCGTTTCCCTCTGCAAGAGCTGGTTAAACTCACTTTGCATCGTCAACAAGGATTCGTTGTCGTGGGTGCCCGACTCATCCACCAAATAGTTAAGATTGATGATCATGTTGATCATAGCATGGGTCCTTTCCTTGTTAGAATGGTGAGTATCCTGACTGGGATTGGCCTTGACCAAGGCGTTCTTGATGGATTCCCCAAGCTCCAGGTAAGAGTGGTCCAACATGGCCCGCGTTGGAGAGTCGCTGGAGGCTGCAGGGTCCAAGCTCAGAACCGACATGAGTGCATGCTCGGTGCTATCCACAAACTGAAGAAACTCCTTGATGATCGGGGAAACTCCAGAGCGCTTGCCGAACGTCACCTTTGCCAACCCCTTCATCTTCTCGTTGACCGCCTTCAACCATGTAATTTTAAATTTCTCTGCCAGTCTGTACAAGAACTTCGACAAGAATTCCTGGTTAGTTTGCTCGTACTTCTTCTGAATGCGCTCGGTCGTAAGCAACAAGGCAGGCAAGCTAGATACGGGCGGCGAAGCGATCTTCAAAAAGGTGTGCATGTGTTCGTTGAACAAGTTGTTCATAGAATTGAACAACGTCGCAGCAAATTGTCTGTTGGCCTCGATAAGGAAGAACGGCCGGTCGAGCATTTCCTTCCTGCGGTCAATAGGGTTATCCTCAATGTACTCGGGGTACTCGCCACTGGCAGAGGAGAGGTGAAAGAACTTGAGCTGGAAGTCCTGTTGGGTAATGATAAGGTCACGGAACTCTTCAATGAACGCAATGATAGTGGAGGTGGGATCTGTGCCAACCTTCGCCGTGCTAGGAACCGCGGAAACACGTTTGGAACCCGAGAAGTGCGAGACTTCTGCCAACCCCAACTTTTCCTTGAGTTTGTTCTCATTGAACTTTATGGATTTGGTGCGGCTAGCCTCCACGGTAACGGGAATATCCTTAACAGACATGTCCATGCTGGTCTGGATCCATGCAATCTTTTCCCCCAAGAGGGCGTTATAGAAAGGCGCGATACTGGTTTCAAAGTAAGCAAGCAAGGCGGAGTAAACCTCCGGGGCAATTTCCTTGACAAACAACAAAATCGCAGAGTATTTCAACAACCTGGAGAAATACGAAAGTAGATCCGCAATAGTGATGGCGTTTTCATGACTAGTAATCCGTTTGACCAAGCTCTTGATTCTACCTTCCAAGAAGAGCTTTACACTCTGGGAAAAGTCCCGGGTAATGCCCTCGAAGGTTTCACGGTGCTGCTTCAATGCTTTCATGTCACTCAAATCAAGCTTTTCCTTACTAAATACCACTGTTTGCAACGCCGAGTAGAATGCAACCAATGTGAGCTCGATGTCCTGGAGCTCATGGGCAAAGTCGGCTCGCTGCAACACCTTCATGTCTTGCTCCTTGATGGTGACCTTTTCCAATATTTCCTTCAATTCGGCGTACAAAACCTTCTTGTTGATGGTTTCTACCTGCAAACCCTGAGACTCGTTCTCGATCGCGTGGATATCGTGCTCGATCATCTTCAAATCGATCTGAAAGTTTTTGAAGTAGGCTCCCAAGTTATCTACCTCACCAATAACCAAGTCCACGTAGTTGTCCAACTTCTTGAGGTCCAGGTTCATCCCCAAGAGGTCATTGGCGCTATGATACTTCATGCTGTTGATCTGGTTCTGAAGCTTCTTGATCAACTCGTCGGAGGAGTCGTTCATGTTCCAGTTGACCATATCGAGGATGTCCTCGAGTTCGTTGTTGGTATCTGGTTGATATTCTTCTAGCGCAAGAGAGTTTTGGGGCACGTCCAAAGCTTCCGAAGTGACACCGAGAGTGCCATTACCCAAAGCACCGCCCTGAAGAGATGCCTGCAAATCGCCATCTTCCGCAGAGTTCAAATCGACGTCTTTACCAAGTGGAGGCAACTCTTTGGTGCTAAGAGAAGTCTTTGAATAATCGTCGTTATCAAGGGAAGCGTTCAAGTCAAAGTCTTCGTTAAGTGGAGCACTCGCATTATTGAGCGAAGCATGTAACCCCTTACCGTTTAAAACTTCCTTGGGCTCTTTCCCGAAACCTGGTACTGGCTCACCGTAGACCGGCTTAGGATCAGGCCGAGAAATTTCTTCAGTATCACTGCCTGGAAGGAGTTCCATGATCTCCCTTTCTATCATCTCCTTTTCCGAAAGCGTGGGTAACAAACCACCAAATGAGTTATCCAGGGCGGGCTCCATCGAGACAGGCGCAACGGTTTTGAAGGAAATCGGGTTTACTTCAATCGCCGGCTCTAAGACGCCAATCTCGCGGCGAAGATTCAACGCCTTCTCCTCCATGAATGAGTGAGGTTCGTAGTACGAAGTCTCGTTCTCCTTGTCGATGACTGCATTTCCGCGCGTGTACACCGGCGAGGAGGTGGCGGACAAGCCCCGGAAGGGGTGGTTGGGGGCAGATTCCCTCAGGTGGAGGGAGACAGAGGTCGGTGTGGTACTCTCCTTGCTCTGTAAGCGCGCAGCATTGCGCTCAGGATAGGAAGGTGACGCGCGACGGAGCAGCTGCGATGCCAACGAGGAATTTATCAGAGCGCCGGAGGTATTTCCAAGCTTATCTATGCTAGGGGCGGATACTCTTCCGGGCTCGCCGGGATCTAGCATGGATCTACTTGTTCTGGGGTCCGGTCTTTCGTTCAGGCCAAACAGGGATCTACCTGTATTCCCAGTGACCATCCCCCTCTCTGGTTTCCCAGCATCTAACATGGACCTAGGTTTCCCAGCATCTAACATGGACCTAGGTTTCCCAGCATCTAGCATGGACCTTGACTTTCCATCGAGTGTGGACCTCTCCGACTTTGACCGTTGCTTTACATCGGTCTCGACCCTGCCAGGGGTCCGGTCTACGATCATTTCCACCATAGGCTTCATAGGTAATGTTCCGTTGACGGTGAAGTCAATACCGCCGTAGAGCGCGCCTGGGGTTTTTGGACTCCCAGGCTGGGTGGGTTTCTTTTTTAACTGCACCTCCTCCTTTGCCCGTCTGACTGTGGGTTCCCTGACGGGTGCGGTACTTCCCAGGACGACATATTTCCCCTTGTCGACGGACTTTTCGGCAGTACCGGGTCTAAGTGTCTCGAGGTGAAATGTAGCCAAGTCCCAGCCTTTGAGTTCAGGTATGCGCCCGCCAGTATACTTCATATAGTTCTGGATAATTGTCTTACAAAACACCATACGTTCCAACGGCGAGTTCGTCTCCCAGTAGTAGGTTTTACCAATGGTCATCTGGAAGCCAGAAAAGCTGTCCAGCTTCGTAATCTGCTTGAGTTCCTCCAAGTCCCACGTGCGGCCAATTTGGAACGTGCCATCATCGTTCTGGCGGCCTTTGTGGATGTGTACGCGCCCGGACTTTTTGACGCCAAGCACCAACACGCGTTGCTTCTTGTTCTTTGCTGCCGACGTTGCGGGCGGCACATCGTACGGGTAATGTGAATCTTCAATGATTCGTACGTGGGTGATGTATGACTCGTGGAGGTTTCCCAGGCCATCACGGCCTGAGAAGCAGTACTTGATGAGCGAGGCTTTGTCCGTTTCGTACTGACGCGCGAGGTCTGCTGAGGGAGCTTGGTTCAGGGTGGGTGACTCGTTGAGCAGCAGATTTTGGATCGGCGAGGAAGGAGAGCTCTTCTTGCCAATTCCTTTGAGCCGGCGGCTCATTTGCGAGGGAGAGAGCATTATTGGGTGTGGCCAAGGAGTTAAATAGGATTTGGCGCGAGTTGGTTATTTATTAGTCGCGAAGCTGTAAAGCAGTGTGGTTATGAGCGATGGGATGATCATCTGCGTGAGTCGAAGACGAGCAAGTATTCTTCGTGGAGTTCGGCAGAAATGTTTCAATAAAGGATAGTCTTGGGAGAAAGAAAGTCGGATTTAATTTTACCGTTTAAAAGTGTGTACCACTATTTGTATAGGTTAAACACAGAAGAATGGCGTCCTTAGTGAGCCAATATATACTCCTCGATACTGGTGCTTGGACCTCGATAAAAGATGAAAGAGTAGGAGATCAGAAGTGTCTCACCAATGGTGGGGTATACCATAATTATATTAGTGCAATGGGGGGGGATTTTTGATGTCCCAGGATTCTAAAGAGTAGACCTGTAAAATTTCAAGGGTGTGAGCGATACTGGGTTTCGGAGGACTCTGAAAAGGGACAATGGGTGTGAGTATGTATTACGAGTGGGCATTGATTTGTGATCTGCTTCTATTTCAGTGGGGAAATGGTTGCCTAAAGTTAACAGAGATTAATATTTGATCTCTATCGATAGAATATAAAGCTATTTGTGAGTAATTTATACCAAAATTGAAAGACGGATAATAATAGGGGCAGTTAGAGAATGATAGTGGATTAGCAGGTGCCGTGAAATAGCTCGTGTAACGATACGAGAATCATTAGGTTTCGCAGAAAGATACGGAAACCTGTCACTGATATTTTCTATAGAAATTCCGGGCGTTTCAATGCTAGAGGTTGATATAAATTCTGGTTGGAAAGGTCTTGATTAGAAAGGCAAGGGGGCAATCTTTGGAAACTGCCGGGTCCCAATACTTTCAATCCTGCTCCAGATGTGTGGTAATAAACAATAAGTATCAAGAGGGGATACGGGCTCATTACAGGATTATTATTTAAACAAAAGACGGTCGTGAAAATATCGAATACACTGGAGTCAATACGTCGGTACAATACTCCGAGTTGGAACCTTTGGGGCAATCATGCCAAAAGACAGGTTTCCTAATAATTCACCCTGGTGTCCCGTTACATTACTGTCGGCCTTTAACTAGTACGTTCGTTTGGGAAAAAAGTTAACCATTGAATCACTCCTTTGAGCATCTAAAACGTTGAAACTCCAACCCATATCTTCGGTCCGCCAGTGTTTTACACATATTTCACTGTACGTTTATTAAACAACTAAGGCCATAACTACTACGGCTATAACTCAGCAGCGGTTGCGGTGGCAGTCGCATGCAACCCATTCCACAACTTGTTCAATTCGACACCTCTGTCGTCCAAAACGTTCAATCTCCTTCTCAATGCCTCGTTGAAACAGATTTCCTGGACGATCGGGAAGAAGGTGGTGGCCCAGCCCTGCTGGATCGATTCAGCCTCCATGGCAACTTCCTTCAATTCCTCCTCTTGCAACCTGCTGTGGATCTCAAAGTTCTTGAAGAGCTCATCGCCAATGGAGCCCTGCTGATAGAGGGCCAGAAAGTGCGGTGTAATTTCTCTCAACTTTAAAGTTCTTCTGATGGACTCGGCGCCACGTCTCATCAACGCCGCCTTCAACACCTTATCATTCACCTTTTGTTCCAGTTGCTTCAAGTCAAGGTACATGCGCTTGCTTAAGTTCTCTGTAAAGATCGAATCCATCTGGCTCAACTTGGCGACTTTCTTCGCCCGGTATCTAACGGAGAAAATCACAAAGGCTGTGAGCAAAATCCCCACATAGATCAACGGCGTGAAGATGGAGACCTTGATTTGTTCGGGTGGTACTTCTTCGGACATGGTGAACGGATAGTTGTATGTAGTGGAGAGCAGGAGAGAGGCAACAACGTTGAAATAGATGCCAGCTAAAATGGACAGCTCACGGGTCATGTGATGCACCGCCACGATTTTCAGTGTTCACCGCCACACCATCTGTTTGGGATATCAGCCACAAATAGCTAGTGACCTAGTGAACTCGAGCAAAGGTTTATTCTAGTATGTTGTATAGGGTTCAAAACTACAAATGGGTTGAATCTTTCAAGGATCTGTCACCTGTGCAGTGTATGCTATGTCGGTTTCGCCGGTGTAGTACAAGAGCTCTCCTCAAAGCTCAAGGAACTCGAAACAGCTTATAGAACTACTCAGTGCTGTCAACGGGCGGGGATACCTGGCCTGACACCATGAAGGTGTTTCAGACATTACTATTAAATAGATTTATTGACCATTGTAAGATTCAAAGGTTGTAGAGATTGAGGTACTTTCAGCCGCCTCTATATATACGACTTGACGTAAAGTATCCGTGCCCTGCCTGAAAGATCTGCTTTCTCAGAAAATTCGCCTTTAAATGCGACTCTTATTGGAGCCAACTAGTCCCCAACGCTTGAACAACGCGTAGCCGCCACCTCGATATTTCGTCGTTCGCGAAGGTGTGTTCCCATGAGGCAAAAATTCGGAATATTAACCATTGTAACCAAAGAAGTCTCTGTCACTTGATGTTATAAGGCGTCTTTGGAAATGCAAAACGCGCTTGATATATCCCGCACTAGCACCATCCAAAACTCCATCCATCCTTACAAACCGACTCTTTTTCAAAACCACGCCATAAAGTCACGAGAGAAAATAAAAATCGGTGGTATAAATTTTAATGAAAATACCCGGCGGTTGCCCAACTCCAATATTCAAACACAGTGGCAAAGCGCCGAGGTAACGCCCACCAGCCCTCACGCGTTGTTTTCGTTTCATATCTGCAGGACGCGTCAGAAGTTTCACCATCTCCACGGGACACAATCTACACAAAAGGCACTCAGAACCTATAGCCCTTATCCCCTAGGGCTACTATTCAATAATAAGCTGTCCGAAGTTATAGAAGCCTGAACAGACCCCATACGTTATCTAAACCATGACAGAGGTAACCGGAAACCTGAAAGCTTCCGCCTTTGGCGCCTCCGCCTTCGACGACGCCTTCGACCACGATTCCGACTCGTTTGACGACTCTGAAATTCTCCAGGAGCTTGCTATAAAAGACCAAACCAGTCTAAACCGCCAGATTCACACCACAACTATTCATCTCCCCAAGCAATCCACGCTCGGTGGCGGGATTGTGCCCGGCCTGTACGAAGAGATCCGCACCACCATCTCGTATGGTCCGACCCATCACCAGTTCGACTATCAGGCCCTCCAGAGCTACATCTACCCGATGAACTTGGAGCTCCGTGATTACCAGTTCAACATTGTCCGCCACACCTTCTACAAGAACTTGCTCTGCGCATTACCGACCGGTCTCGGGAAGACCTTCATCGCGTCCACGGTGATGCTCAACTACTACCGTTGGGTTCCACAGGGCAAAATTATCTTTATGGCGCCCACCAGGCCACTCGTGGCGCAGCAAATCAAGGCATTTTGCGGAATCACCGGAATTCCGCCCTCGGATGCCGCGGTATTACTCGACAAGACCAAGCGCAACCGAGAGGAGATCTGGCGAGACAAGCGCGTCTTCTTCACCACTCCACAGGTGGTGGAAAATGACTTGGCCCACGGATCGATTAACCCCAAGGATATCTGTCTCTTGGTGATCGATGAGGCTCATCGGTCGAGGGGAAACTACGCGTACCACAACGTGGTGAAATTCATCAATCGGTTCAACCATTCCTACCGCTTGCTTGCATTGACGGCCACGCCCGCTGCGGATGTAGAGGGTGTTCAAGAAATTGTGGACAACTTGGGGATTTCCAAAATCGAGGTCAGAACCGAAGAAAGTATGGATATCAAAAAGTACATGATGGAGAAGGAGGTGGAACGGATTAGGGTGGTCAACACCGATGAGATGGAGGAGCTTATTGACTTACTCGCAGAGGCCGCGGCGCCGCTTCTAGACATCGCCAATGCTGCTCATGTCTACGATATCACGGACCCACGGCGGATTAACGCCTTCATGGCGATGGATTCCATCAGGAGACTCTCGGCCGACCGCACGCTCGGGCCTGCCAAATTTGCCCATCTCCCGGTGCTCAGAGTGCTTTTTATCGTGGGGCATGCTTTAGGGAGGATCAAAATGTACGGGATTCGGCCCTTTTATGCGTATTTCAAGGAGAAATACGCGGAATTTTCCGCCAAGGCAAAGTCGAACCGGTCGGCCAAAACGACGAATGAGGGGATTTTCTACACCCACGAGGCAATTCCACGGATTCTTGCGCGCTGTGAGGAGCTCGTGGAGACCCCCATGTTTATGGGCCATCCCAAACTCGACCACACGATTGATGAGCTCATGGGATTCTTTAAGCAAGCACTGCCAGACTCCAAGGTGATTATTTTTACCGAATTTAGGGAATCCGCGTTGGATATTGTCCGTGCGATTGAGCTGGTGGGGAGAAACGCAGAAGCTGTCACAAGAGCCCTGGGAACTCCTCTGGAAAGTGCTATTCAAGATGACTTGAGGTCGCACATTTTCATTGGCCAGGCACCGGAAAAGGACAAATTCGACGAGGCAAAGTACTTGGAAAAGAAGAAGAAATCTTCGAAAAAGCTAAAACACTTCAACCCTGACGAGGAACTAGGCGATGAGGTGGCGCCCAAGCCCAAAAGAGCTCCAAAGAAAAAGGACTCTGACAACCGGTCGATGTCGCGACTCGAAAGCTCCTACGATGCAAATCTGAAGGGGATGAGCCAGAAAATGCAGAAGGAGTTGATTCGGAAGTTCAAGGCAGGAGAGTACAACATTTTGGTGGCAACTTCGATTGGTGAGGAGGGGCTCGATATTGGAGAGGTCGACATGATCATCTGCTATGATTCAACCCGCTCGCCTATTAAGAACGTCCAGCGGATGGGGCGTACGGGGCGTAAGCGGAACGGGAAGGTGGTTTTACTTTTTGCGGGGAACGAGGAGTCCAAGTTCGACGCTGCCATGGCTGGGTATGAGTATATCCAGAATCATATTGTGAGCAGCAACGTGATCCAGCTCAAGCCCAGCGATAGAATTATCCCCAATGGCCATGAGCCTGTTTGTGAGAAGCGGTTCATCGAGCTTCCTCAGGAAAGCGTAGAGATCGCCAACGCAGCGGAGGATGAGGACGAAATATTAAAGATTGCCATGGCGTACATGATGCCCAAACCAAAGAAAGGAAAGAAGGGAAAAGCTGAGCCGGCAAAAAAATCGGTTAAACAATTTTTCATGCCCGACAATGTGGATACCGGGTTCAAAAGCGCCTCCAAGCTTGTGCAGAAAGTAGAGCCTCAGGTTGAGGCTGATGAGAATACCAGCTATGTGAGCTTTGATAGCTTTATTAAAGAGAAGGAGGCAGGGTCAGACCTTTTGAAGCGGCCATTCAACATCCTCGATGGTCTTTCGGATGAGGAAGATTTGAATCAAAGCCCGGGGAAGCGGAAGCTTGTGTCTCCGGTGGAAGAATCTCTCAATCTTCTGAATGGTCTGAATGTCCTTCCTGCTTCATCGCCTAATATTCCTGTTTCACCTAATGACCCTCATATCGCAACACCTAAGAATACCTCACACGTTTCATCATCTAAACCCGCCGTCACCGACTCAGTTAAGCCCAAGAAGACTGGCGCATCGCTTGGCCCCAAAAAGGCGCCAACTGGACCCAACGTGCTTGAATCTCTCCGCATGGCGAATAAGCTAAGGGTGGTGCGACCGACAGACGTCCCTGTGATTCAGAATCCCCATAACACCTCCATTGATGACCCGATGGTTATCGACGATGAAGAGGAATTTATTCAACCCGGTAACACGGAATATGGCGTGTCGATTAACTTGTCAGACTCTGACGACGACGAGCTCGCTGCCATGCTTCAAAGCCGGATCGGCAGTGCCGTGAAGGCTACAAGCTTTATCGAGGGCGTTGAGAAACTGCCAGTGAAACCTGCTGGGTTTGACGAGTTTGATGATAGCTTTGATGAGTGGGAGGCCCCAGTAGAGGCGGCCAAAGTAGTCTCCCCCGTGAATGTGCCCGAAATCCTACCAATGGCCAGTAAACCAGGGCTGACGCTGAAACGTGAGACCTATTCCCAGGACGCGCTCTTCGATATCGACGGTACCAGATCAAAACTAGCACTCACAAAGGCCGAATCCACGGATTTGTTCACCAATTACTATTACGACCTCGAGCCGGAGGAGGTGATTGACTATTTGACCCCGAATATCAGTGCCAGAAAGGATATCGACGTGGTGAATATCCCGCACCGAAGCGCCACCGCGCGCTACATCGCCTGGACAAAGGCTGCACGGAGTAGAACAGCGCACCAGACACAAGAGTGGGAAAATTCAGATAAATCTCACTTGCTGTTTGGTCATAATAACGGTAATGTGGTTGTTGAATAGTTTACTCTTTCCTTGATGTATAATCCAATAACTGCGATGTATCGAAGTATTGGTATCGTATGTAGCACCAGTCTTGCGTTTTGCATGCCACACTTACCAGAAGACTTCTATAAATTGTAAAATATCTGGTAAATAATCTATCAGCATTAATATTATTTTATATCTGACATATTTCTGAGCCACATTATTTTTGAATATAGGTTCCTCTCTAGCCAGCCACCTGTGCCCTGACATGCAGACCCACTTTTCCGAGAATTACCCGGATTTCCCCCAACTATATAAATGCCTCGCCGCCCGGTTTTTTTCCACGCCGCTCTTTTCCCTTTTCTTCCTTATCCATCTTTATGCATGGGCATTACGTATATCAGTGAGGATTCGTCCGAGATTATGTTTTTGCTGGTTGAAAACTTTCACCATGACAACTCCTGTTTGTAGCCTTCGGGCGAACGCTCAGGGAATTTTTGGAAACCTATCATACAACTCTTGCTTGCAAGGGTCCCAGTACAGCACCCTGTGTCTGACAACTCTTTTACGGTGAATGGAGTACGGTTACACGTTCACTGCAAAAGAATTGACAGCCGTAAGAAATTTCAAGAGTAATGTAATTGTTTGTCATATATCTCTATGTTGTAGGACTTGCCGTGGCTTTCGGTGTCAACTTCAATTATCCTGCTTAGACTGAAAAAAAATACTAGGCAATTTTTCAGCAGCGCACGCAGATTCGATATCGGCAGAGATAAAACACCCGCCACATTCCTTCTCTCCGCTTCTTACCTTTAAATTATCCCAACATGTTTAAAAAGTAAGTCCCCTTTCTATTGATACACCGTTCTAACTAACCTCTAGGTTTACAAAGGAAGACATCCATTCCCGCTCCAACATCAAGTCGTCGGTGCAAAGACAGCTCAAAAGCAAGTTTGCAGCGCAATTCCCAGACATTGAGGCTGTGATCGACGATATTGTGCCGAAGAAGTCGCAGGCCGTTTTGGTCAAGTGTGAAGACAAGATCCAGTTGTACGCTGTAGAAAATGAGGTTGTCTACTTCCAGCAGTTCGACGTCTTGATACCGTCCCTCAAGATTGTCCACAAATATCCAACCGCTTTCCCACGCGTTCAAGTTGACAGAGGCGCCATCAAGTTCGTGTTGAGTGGTGCCAATATTATGTGTCCCGGATTGACCAGCAAGGGTGCGCAGTTACCGGAGGAGTCCTTGTCTACCGATACCTTGGTGGCTGTCTTTGCCGAGGGTAAGGAGCACGCCTTGGCCATCGGGAAGTTGATCATGAGCACTGACGATATTAGGAGCATCAACAAGGGTATCGGCATTGAATTGTTACATTACTTGGGTGACGGCTTGTGGAATTTGCACTTAGATTAGAACCCCCATATTGTACATTAGTTTAATCTAAGGACCAACGGTATGCAATCACGTTAGGATGATTTACGCGAATGGATTAAAGTAAATAGCTGTTATGATTCAAAGGTTGTGGCGTTCCCAAATCATGTCAAAGCCAGATGCCTACGTGCTAGTAGGTAGAAGGGGTATATTGTGTTAGCGAATGCCGCTTTATTATGCTGCGGCCGTAAAATAACCAGAAAGCCCCGTAGTCTGGGTAGATGGAGGTCACTCCTGACAAATCTCAACACACACACTTGGATGCTTGTCAAGCCCCCAGCTTCCCAAGGCTTTGAACCACTCGTCAAGCTCCATGCGCTTGACGGAGCTGGTGTTGTTTCTGGTATTTTTGAGTTGAAGACTGTAGAAAAGTTTGAACCCAAACACCGATAGGCCAGTTTCGGCGCTGATGTAGCCTTTCAACCGTAGAACGTTCTGACTCTGAAACATCTTCTTTTTGAGGATCCTTTCGCTAGCACCGGCGATGCTTGGGAGGCGGATCAGGAAGTTTATGAGGCTCTTATTCATATGGGGCTGCTCTACAGTGTCAGGCTGGGTTCCTAACTGGCTTGAATCAAGCGAATACTTGGCACACAATTCGTGGAATCGTCCACCGGTCATATCAAAATCGGGAATCTTGTTCTGTTTTAGTTGCGAGACAAACCAAAACTCAGCATTTTCCATTTCGTCTGACGATACACGTGTCCCGTCCACCGCCAACTGGTTCGCATCGAAGAACCCAAGTCTGCCTAGGAGGTGGAGGTGGTAGGTTTCGGCCAAATCGCAGAGAGGGTTGTCGTTTAGTCTGAGGGAGTGCAACCGGGGAAACTTTAATGGAAGCTGATCCACTTCGGCCCAGCTGCTAATCTGATTTCCCCGGAGATCCAAGGAGTCTAAAGGACATCCATCCGGGACTTTAAGTTGGGTGATCTGGGAGATGTTGTTACCGGATAGATCGATGCTCGCTAGCTGTGGGTTGAGGTGTGTGAAGTCAACATGAACTAGCTCGTTGAACGAGAGGGAGAGGCTCTCAAGGCTTGACCCTCGGAAGTCAATGGACCTGAATTGCTCGTCGGAAATTCCGTTTGATGATAACACAAGGTGTTTTAGAGATTTATGAGTTCGGATAGTGTAGTTGATATGGTTAACCGAAACTCTTGTAGCAGCAAGGAATAGATTTTCCAAAACAGCCACCAGAGATTTCTTCGCAGAGGGGATACTTAGGGATGACAGGGGAGGCACCATCTCAATGGAGCCTTTACCTCCAAATACATTTCCGTTGAGATTGAGTGTTCGGAGGTTCTTGAGTCCCGCGACAGAACCCAACACACCCCCCAAATCGGTAAATAAGTTGTAGCTCAAATCCAAGGTTTCGGCGTTGGGTACAATCTGGGATAGATCTCCGATGGAGTGAATCTGCATGCCATTGAGCGAAACTGTAGTGAGATTCTCGTGATGGGCCTGGATCAGTGATAATTTCCCAAATCCCAACTTTTCCACCACCTTGGTGCCGAACCTGATCTCTGCATCTTCGCCGACTTGGCCCGGCGCGCGGTACGTGCGATCTAACGCCTCCTGGAAGTTCGTTCGCGTGAGAATTTTCTTGTTGCTGCTTTTGATAAACGAACCTGAAGTCGGATTAGCGGCAGAGAAGTAGTAAATGCCATTGATACTCCCATCGTTTTTTCCACGAAGCGGATCATCCCACTCGATCCCGTAGGCTGTGACATTCGGCCAGTCAGGAATTTCCCCCACGAATCGCACGGTGGCGGTGTGCAGTAGCAGCGCAGCATATCCGCTAGCCTTAGGTGTTTCAGCAATGGATATGCGATCGCCTATCTGATATGGAATCATGTTTGCGGAGATGAGTGTGATATAGGTCGAGATGAGTGAGGGTATCTGATATAAAAAGCCGCAGGTGGACCATGCAGGTTAGCCTGCAGGCTGCTAATCCATTCCATGGATTATGAAATATAGGTATAGTCAAGTATCTAGGCAAATGCCGGACTAAAGGCTGATAAGATAATCTAGGGGAGATATTTGCGTTCGTTACAAATGGATGTATAACACTGATCTAAAGTTGTATTATTTTACAGTCCATCAAAGTTCATGAGATATCCCTCTGTGATATACTAATTGCCCTAATATAAAATAATTTAATTAATCTTTTATTCTTAATCTATTGCCTGAAACTTTTCATCTTAACTTTCAATTGATGGTTATGTATATTAAACAGGAACCTTACGTAGTGATACAACTTCTACATATACAAGCAAGATACAATACAAATTTATGCGAAATATACTCGATGTGAACGAAATAAAAGTAATATACATACGGAGTCCACCCGACTCACAGGAACAAGCTTCGAAAAGCTCCGCTGAAGTTTGCTCTCCTTGCCTAGTCAAAAGCACCACTCAACAATCCATCCAAGTCAAACTCCTTGGACCACTCAGCCACAATGGTAGTCTGAGCAGCGGTCGCCTGCTGCACTGGAGCGGACTTCTTCACTTCAACAGCCACGTCAGCAACCTTGGAATTCTTCGGAATGGTCCAGGAAGAAATTCTTCCGTCCCTCCAGTCGGTCAAAATCAACATGGCAGCGGCCTCCAAGTTTGGAATCCCGCCTCTGCCTAATCTCCCGGCCTTGCGGGAGACGTGAATTAACACCTGCTTGGTGAACTCGTCAACGTCGCTGGAGCTGATTGGTGGCAAGCTGTAGTACTTCTTGAAGGCGTCGGCCATTGAGGTGTCCTTGGACAACTTTTTGATCAACAACTGGACCGCTGGGAGCGGGTCAGAGATGGCCTTTGGTGGGATCGCAGACAACAAGGCTAACTTGGCTTCTTGCTGGGACTTGGTCTGCTTGGAGGATGGGAACACGATACCTGGGGAGTCCAAAACCTTCAACTTGTTGTCAATCTTGACTTCTCTCAAGGAGGTGGTGACACCGGCCTTGTTACCGGTAGGACAGGCCTGGCCGTTCTTTCCGTGTCTGGAGGTCAAGGCATTGATGATGGAAGACTTACCGACATTAGGGTAACCAATGACACCGACAATGATGGATCTCTTCAAGTTAGACTTGGCAGCGTAGGACTTCAACGCCTTCAACAAGGCACCGGAGGTGACGGCCTGGGTCATGCCCTTGTTATAAGAAGTGGTTGGGTTTGACATGTTGGAAGTTGCCTTCAATGGGAGGGTAGGGAAGGAAGACTTGAGGAAGTCCAACCATTGCTTGAGCACATCGGCTGGCACCAAATCAATCTTATTCAAAATCAAGATCAATCTCTTGCCTTGTGCTTGCAAAACAGCTTCTTCGACCTGCTTGGATCTGGTGGCCTCTGGGTCACGAGCATCGAGCACGTATAAAATGACGTCGGCCGCCTCAATGACGGTCTTGAAGATCTTGTCGTAGGCCTTGCGCGACTTGTCCACATCACCAGCATCCACCTCAGCGTCGGAAATGTCGTACTCAACATCCTCCTCCTCAGACATCTCCTCATCGTCAGACTCCTCACCCTCGTAGTCCTTAGCAGCAGCCTGTGCTGATTCTAACAACGCAGACAATGGATTGGACTCGGCATCGACAAAGTCCTCCTCGTCGGAGTCAACAAGCATCTCGCCTCTGGCAGCAGCCTCGGCGCGGGCCTGGGTTCTAGCGGCACGTTGCTCCTGTTTTCTTTCAAGCTCCTCTCTTCTCTTATCCTCAATCTGGGACACAATGCGGTCCTTGTAGGGGAAAGAGGCAGGGATACCTGGGTCCTTGTTGATTCTCGACTTCCAGGTGGTGTCCTTACGGGCGGCCTTGTTGTTCTTACGGTTCTGGGCAGCCGCCTTCTTCTTGATCCCCTCCTTCATTCTAGTGGTGCTTCTCTTGGACGTTGGCTTTCTAACTCTCATTTTGGTGATGTTGCGTGGAAAAGAAGAAACTAAATGGGCTCTTGATACTGCTGAAAAATTTTTATATACAGATCTGCCCGCATAAAAAAATTGGCAGGAAAAAAACTTTTGAGCCGCACAAGATAGATGGGCATTACCCGGCGGACTGTGCAAGAGCAGCTCAGAGGGCTGATGAGAGCTAGCGTGGGTTATGGACCGCTTTTGGATAATAACCTCGGTTATATTATAATCCACTGAAGGAGGTGGTGGCGCTCGCGTTGAGTAAACATGGTTAACGACGCGAGAAATGTGCAAAACGTACTCCTAATACTTATGCACGCCAAAGTGTCTAGGACTCTAATAGAAATTATGTTCTCAGCGTTTAATTATGAAAATATGTTCATATAGATTCGGCCCTCAAAGGCCTAAAGATATAAGTATACATGTGTATCATAGAGTATATTATGGTCCTAATCACTTGTCCCAGCTGAAACATGAGGATTTGTAATCGTACATGCAAACATTTTATCCTCCTACCAAATCGCAGTGGTAAGCTCACGTTTGTATGTGGGTCGCGTGACATAGCGCCAATCGAACATTGGGCAGTATCAACCCCTAACTAGAACCTTTTCATAGATATGACCCCGAACTGCGTCACACCAAATGTCTTTATCCTTCCTATGGTGTCCTCCGGTATGATGCTTCTTCTTTCGATGTCTGCTCTGGAACTTTCTAGAGACATCTTTGCGTGCGATTACCGTCATCCCTGCCTTGCAGATACCGCCGTTAGAATCACAACTTAAAGAAGGAGCTCGTTTTGCCCCTACGGCAGTTTCTTCTTTCCATACCTTTGTACCCACCACCATGCCTGCTGAAATGGACTTTGACGGTCCGAACTTGAGCATCATCCTCACCTGCCCCGAGTGCAAGGTGTACCCACCCGAACTCGTGGAGCGGTTTAGCGAGGGTGATGTAGTGTGCGCGCTCTGTGGTCTTGTGCTCAGCGACAAGGTGGTTGACACGCGGTCCGAGTGGCGTACGTTTTCGAATGACGACCAGAACGGTGATGATCCTTCGCGTGTGGGTGACGCAGGGAACCCTTTGCTTGACGGTGAGAACTTGTCGACGATGATCAGCTTTGCCCAGGACAACAGCAGGGCGGGGCGTGAGTTGAACCGCGCTCAGTCGAAGAATCTCGCGGACAAGAAGGACCATGCGTTGCAGGCAGCGTTTGCGAAGATTTCGCAGATGTGCGACGGGTACCAGCTCCCGAAGATCGTGCAAGATGGTGCTAAGGAAGTGTACAAACTCGTCAGGGAGGAGAGACCGCTTAAAGGTAAGTCGCAGGAGTCGATCATGGCGGCTGCTATTTTCATTGGGTGTCGTAAGGCAAATGTAGCCAGAACGTTCAAGGAGATCTGGGCGTTGACGAATGTGCCCAGAAAGGAGATCGGGAAGGTATTCAAGATCATGAACAAGGTCATCAATGAGAAGAAGCTCACCAATCCGTTGTTGTTTACCAACGCGACGGAGCGGATTTCACAGAACCAGACGTCCGCGGAGGATTTAATCCGCCGGTTCTGCTCGCATTTGGGGTTGTCACCGCAGGTGACCAACGCCGCCGAGCATTTGGCGCGTTCTGACAAGGACGTCGGGGTGTTATCGGGGAGATCACCTATCACCATTGCCGCAAGTATCATCTATATGGCAGTGGTGCTTTTCGGTGCTAACTTACCGGTTGCGAAGATTGCAGAGAAGACCGGTGTAAGTGACTCGACGATTAAGACATCGTTCAAGTACTTGTGGGAGGCGAGAGAGAGGTTGGTCGATCCGCACTGGGTAGAGAGTGGGAAGGTTAAGCTTGAAGAGACTCCGAAGAGCTAAGGCCGTACACTCGGTGCTAACTAGTCTGTCCGTTAAATGTCCCGTTATGGTGGCCAGTTAACTCATTCAGATATCCATGGTTGTCAGTTAACCTCTAAAACTGACTAGAGGCTCGTGCATTTATATTTAAAGAGGCTTGTGGGTTCTGGCATACTCCACCGGGTAGTCATGAACAAAAACGGTACGAAACAGCATTAAAACCCTAAGAAAAACCCGAAAACAAAACGTGCTGTGCCGCATTCTGTAGAAACACAAGATTGTAACGAATATAAACAGCTTCAAAAGGGGATTGTAAATTGCGGGCTACTGCCTAGTGGCGTAAATCAATCGAGTGGTCTAGTTCACCAGCTTTGGTGCTATCACTGTCTTTAGTTCACCCAGCGGCATCCGTCAGCCAATGCCAACTGTCCATGGAAGCAGTGTACCGCTTTACATATGCTAGCTTCTATAAAGCGTTAACATAGACCAATTTTCTCTATTATTACGATCTCTGCATCCAAACTGTCAAATAGCTCCTGACCTTGTACTTTCCGTCCACTTATACAATAAGACGGAGATAGGCAAAGCCCAAGGCGATGGCAGCACAGAGTGTACCGATCAACCACTGGGTTACCACCGTTCTGACGTTTCCAATCTCAGCCTTCATATCAGTCACTTCCTGGTCGATCAAGTTATACGCGTTCTGAATCTGTCGCGTGTGCGTGGTCCCCTCTTGCTTTACCCTCCCCTTCTCTAGCGCTAAGTCGGCACGCACCTTGTTGGCATTTTCGGCAATCTTGAACCGGATATCGTTCTTCAACGTCTCTATTTCAAACTTCAAGTTTGACTGTTGCTGTGTGATCGCCTTGAAGTCGATGTTATCGCGCGTGATAATGTCGTGCTTCACGCTGGCGAAGCTTGACATGTGCTTCGCCACCACAGTGTCGAACAGGTCCTTCGCCACAAGCTGCGATGAGATCTGGCTAAAACCAGCTTGGAGGGCTGATGACATAATTTTGGTGATGGTTTCCGACTGAGCTGGCGCGAACCCTTCCTTCTCAAACTCCGTGGCGACTTTTCGCGTGCTGATAACTTGTTCTCGGAGCGCTGCCGAGAACGTAAGGAACCGGCCGGCGGGTCTAAGAGTGATAAATTTAGGAGCGCGAAGCATCGGTCTAAGCATATTGTGGTGTGGAGCGGTAGTAGCGATATGGATGGGACTGGGAGTGTGTAGCTGTCACTGCGAAACCTGAACTTATAGACAAAATTTCCTGCATGGAAAGTGCGGCGGGTCGTAGAGAATTAGGTGCTTTAAGGGTTATAGCCAGAAATGTGGATATATACAGATGTGTATATAGTTGAATTAGAAAGGGAATTTTTATCAGTGAGTTATAAATAGATTGAATGATACGAAGTGCAACCTAGCGTGTGGATAATGCAAATTATATTCACTTTAAATAGGTCTTCTGAAAATTTCAGCCATCAGAGAAAGAAAAAACAAGTAGACTAGTCATCAGGATCCAGTTGGGGTGGCGAGACGTATAACATTGCCGAGTATTTCAATGTAGAAGAACTAAATTCCTGTATTCACAGATTTATGGGTTAAAGTGATAGTGCTAGAATCTAACACTGCTAGTTTCATTTGTTCTATGTACGCACGAAACGTAGTTCCCCGTTACTCCTAGGAAATCCACCATCGAGAATTTGCCAACGAGTAAAAATAGGATATACCTGAAAGATGATTATGAAACAAATAGGGTAGTTTACTCTATGTATATGCGCATGGATTATGCCTCATCACCTATCAAACTTCCTCCACTCTCTATTTCCCACGCCTTAACACCGACTCCTCGTACACCTCTTCTCGGGAGAAGTCAACCTCACTGAGACGCACATAGTTGATCACCCCGCAATTGGTGATGGCAAGAATGACGTTGCGGTACCCAAACTTTAGCCGCTTGTCCATCTTCCGCAATCGAGCAATACGAGCCAGAGTAGCTTTCTGAGCTGGCGTCGTTGGTTTCTTTAGAGTCCCGTTCTTATCAACTTTATTGTTTGGTATGCCCCGGTGGCTTGTATCGGTGGATTGGGGAACATAATCAGAGGTATTGAAAAGGGTTTGTATCTCAGCCAACGACGGAAACTTGGTCGTGTCAGTGTTGACCACACAAACCTGGAAGTCGGGCGTGGGTGGGTCACTTTTCTTGAACGAAGGGACGGGTTTCCAGACGTTATAGGTAATTTGATATGGCGATTTTTCTCGAACCTCATGCGATTCAAACAAGTCGTAGTGTGGCACAATCCGAAGGGAGATAAGGATTTGCTTGAATGAAGTATACCTGGAGGAAAGGTAGTGCTGAGGGTGCAGGAGTGGATATGGAATGAGCTTTAACTGTCTTAAATAGTGCACTACGGCCTTAGAAGCGCGCTGGAAGTACGAGGTCTGGGTGATCGGAGTAAATAATGCTGTCGCGGGGTTGGTGAGGGCCTTTACCATTCCAATCCCAACGGCTCCCCAGTTAGGCTTCCCGTGGAACAAAATGAGGCAGAGAGACTTCCAAACGTTAGATATCACAGCTAGAGCCGACTGCTCCACTTGCTTTGCGTGCTTCCTGGGAGTACCTTCAGCCTTTTCCTCGTGTCTCATGACAATGTACCCATGTCTTTTCAAATGGGCGTACACTTGGTACTGCTCAATCACGTTCGCGTTGTCCTCATTGTAGATACAGCTATACAAGTGCTCCAAACTCATCTCAAGACCTAACTCTGTGAGTACACTGATGCTGCCTCTTTCCGCAAGGTAGATGACCTCCTCCGGAGTAAGCCACACATTCAATTTGTCAGACTTGCCCATGCTTTTGAAAAATGGACCCTTGGGCTGCTCCACACACGCCAACCCTAAACTCTGGTGGAACACTGCCTGGACGTGCTGTTTAGAGGAGTGTCCTCGGGCCCCTCTAAGCGCGTCGTACATTGCAGTACGGGACTCCTCGAGAATGTTGGATTGAAAATCGGTCCCATCCGGCTCGAAGTCCTTCTCTCCGCGCTTTGGGATGACCTGGTCTGACTTAGAGAGCGACGAAAGTGCTCGCCAGTCCTGCACCTCGTCCTCAATATCGAGGAGAACAGAACTTTCTGTAGTTTGGCTCATGGAGCCTAATATGTTTCTAGGGAGTTGGGCGGTGAAAGCTGGAGGATAGTACCTGGTTGGTGAAATATCGATCCGATTCAGATACTGATATGGATGACGTTTATGAACTATTCGGTGGTAAGAATGGATGCCTATTGACGATCAAGATTCAGATTGTTTCTATATTTCAATGTTGGATAGTTTCCTCCCCTCTGACTAATGTGATGAGTCAAAAGGTATCTCAATGTACGTTAAAGTTAGAAAATTATTGGTGCGGCTGCCACAAACTCTATCGGCGCAGGATAGCCTGAGTTCAGGCTCTCGGTTGAGCGTCAAGCGCTGGCTGATTACATGCCACCTTCCAATTTATAGCCCATTCTAAACAAATTAGGGACTATTTTTCTAGAAACTCAACCGAAATATTCTAGTCGTTGTCCGGGCTATTTGGCCGATCCGTTTTCTTGCCGTACCTCTTCCCCCTCCTTTCCTCATCTACCATGCCCGAGGATATACCCACCAAAGCGTCACTAGTAAGTACTTTTTGCTTAGAACGCAATAGCCACTAATGCTATAGGCCATATCAATCCTCCATGATCTCTTGGAGAAGCAGATCCACCAGCTTATCGTGGAAAGGCTCCTTCTTGAGAAGCAGATCAGACAGACCCACCACGACTCACGACCGCTACCGGCGCACACGTTTGCCGGCTTGTCCAACTTGATAGATGAAAACTCTATGATTGCGTCTACCGCCAGCACCAACAACAGCTCCCAGGCCGCTTCACGTGCCAATTCGCCTGCTACTGCCTTGCTCCTGAACGGGCATGAAACTGTATTTGACGAAAACGAGAAGAATACTCGTGTGGTGTATGTGTATTCGGGTTTGGGAGGCAACAGGGATATTTACGGAAACGAGGGGTTGAAGCAAGCCGATGCATCGAGGTACTTTGTGTGTAGCAATTGCACACGAAAGATTGCCGGGAGTCGGTTTGCGGCCCATGTGGATCGTTGTCTCGGCGGGAGACTGGCCAGAAGGACTTAGGCTATCGTAGACTTACCGCTGAGGGATTTTACTCCCGGGTTTAAAGCTAATTTCTGACGGCTCTTACCACTTACGACTTTTGCACTAGTCTTTCGTTGTTAACGGCTATTTTCATGACTATAACCATTAAAGGAATAGGGGATATCTGTTGCATCATGGAATTATAAATGCCTACATCTCTGGTAGAGAAATAGATCTGAACCATCGAATTACTCGTTATACCCACGATCAGTACACAAATCCCGTAAGCTATAGATTTTATAAGCTGATAAATTCATTCGTATGCGATAGAGAAAGTAAGATTATCAGTGCCTACGAGGGATCGTGTACCAGTACTCCTTGGACGGTGAACCGCAATACATGGTGGTGAGATCTGTTTGCCATGTGTCATCCTTCTTGGAACTAGTTTTTTTTTTTCCATCTGCCTATAATCTCACTTTCAAAAGCGTATATTCGAAGTCTTGATTATATAGATGTTTTATCACTCTCCACACATGTGTCACGCCATCCATATTATTCTTTCCACTCTCATTTTTACTCATTGTCATAATTAAGTATTGCTCCTCATTTATCTTTATGCCCGCTTGCTATGCTAATTCTAGTTCGCTCACACGGACCAACCACTTCATCACGTCATCGATTTCCTCGTCATTAGTGCTATGGCTCAAGCCCTTGTACTGCTTGTACGTAATGTCTTGGAAGCCCCAGTCGCGGAGACATGCCTCGTTCTCTCTGCTCAACTCAAACTTGATGGCGTTATCCTTCTCCCCATGGGCAAGAAAGATAGGTGTGGTACTATTTGCTCGCGCAAGGTCCGGATCAGTACAGTTGATGTGCTTGACGGTATCTAGCATCGGGATGTAGCCGGACAACCCAATGAAGCCACCCATTCGCTCGCCTAGTGTGGCTGCAAGCAAGAGCGAAAGGGCACAGCCCTGGGAGAAGCCACCCACTATGATGTGCTCCATTGGTACCCCGCGTGTCACCTCTTCCTCGACCAACAGCGTTACGTATTCAAGCGACATCTCGATGGAGTCCACATCCTCGTCAGCACGTACGTTGTGGAGCGACTTTAGATCGTACCAGGCCGGAATTACCATGCCAAAGTTGAGTGACGAAGGTATATCTGGGGCAGACGGGAAGATGAAGTTGAAGTGGTCGAGCTTGTAGTTGCGCGCGGCGCTGGCAATGAACGACCAGCCCTGGCCTGAGTCGCCGAGCCCATGGAGAAATATTACCGTGTATTGGGCTTCGGGAGGAGTCTGACACACTGCAGGGAGCGATATCACTGGCTTTGTGTATGTCATGAGACAATAATGAATACGTGTAATGTAATTCTGTGTTTATAAAGGACGCGAGTAGAGAAAATACAATAATGCGAAAATTTAAGACGAATATGCCTTAATACAGGGACTTCTCGATAGTCGTGATGCTTTTGGATAAATATTCGGGCCTGATGGAACAATGCAGACAGCAACTGTTGGGGTTATAGGCCAATGCTAACCACGTATGGTATAATGGTGAAGGATATTGCACGCTGTATTGGCTTTTGGCAATGAATGACGACAAACTGGTGGCAAAATGGTTTACTTGACTTGTAGCTACCACACCAGCCCTGTGACTGTGGAGTCGAAAAATTATGCGTCATTGCACCATTAGTTGTGCATAACCAACGTCTCGGTATCGCACGACCCGACGCGTGCAAGTCTCCTGACGCGGCCCCTCCTCCCGGTCGTGTAATAATTGAAAGATTAGGGTTGCGGTAATGCTTAATTACTCTTCCAATAACCACGCCTATGAAGTTAATCAGCCTTTTATTTGCATTGCCGTTGGCGGCCATGGCCCAGAAGGCCATCCCGGTGGATCACAGACACATCATTGCGCACAACACGACCAAGCACATGGCCAACACGCCGTATTCCAATCTTACGATGGACGACCTCTCGCTCTCGTACTACGCCGATAACACGGTGAAAGATGGTAGCCAGACGTACTTGTATGTCCAGTTGACCCACGTGCAGGAGGTACACCTTGTTTCTGCCCCTCAGGACGAATCTGTCGGGACAAACACATTTGTAGCCCACTGGGTGTACAATTTGACAGGTGTCGTCCAGGTGAACGAAGAGCCGTTAGACTTGGATGCCTTTGAGGAGGACCAGAAACACGAGTATGGTGACTTGAACAGTGATGGAAAAGACGTTAAGGTTGACCTGTTTAATGCCACGATGAAGGTTACCGTGCTCAATGAAACCAGCTTTCGGATCCTCGGTTCGGTCGTTGATGTCTCCTTGGAAAATGCAGTGGTACTGATGTTTAATGAGACACGTTTATTAGCGACGTTAAGAGCGGACCAAGAGCCGGCAAGTGAGAATAAGGGCGAAGCTAAGGAGGGCGAATCGGACCACAGCCCAGGGGAGAAATCGGATGAATCCGAGAAGCAGAGAACTTTTACACACCCTGTGGCGACTTTGTTGGGAATGGTTGTGATCTTAGCGGCAGGGTTCTACTTTTTCAACAAGCAGCGCCAGGGATTGATCAACCGCGGGCTCATGGCGCGTATGAGGGGTAATAAGGACTTTAGACGTACTGCCGGTGACTACGATATGGTGCGTAGCGATGACGAGGAGGAGGGTATGGAGATGTTCAGAATTAGTTCCGACAGGGAGGATGACGACCGCCAGGAACACATGTTGTAGGTGACGGTAGCCTATCTGGGAGATATAGCTTACGGACATTCTACGCTGGAATGGTGTAGCTTCAGCCTGTGGGACAACCCACTTTGTGTTTTCTGGCTAGGCAGAGGGCCTAGTTTTGCCGAGAGCCCGTTGGGGTATTTTATTTATTAACGCTATTTTTTTTTTTTGGATATATAAGGGTTATTATACGTAAAATCAGAGAGAATTAGTTCAGAAAATGATCCATCAAGCTACGATTGAGGCTTAACCATGTGTATCTTATAAGGGATATTCTACGGTTATCGCTGATAGCTCCTCGTCCCACGATTACGCAATGGATGGTTACTATCTCGTATTGTAAAAATACTACGGTCCTTAACCTCCTATGACTCTACAATTGTTAAGGATCTTGGTTAAATTCACTGGTTGACCGCCACAAGAATGGTATCCGTATAGCCCTGTAAATTTCCATGTATACTGACACTTTATCACTTCTGTAGTACATCCAGTGATGACCGTGGTCTATTTGGACTAATCCGACGTACTTTATACACCAACAAACGTGAAGGAGCTAAAGGGGATACTCCATTTTATAGGTGAAGGTGGACAAGATTACGTGAGCTAATAGCGGAGAACGATGCTCTTGAGGTTAAACTACAACTCTAGCCCCACGTCTGGCAAGATTTCGGCAATACATCTCCCATGTCGCTATATTGAAGTGTCTTGTGTTTAAAGGATTTAGTCACGATTCTACATGTTCAAGGTTCGCTCCCAGAATACTCACGGCAAGGTAGAGAGATATCCCTACGGTAATGGGACTCTGGGTTCGCTTTCTACAAGCAAAGGGATGGGGAAAAATTGGCTCTGAAGGCACACCAAAAGCAAAAGACAGAATTAATCTGCAAGACATCCAAGGCGTAGGCGTTTAAACTTCCTCTCTGTATAAGCTAAAGCGACCTAGCCCGTTAACTTATTACATCTTGAGCTTTGCCAAATGTAGGGTAGTCGGATGGATTCAAAAACCACCATATTAGCCAACCGGGCTGTCCTATCACAACTGAGTAGTGAGCAAAGCCCTTATCTCACCAGAAAGGCGGATTCGATGATATAGGATATCCAGATATACACACTAACCGTCGTACAGTTGTCAGTTCTATAAATAGACATCCGCAGAAGACGTTGGCTACACATTAATAAGCACAACCAGTAGGTTCCTAAACTATTAAAGCTATAGTGGCCATGTTACGATTCGTTCTTTTTACAAGCCTTTTTGGTGGATCAAAATATCTTTCGGCACAAGTCGATTATTTTTCTGTTTTTGTATGAGTGGAGTGGGGACGCATGCATGCGCCTTCCAATATTATACTAATGCTTTTAGCATAAAGCTTAGTGATAAGCAATGCAGACCATGCATAACGAAATTCCTCTTTGGCATCTAGCGATTGGCTCGATGCATGAAGGGGCGAGGGGGCTCAGACTCCACAGGCGCAGCTCATGGCAAACTTTGGATTGACAGCACATTTCCTTCATTTTTAAATCTCTTTCCTTACTTTTAGTGTAGCTCACATTAACAGTATAATACTAACAATTGTATACCAACAGTTTAACACCACCCAAATCAAACCAAATGTTTTTTAATCCGATTGCGGCTGTCTTTGCTGTTGCGTGTTGCAGCTCAATTCTTGTGGAAGGCAAGATTTACAAAGAGGGGGAAAAACACGCATACGACAATGGGACGGTAGACACCCTTTCCCTCCATTACGAAGAAGCCAGAAAGTCGGGCTTTGGTATCAAATGGGAGCGTGACTTACCCAAGACACCTCACACTAAGGCTGATTCGTTCTTGGCCCAGTGGCAGTTTGGATGGGACCATATCCCGGCAGGAGCACTGTTAGAGAAACCGGCGGTTTTAAAGCCACACGGTCACTCACAGGGCTTGGTTTCTGGTAGAGGTAAAGCTCTGGACAAACTCCATATGTTTTTGCAAGTCTCTCTTATCAACGAAACTTGCCTCCAGATCCTTGGTTCTGTCGTCGACCTCTCCTTGAAGATTGCAGTGGTGAAGCTCAACGAGTTGCGCAGTTTACCCGACTTGAAAATGTTGGGTTCTGGAGGAGAGCAGACATATCAGATGTTTGAAATGAGCCAGAACAGAGGGGGTGACCACCATAGAACACATCCCGGTTATGACCAGCCAGACATGCGTCAGTTCAACGAGCTTCTTAGAACTATGATGATGAGATCAATGGTGGTAGGGATCTTTGAGTTTATCGTCTATATCGTAGTCTTGGCGTTCATTATATTCAGGCTGCTGCAAGTTATGCAAAAAAGAAGATTACAGGCGGGCTTGGGTGTTCTGGGAGGTAGCGGTAATCCAGTACCAACTTTGGACCTCAGTGAATGGGATGTGGATACCGAGAGACAACAGTTCATGCTGGGCGTGAGTACCGATGATAGAGATGCTACGAGGAATGTGATTTAGATAGGTCTTGTGTTGTGGTTTATATTTATCAATTTTAGCCTCTCCACTGAGAGATATTTTCTTTGCCTAGTTTAATTGAGAATTTTATGAGAATGCAGATCTAAGGGAATCTAATACGTAGGTATGCACCTTGCCAGATTTCATGTTTCTGGCCTCCAAAAAGCTTCATATTCAATGAGTATGTGTATTGCAAGAGTGAGCGGCTATGCCCTATACCCCAACGTAAATCGAGAAAACGAAAAGAAGATTGGGACGGAGGCCTGTTTATGGGAGATTAGTAGGTGGATGAAGAGAGAACAGCACATCCCTAGTTAGAGAACCCGCAACATCCTAGACGGCCATTTAATACATCTTTTTTTTTTCTCTACTGGAATGGCTACATTCAGTGATTATCAACAGGGAGCTCTATGCCCTCAGTCCATAGTTTTGAAACTAGGTTGCTCGAATGTACAATGTCACTTTTGGGGGTTTGAAGGGATAGGCTCACCTACCAGGCGTAAGGTATGCCGAGTGCATTACTCAAGTATCCATAAATACCGTTTTTCCGTCATAGATTATTTCTGTAGACAATATAGTCAGTATAAATTATTCCATTGAAAATCAACTACAATGCATGGGGCTTGAACCTGCAACTTCTAGATATCACTGAATACTGGGGTATATGAGCCACGTAAAAATCACGATTATCCCATAACTTTTTGTGAGTCCAAAGTTCACATAAAATTCACCGGTTAAAGGGTATATTTAACTACACGTTGTCATTGAGTTTATGTAATAATATCGGGTTTAGAAAATTGTATAGCTTCGTACCTCATATCTGTAAACTGGATATCAAAATAACTATTCGAAACCTTTGGATGGCTATCTATTAAAGAGAGTTTCATAGCGTATATACATTGATAAATAGGCACAGTGAGGGTGGTAAGAATGCATTCTCAAGTGGTCTTGGCCTTATTCTGCTTCAAGACAATGTCTGGGAAGATGCCGAATCTCCACTGAAAGTTGTACAACTGGGCTCTGCCCAACATGTGCGCTCTTAAGTACTCCAAGTACACAACGTAGTAGTAGACACCGGTGCCGGTGAGCAAGTGCCACCAGCCGTGGCCCTCTAAGACAAACCCATACGGCATGCCCCAAGAGCGCCTGGTCAGTCTCCACAAGCCGCAGAAGTGGATGTCCATATTCCACAAGAAGTAGCCGGTCAAGAAGATGACCACAGCCATGTACATAGTGGTAAACAACTGCTTTCTGGCCGCGGGGTCGGCGATGCGGGTCTTGGTCAAATAGGCGGCGCGCCCGATTATGCCCACGTTCAAAATCGCGTAGCTTACCTGGTGGATGGTGGGGTCGCGGTAGTACAAGTAAATCGCAGTCAACAAGCTGGCACTAATGAACACAGACAAGGCAACAGCGGCAGACCGCTTCTTCGAAACGTTTTCGGAAAAGACCAGCCAGAAGGGAATGCAGGTGGCATAGATCATCGGTAACTCGTCCAAGAGTTGGTACTGATAGAGCAACGTCATGTGGAATAACCAGCTGCCCACACCCACAAGCATAAAACCAAAGGCAATGAAGGTGAACCGTAATTCGTGGTCCTGCTTGCGGGACTGGTACATCGCGTATGCGGCAAGGATGATAAATATGGAGTTGGTAACGGTATTGACAGCCTCTGCGATGTAATGGGAGACGACATAGTTTTCCTCGCACCAATCAATGGTGGCGGTCCTGAGGCCCCAGTAGCCTTCCTTCGGCTCTGGCGGGTATGGAATCGCAAACGGCAACATGAGTTAAGGTTTCAGTTATGCAATGAGTTGAGTGATATAGAAGATAACTTCGCAAATGACAGGGCCGCTCTGAAATGGGGGCATATTTGGAACGTGCCAATTTGGCTTGAAGTTTCCTAATTGAAAGACGGAGAGACGGCCCACTGGTGCTAATTGGCAGCTGACGCTAGGCCTGCCGAGACTTGCCGCGTGCGGCTCGGCCCATATGAGAAGCCAGCACTTTCCGCGGGAAATGAGCACAATATGTGATTTCTGGGGGATTATCAGAGAAAAGAGTGTGTGTGGATGATGGGGTTATATATTTTAGTAAAGAAACCCAGGAAACCCCATGATATTATCCTCTAGCTCTTTGGCGTAAGGAGTCGAACAAGATAAGGGTGAAGGGGTAATGTTGGTGGAAAGGTGGCGATTCTGAATCAGCCTTACTGATTCTATGGCTAAGCCGTGTTTTAACGAGTTCATAATTAATTTGTTTTTAAATCGTAGATTAGATTGGGAACTGCTTTTTAAAGTCGTACATGGCAATACGTAGACGGAGCCGTTATGAAACCTTAACCGTAGGGATCTTTAGATCCAGAACGTGCGCAACTTTACATCCCGTTCGGGGGCCGCATTGTTTAGGAATAGTTATTAAAATCTCTAGCTTAGGGTGTAGAATAGCGAGATGCCAGAGATTACCATTTAGGTACAGCAAGTTCATAGACGTTTTTCGATTTGACACTATCCATTATATCAACCTAGGGAAAGACCGAAGCGCCCGGAGAGCCACTAAAGAATACCAGACAGCGAGCACGTGTATGACTTTCCTCTCTGTAGATTAGTGTAAACTTTGTCCCATCTAATTTTTCCCCCACTAGTTTATAAACTTGAAATTTGGTGCACTGGTAAAGAATAGAATTGCCGGCTGTATGTGTTTGCTCGGAGTAGGGGCTAGGGCTAAACCCTGGAATCGGCCGACACCATTATACAGCATCTTTCGTCTTTAAGGGAAGCTATAAAAATCGCTAAAAGCACCATAAGATAAAGGTACTTCCCCGGGATTTTCTCCGTCGGACTATTGTTAAATCCAATATCGAATTTCTCCGCTACAACTCTCCACCGGTGTGATAAGAGGTCGTGCGTGACCGTCAGCTCCTGCCATTAGCACTCCCGGTGGTCATAACCTGGGGTATACGCTTTAGAAGGAGATAACAAACGCGTCACGAGCGCTACTGATTCGGCAGGTCGTTCCGCCAGAGATGCGGGGGTTTTTTTTAGATTATACTGCAGGGTGCATGTCTATATAAACCCCACGAACTCCATTTTTTTTCTATACTTCTATCTTACTCTCGGTGTACACAATATGCTAGTCCAAAACTTACTTAACTATGCTCTAGAGTATCCTCTCCAATTCTTAGGAATTCTTACTGCTTGCCTTGTAACCTACTTCTACTTGCTCTACCCATTCTTCTTGTCGCCGCTTCGGCATATTCCGGGGCCCGCGCTCTACCGTGTGAGCTACTTACCAATTCTCCACAAAGCACGCACCGAGCTGCGGAATGAATTGTTGCACAATTTGCATAAACAATACGGGCCAATTGTGGTCATCTCACCTTCTGAACTTTCCTTCAACGACCACAAATACTTGAAGGATATTTATATAAGAAACTTTCCCAAGTCGCACTTCTACAACTTTGGAAATTTCGGCCAGACCAACGCCTTTTCTATGAAAGACAATGTGGCGCACATTGAACGCAGAAAACGCATGAATCCGTTGTACACCAAGTCCTACGTGTTTTCCCAGGAGAGCCAGACTATCTTGTACGAAAAGGTGACCAAGTTGACAGAGGACATCTACCGAACCTCTATTACGGCCGAGACACCTGATTACACCAGTGCAGCTTCGCCATTCAACAAGTTAGGTAAAGGCTACATTCTCGGTTCCGGCAACTGGTTGCAGCCAAAGGCTCGTAATTTGGGAATGGAGATGTACGGGACATTCTCAGCCTTGGCCATGGATGTGGTTACGTCGTTTGAATTAGGGCCAAATTGTAGCACGGATTTTTTGTCTAACAAGCAAGACAGGCAGATCGTGGAGGCCCACAGACAGCAGTCTTCCATGTGGTTCTACGTCACCAGCATCCCTAGCCTCTGGAACATAGCCGCTTCCCCTGCGATCAAAAACGCATCAGTTGCCATCAAGCAATGGCAGTACAACTTGTTTAGGAAGGCTGAAACCATGGTGCTTTCAGAAAAGAGTTCACCTCCTAGTACGCTCAAAACCTTGCTCGATTTTGGCTTAGCCGGCAATGACGTGTATTCAGAATTGGCCGACCATATCTTTGCGGGACACGAAACAACAGGAATCTCCTTGTCATACGTCGCCTGGGAATTGTCCCGACCGGTAAATCTGGAGATCAAGGCCAGGTTACATCAGGAAATGGTGGATGTATTCGGCGAGCCACCAAAGGGTGATAGCAGTTTCTCTCCGCCTTTGGACAGCTTGGAGGTTATTGATCAGTTGCCGTACTTGGAAGCGTTCATGCAAGAGATATTGAGAGTGCATGCCGCCATCCCAGGATCCGAACCTCGATTGGTCGATCGCAAATACGTTGCTCATGTTGGTGGGTTTGAGGTGGAGATTCCCCGTCAAACCATTGTGTCGGTCCAGCCATGGAGCATGCACCGTAACTCCGAGGTATTTGCTCAGCCAGATAAATTTATGCCCGAGAGATGGCTCAACCAGGCGGGAGAGACCCTAGAGGCGTATAAGACGCGCTTGCATTTGCAGAAGAAGTTCATGTGTCCATTTGGCCAGGGTCCAAAAATGTGTCTTGGAATGAATATTGCAGTCCTGGAGATGAAATTGTGTGTGGCTAACTTGTACTGGCGGTTTGATTCGAAGATCTGTGGTGATTGGTGCGAGGTTGTGAGCAGGGAGAATTCAAAGGGCGAGGCCCTCATGGGTGTTAAGCATTGTGGAGATTTGATGACTGATGAAGAGAAGATGATTATGGTAGATGCATACACCAGTAGGCCGTTGGTTGATGAATTGTGGATTGAGTGGTACGAGTGGGAGAAAGCAGGCGGGAACAGCTAGTGATACAGTGTTGCATTGGAGGTATCTGGAGTACCAAAAAAATATTTATTGTGATTTAAATTTAGAAGGGAATTTCTTTAAAGGGTTAAATAGTTCTACATATGAAAGTCGTTCAGTTACATTTAAGCTCCCTGCTAGTTTATGATCCGATACTATTTTTTTTTTCCTGAGCTATCCTCTCTGTGTGGTGACCTGGAGGATTTATAAGTTTTCTAATCAGGAATGGAAAAGCCTCTAGCCTGTTAAAGCATAAGCTTGGATCTTTGATATGAAATTTCATGTCCCCCACACGCAGGTTTGTGTTAGCACCGGGGTAACTGCAGGCACAACTTGGCTTTTGTGGCGGAACTAATGGTTCAGGCTTGAACTCCTCTTGTGTCACGAGAAGAGTAATAACCCCATGTCTTTAATTACCGGAATATTAAGTAATCTTCGGTTTTCTTATTTCTCCTTGAACTAGTCTACCTATAAGCCTAAACAGCCTCGTCATTATTCTATACCTGTGTACCATGAAGTATTACATCAAGATCTTGTTGGTCAGTTTAGGCATCTGTATCCTCCTTCCGGTACAGGCCTTGACTCCCTTGTATATCAAGGGTAACCGTTTCATTCAACCTGCTCCCGATGGTGATAAGGTGTTTTTCTTGAAAGGCATGGACTACCAGCCAGGAGGGTCATCTGGATTCCACCAGGAGTCATTATATGACGTTTTGTCTAATCCAGCAGTGTGTTATAGAGACGCCAAGGTGTTGCAAACTTTAGGGGTCAACGTTATCCGAATCTATAATTTGAACGTAGACGTCAACCACGATGCGTGTGCTTCCATCTTCAACGCTGCAGGCATTTACTTGCTCTTGGATGTCAACTCGCCGGTTCAGTCCATCAATCGGTATGACCCAGAAAGCTCGTACAACTTAGGGTATGTTACTAGATTATTCCAATTTATTGAAGCCTTCAAGTTGTATCCTAACGTTGCTGGTTTCTTTGCTGGTAACGAGGTTATCAACGATTCAATCTCCGCCAGATTGTCACCAAAGTACATCAGAGCCGTTCAGAGAGACATGAAGCAGTACATGGCCGAGCACTCCAATCGTCAAATTCCCGTGGGCTACTCTTCCGTGGATGACACCTCCTTCAGAGAAGATTCCTGGGAGTATTTTAGATGCTCGATTCCAGGTGAATCTGGAGATATCTCGAGGTCTGACTTCTACGGAGTCAACACCTACAGTTGGTGTGGGGCCCGCGATGATTTCAAAACCTCCGGATATGATAAGCTTGAATCCGTATACTCCTCCACAAATCTTCCATTTATCTTTTCGGAGTATGGCTGCAACACCGTCCGCCCGAGGGTGTTCCACGAGGTTTCTCGGGGCTTATACGGACGATTGTCTCTGTTCGCTTCTGGCGGCTTGATCTACGAATACAGCGAAGAGGAAAACGGCTACGGGATTGCCCGTGTGAACCCCGATGGATCGGTCCACCTTCTTGAAGACTACGACCACTTGCGTGAACAGTACCGAAGGCTCCAGTTACCAACAATCGCAGCTGCTGAAGTGGTGCAGACGGCTGCACCTATGTGTTCGCTTCCTCAGGTACAGGAAGATGGGTTCTCTGTTTCAATTCTCTCCATTGATTACCACTTGCCCGAACAGCCAGCGGGCGTCGACGCTTTGATCCGGAACGGCGTTTCCTCCAGAAATATCGGACAGATTGTAGACGTCAATTACACAGCCCTTGAAAACCATGCCTTACAGGTGTTTGACTCTCAGGGAAAACCACGTGCAATCCAGTTGAATGCTTAGGAGTGCCTGAAAAGGTAAGCTTGGGTGTATTACTGCTCTCAATTGCAAACTCTGGGCACTGAACGGGTGAATTATAAGCAATACGAAGCGTGCATTTCGGGGCGTTTTCCGCCTACAGAGATTTCCTTCAAATTAGGCAATAAATTAACAAATAAACGCTTTCGCATCAGATTGAGAGTAAGTGTGTAATATGAATGGCGTGTTTTAAAATGCATCACTATACCATCAATACAATGGGGCAAGCATTTGTGAAATGTTTAATAACGCAAACCTATTTCGTTTCCAGGAGTTGATTATTCACCATCTTCTCACACCAACTCTTCCAAAGCTCACTCTCAATTTCATCATCCATCTCTGGAGCTTTTAAAGGAACATTACTACCCATGAGTACCGATGGAATAGTGCATTTTTTCAAACTCTCCACCTTGGCGATTTCCTTCAAAAGGGTCTTCATGTACATGGGCCCCAACAGGCGCTGGCTTTCGCCAGACAGTGTAGACGACTTCTTTACCACTTCCTCGCTGCTGAACAAATCTAAAAGACATGAGTTGAATCGAACCAACGAATCGTATTGCCGGGTGGATAAACTGAAACTGCGGTCAAACTTGAAGAAAGACTTATGGAGCACTTTGCTCATCTCATATTTGTAATCAGGCGACTGGGCCTTGGGGTTTAAGAATGATGGTGCCTCCTGGAGCTTCTTGTCGCTCGACACCTCTTTGCTGGTATACAATGTCATTTCTCCAGTGGACGTCTGAGGCATAGAGTCGGAAGAAATCTGGGTTTCCTCTCCGCTCAGCGACTTGTATCCAGGATTAGATGGAAGAATAAACTGCCGTGTGCCATTAGCCTTGGGCCCTTTGAGTGTAGTTTGGCAGTCAGAGCTAGCCGAGGAAACTGTCAGGGGGGAGGTGAGTATGTTGGAGGTCAGAAGTCCGTCACTAAGGTTGGATGTGGGCGAAGCAGGCTCCATGATTGCACTAATATCAAACTGGAACTGGCCCTGTGTTTGGTGTTCATTAATGGTGGGGATGTAGTACGGTGACGGCTTGGCTTTTGTAGACTTGTTGCCGTATAGCTTCAAGTCTTCGAAGATGGTTACTAGCGTGCTGGTATCCTTAGATGCGTATTTTGTGATGAACCTGTGCTTGAGAAGCCTGGAGGCACTTGGTCTGGCGCTGGGATCGATTATGAAGCATTTAAGCATGAAATCCTTAAACGAATCGCTGACAGTCAATTCACGGAGCTTGATTGTGTCAATAAACTCCATCGAATACGAAACCTTGTTTCTTCCGTGCTTGTGGGCCACTCTGTTCAATTTTGGGATCTTGCTCAAGGCGACCATTGGGGGATATAAGTTTTGGAGGGGAGGAAGCGCGGTGATGAGCTCGTATGCAAGGGCCCCGATGGACCAGATATCCGCCTTGAAACTGTGGCCGCCGAAATCGTTGGCGATTACCTCCGGTGCCATCCAATAGGGTGTGCCCACTGTGGTGTTTCTGCGCGAAAAATTGGATGCAAGCTGGGCAGAGACCCCAAAATCTGATAGCTTCACTTCCCCCAGCATGTTCATGAGAATATTCTGGGACTTCAAGTCCCGGTGGATCTGGCCTTGATCGTGGAGGTACTCCAATGCTAGCAATACTTCTCGCAACATGACGGAAATGTGGCCTTCGCTGATGATTGTTTGCTCGGCGTAGGGCTTTGTAGAGTTGTGTTTGATGGCCTTGATCAAGTCAAAGAGCGAACCCCCATCGATGTACTCCATAACAATCCAAAGTTTGCACCCGCGGACAAAGGACCCGTAGTAGGACGTGATTTGGGGTAGAAAACACGAGGACAAGATCATAATCTCGTTATTTACCCCGTTGATATCGTGTTCTAGCTCTAAGTCTATCACTTTGGCAGCTACCTGGGTGTACGGCACAGCCTTTAATGAAGCAAGATACACCGCACCATAGGCACCTTTTCCCAACTGCTGGTGGAGCTGTAGCTCGGATAAGTCTTTCACTTTGGGTCTTTCGGTAGGCATACTGTGATGTGATAAGGTGGCAGGTGAAATGGCTATCTAACAAATGAGTTGACCAGGTCGGTGTTACGACTCTGGCGTCGTAACCTTGATCTTAAATATAGTTAGTTGAAACTAGTTAGCGTGTTTGCTGCCCCAAAGCTGAAATTTGACGTGTGCGGACTGTGCATTCGTGTGCAGATTCTGGAAGCTTATTGGGGAAATGTAAACACACGCGCTCGTAATGTAGGCGATGACTTGCCGCATCGGGCTGTTCGCGGATTAGAGTCTGTGCCGCAACCGCGAATCCGCGAAAGAGGCTATGCATGAAGTGCTTTTAGAGGATCTCGATGGTTCCGATCACGCATTGCATCACTCCTGATCCCTGACATTGTGGGGTATATGGCACAATAGTACTACCACGAAAAGCCTATTCTGAGCAGATAAACCAGGAAGTTTAAGGTTAGGGGTGGTATCTCTGTTACTCGGACAACGTTAGGCAAAGCATGTGCCATTCCACTTGAATGGATGCACTCGGTTTTATTGCACATGAAAGGAATGAGGTGACTCCCAGACTGTAGTGTGTAATTGAATGACTACACGATTTACAGTACCTTGGAAACCTCAAATCATAAATAAGCTCCCAATAGTAATACTCTTAGATATTTCTGTTCTACTCCCCTGTAGATCCATTCAACTCAGCGTGCCTCAAACTATACTGGCATTGGTGACACGTTTTTGGAAATCTATAGCTCACTAGAAGGAGGGGTATTTCGTTAGTTGGAAGTATAAGAAAATATTGAAGCCATTAAGGAGTTTTGAAGTTGGCTCAGAGTCTCAATATCTGTTGCAGTCCCCGTATTACTCTCAAGTCTTGGTCATATAGGACTGTTGTCCGATTATACCGGCCAGTCCGTGGTGAGATCACCAGCTACCGAAATCTAGACCTCGGGATGTAGAGCCTTTTCGGATCCAGATCCTATCCAGATCCACGTCTGCTTAACCCCATATAATGCGGAAACGGCACCCGAGCCGCCCAACCTGCATAGACCTCCCGACGGCTGTCACACTTAAAGGAAATGTTTCAGGGGAAGCCCATATCAGACAGTGACGTCAGCCATATGGTATTGATAGTGTTTTGCATCCTTAGAGGCGGTGATATACCAGCAAATAGTTAAACATTTATAACTTGAGCGTTAGGCTCCTAACCACTCCATTCAAACTTTTCGAAAGGGTAAATGATTATAGTTATATTTAGAAAATCACCAAATAACGAGACTCTATCTGGTTAATTAGTCTCCCCATCGAAATTTCAACCCGCCTCGTACTTGGTGCTCCGGAGATGATTCCAAATCAAGGCGCATTCCAAAGGAGTCTCCCGTTCTTGGAAGATATGCTGATCTGCATCTATTGTAGTATGACGGATGCGTTTCCACGTGGAGGACGTTCGAAACAAAATGTTTGGGGTAAATCCACGGGAATGACTCCTGTATTCGATCTGACTTTTCGCTTTTTGAGCCCTTGGCTAAACGGTACATGACCTGGGTGTCAAAGATGCCCCGAGCGTCCTGTACGCTCGGATAAACTCAATCCCCTCACTATGCACTCCCCACTTTCGCTTTAGACTGTGCTGACATGATACATTCGATTTTTCAATTCCCTTTGAGCCTCGGGGGTCCATATAAGACTTCAGGTTCCCACTATGCATTTGTCGCTCATATCTTATACCATAGACCTTATACTAGACCATGACCACATTTAACATCGAAACCGTTATTTCTCTGCTCACCCTTGATGAGAAGGTCAAGTTGATGGCGGGCGCCGACTTCTGGCACACCCAGGCGATTGAGAGGCTCAATGTACCTCTGATCCGTGTTTCTGATGGGCCAAACGGTGTGAGAGGCACAAAGCTTTTCAACGGGGTTCCTGCCGCCTGTTTCCCGTGTGGGACCGGGCTAGCTTCCACCTTTGACAAAGAGTTGATGCACGAAGCAGGGAAGTTGATGGCACTTGAAGCTAAACACAAGGGTGCACACGTTATTTTGGGTCCAACCTGCAACATGCAGCGTTCGCCGTTGGGAGGTAGAGGCTTTGAGTCCTTCTCTGAGGACCCGGTACTCTCTGGGCTTGCCACTGCTAGTGTCGTCCTGGGAATGCAGTCAAAAAATATCGCCGCCACCGTCAAGCACTATGTGTGTAACGATATGGAAATTGAGAGAAACTCTATTAACGCATTGGTCACCCAAAGAGCGTTGAGAGAGACCTACTTGATGCCGTTCCAGCTCACTATGAGAGATGCCGACCCGAAGGCATTGATGACTGCGTACAACAGGGTCAACGGCGAGCACGTGTCGCAGTCCAAGTTCTTGTTGCACGACATTTTGCGCGACGAATGGAAGTGGGATGGAATGGTCATGAGTGACTGGTTCGGCTGCTACTCCTTGAAGGAAGCCATGGACGCGGGGTTAGACTTGGAGATGCCAGGGAAGCCGATGATCAGAGTTCCAAAGTCCATAGCACACGCTGTCCAAGCCAAAGAGATCCACATCAATACTATTGATGACAGAGTCAGATCGGTTTTGAAGCTCGTGCAGTGGTGTCAAAAGTCGGGTATTCCGGAAAACGCCCCTGAAGACGCAGATAACAACACCCCTAAGACCTCTTCCCAGTTGAGAACGCTCGCTGCAGACTCCATTGTTTTGTTGAAGAATGAAAACAGTATCTTGCCATTGAAGCCGTCCGATTCCATTGCGGTGATCGGGCCAAACGCTAAGATTGGTGCCTATTCCGGGGGTGGTTCTGCCTCTCTTCGTTCATACTACACCATTACCCCGTACGAAGGGATCTGCAAGAGACACGGAAAGAATGTTCCTTACACCATCGGGGCCACTGCCAACAAGATGCTTCCGGCCTTGGGTCCACAGTTGACCCGTGATGACGGTTCGGTTGGCTTTGTGGGTAACTTTTATCTCGAGCCAAGAGGCACTGAAGGAAGGACCAAGATTGATTCGTTCAATCTTTCCAATTCTCACATGTTCTTGGTTGACTATGCGCACGAAAAGTTTGACAACAAGTTGTACGTAGACTTTGAAGGTACCTTCACCCCTGAGGTTACTGGGGAGCACGAGTTTGGTGCTGTTGTGTTTGGTGATGCTCAGATCTTTGTGGATGACACGTTAGTAGTTGACACCAAAATCAACCATACAAGAGGCGAGGCTTTCTTCTCCCAGGGTACTATCGAACAGAAGGGTCGCATCAGCTTGGAAAAAGACAAGGCATACAAGGTGAGAGTCGAATTGGGTTCCCCTGGCACTTCCGAGCATTACAAGGATATTGATCCTTCTGTTGCTGGTGCTGGTGGGATCCAGTTTGGTGCTATGGCCATTGTGGATCCCCAAATTGAGGTTTACAAGGCTATTGAGTTGGCCAAGAGCGTCGATAAGGTTGTTATGGTCGTCGGCCTCACCCAGGAATGGGAGTCTGAGGGCTATGATAGAGCAAGCATGAAGTTGCCAGGTCTTACCGACGAGTTGGTTACTGCCGTTGTCAAGGTTAATCCAAATGTGGTGGTGGTGAACCAATCAGGCACTCCAGTTGATCTTCCATGGCTTGACCAGGTTCCAGGCTTGGTGCAAGCTTGGTTCGGTGGTAACGAGTTAGGTAACGGTATTGCTGATGTTTTGTACGGCGATGTCAACCCGTCGGGAAAGTTATCTCTCTCCTGGCCAAAGAGAGTGGAGGACAACCCAGCCTTCTTGAATTCCAAGTCTAATAAGGGGCAAATGTTGTACGGGGAAGACATTTACATTGGGTACAAGTATTATGAAAAGGTGGACAGGCCAGTTTTATTTCCCTTTGGTTTTGGTTTGAGTTACACCAGCTTTAAGTTCTCGAATTTGAAAGTCGGGCAGGATGAAAAGAACTTTAATGTTTCCGTCGAGGTGAAGAATACTGGTGACAAGGCTGGCTCCACTGTTGCTCAGGTTTACGTCGGCGCTGTTGACTCATCGGTCGAAAGACCTGTCAAGGAGTTGAGAGAGTTCTCCAAGGTCAAGTTACAGAGCGGCGAAACAAAGACTATGAACATTTCCTTGCCAATCAAGTATGCCACCGCTTTCTTCGACGAGTATGAGGGTAAGTGGAGTTGTGAGAAGGGTGAGTACTTGGTCTCAGTCGGTGACTCGTCTGATAATGTTACTGTGAAGCAGAGTGTTATCTTGAAGAAGGGTTTCTTGTGGTCTGGTCTCTAGATATATGCTCGTTTTTGTAACTACAAGTACCAGTATAATTTATTACCCTTCCAACCCTTTATCTAAACAATTAAATTAGATTAAAATAATAATACAAACAAGAATAGAACCAAGCGTCAAAGATATCTAGCAGTATCTTAATCTTTTTAAACATCCTCCATCTCTGCATCCACATCCATCCCCGAGAGAAGCAACAACGTCTCGCCGTTCTCAATCACCTGCCACAGCTGAAGATTCCTGTACATCAAAATACAGTCGTCAAACATCCCCTGCGTGAACCCGCGCGCCAACACACGCTCGCGCACCATCGCCATCAGCAAGCGTTGCGCCATGGCGCCGTCCGCCCCTTCCCTCTTGGCAATGTCCTTGATGACATGGAGAATTCTCGTAGCCGAGCTCTGATCCTCATGAACAATATCACTCTGCTGCATCAAGGACGCCATCGACACATTGATCAATCTCAACGCCTCCTCCACGTCCTCAATACGTACCTCCGTGTCAAATCTGATTCTGGCCAACGCCTGCGCCATACGCAAGATCCCTAACAACGTTCTGGGGGTGGTCTGGGCAAACTTCTTGGTCGAATCCTTGTTTGTCTGCGACTCGCGTCTCATTCTGGTGTACTGACGAACAACCTCATCCGCGACGGTCTTTGGCACATTTGGTCTGTATGTGCGCGCGACCGAGATGTACTGTCTGATCGTCGCGGCATCTAACGGCTCAAAGTTCATCTCTGGGTGCCTGTTGTGCATGTGGACGTACGCGACGTGCTGGGCTAAACGCTCGTCAGAATCACGATCCGGGGTATCCAAGATCAAGAAAAGAATATCAAACCGTGACAACAACGCAGCGGGAAGGTTAATGTTCTCCACGGGACTGATGCGCGGATTGTAGCGCCCGTACAACGGGTTCGCGGCCGCGAGAATGGAAGTTCTAGCGTTCAAACTCGTGGTGATCCCCGCCTTGGAGATCGAAATCGTCTGCTGCTCCATCACTTCGTGGATTGCCGTTCTATCGTTGTCATCCATCTTGTCGAACTCATCAATGCAGCACACACCATTATCTGCCAACACCAAGGCCCCACCCTCTAAGACCATCTCATCTGTGACAGGATCCCTCATCACAGCTGCAGTCAAACCAACCCCAGAGGAGCCTCTGCCGGTAGTGTAAACCCCTCTTGGCGCCATCTTGGTGATCGACTTGAGCAACTGCGACTTCGCCACACCGGGGTCACCCATCAAACAGATGTTGATGTCCCCTCTGATTTTCATCCCGTCACCAATTTCTTTGGTGACACCACCCACAAGTAGCAAAAGCAACGCCTTCTTGACATCCTCGTGGCCGTAGATTTCGGGCGCAATCGAGCGCGCGAGACGCTCATAGATGCTCCCCTCCGCATTCAAGCGCGCAACCTCCGCACGCGCTTCCACCCCAAGCTCAAGGCTCTCATACTGCTTCTTGTGCTGTCTCACGTGCTGCGCCTCAAGATACGTGTCCGTGAGCAACCCCGCCTTGAGGGCTTTGAACCCAGTGTACTGTGCTGGTAAGAACACACCAGCAATGTCCACGATATCCCCAGGGTTCACTGTCCGCACCAAGTCCCCGTTTACGTGCACGCCCAACTGGCGCGGAATGTGACCAACTGGCACCTGGTCTGCAATTTCCTGGATGCGCACCTCCTGGAACGCACTGAACTTCGACGCACGCGTCGACATGAAGAGTTGGCCCTTGGTCTGGTTCTCCTGGCACTGAGGGGATGAACAATCTGAAAGTGGGGTAAAAGTGCGTGCATTGACCTCTTGGAAGATCTCGAACCCGCACTTGTCACAGGTGTAGGCGTTCACCAAAACTGACGGTTTGACGTCCGATACTCTGGTGACAATCCCCCTCACGGTAATGAGCTGCCCGAGGTAGTTACCTTTGACGTCGCGCACCGCCAAGGCCTTCCCCTTTCCACGGTACATGTCGGATAAAGGCTTGAAGTAGAGGCAGTAACGACGCGTCAACTTGGCTGGGAACATGTTATCATCGCGTGGCGCATCTAATCCTGCGGTCGCGTACTCATCGCGGTTCTCCGCTTCCAAGCGTGCGTTTCGCAATTTCCGCTGGTGGAGAATCACGTCTAACACGTCATCCTTATACGAGATGTCGACGGTGGCCGGCGGCATCAACTCATCGATGATTGCACTAAACAACTCGATGTAGTGATACGTGTTTTTGCAGATGTTGTCGACCAAAGAGGTCCCCTGGGTCCCGCTGGCGATCGTGTCCTCGTAGCTCTTTACGTCGTCGAGGTCGATGTACAAGGTCGACACTTCGCGGTTTGCCACGCGCTGCAACATACGCATGTATTTTGGGCCATCACCAACAACTTCCTCGGCTGCTATCGCGTCGATGTTGTGGTCGAACACCACCTCACGTGTGTCACCCTTGTAGTGCTCGAGGAAGTCCTTAATGGCCGTGCGGATCTCGCGGTAGTTGACATTGATCTGGATGGACGGCAAGATTGCCGATGTTGTGGACATAATGATGTGTATAGATAGATGGTAGATGTCAATATGAAATAGTTCAGAAATAAAGATAAAGTATCAAACACGAAATATAGGATCCCGGACACGAGAAGAGGCGACAGGTTTTCCTCCGACGCGTCATGCGCGCAATATACCTGATCGGGGAATTTCCCAATGCGGTAAAAATCAAACAAGGGTACAGGTATATGAGCTAATACAGATTAAAATTAGCGTAGTTGAGGTAATCATTAATGTGCTTTTAACAAATAATAAGTTTTAGTTGAGGGTAAAAAATATAGATATAATGATAAAATTAGTCATTGGATACCAGAGGGGTTAAACGTGATTCTCACGCCCTAATATCTTGGGCATAGGTATTTTGATCTCATAATCCAGTCAGGAATTCGCAGCCTGCTCACACGGTCAGCTGGTAAATAGTATCTCACCTGATAATTGGTATCTATATAGACTACGAAGGTATCACTGTTCATACGCTGTACCTCTAAAAAGAGGCTTCATTCCAACCTTGTGCCGCTCTCGGTATTCTACCTCCTCTCAAGAAACACGCTCATGTTAAACTCCCCGCCGGGAACGATCAAGCATTCCCCCTTGGAACCGTATCTCACTCTGACCAAGCCTACCACCTCGTCACCAGATGTCAGATCCTCTTCATACGACGTGGTCAAGGACGAACTGGCCTGAATCGCCTGGATGCTGTTTTCAATGATTTTGATGGTTTTAGCCAGTAGCATGGGGGTCAATGTTTCCGCTTCTCGTCTCTGTTGCTCGCTAAGAGGAAATGTGGCATCTGTCTGAGTGGGTTCGTAGGACCAAGCACAGATAAGCTCACCCTGGACAGTGAAGACCACTGCGCTTCTAAACTGGTGCGACGCGGTGGACGTCACTAGTTTGGTTCGGGAGAGCTGGGCCAAAAGAGAGGAGGATGGCAAGGGCGCTAAATGAGACATAATAACGAATGATGGTGTTGGATAGGATTGACAGTCAATCTCTGTTATTGATATGTAGCTGATGCATATGCCGCTTTAATTTTCAAGATCTGTCTGAGTTTGGCTTGCTCAACTCACGCACCACAGCTACCCCGGGGCTGTCGCCCTGCCAAAACGACAGTTGCGACAAAACGATCTTGTATGGATGTTTGTCAAAGAGGAGTAAAATGCAAAAAGAATTAAGTGGCTGAAAGTAAGCCCGAACCTTGAAGCACGTTTGCCCTCCAGACAAATCTTTAAGATGAGAAATTTCTTTCTACAAGCCCGTGTGGTAAGATCTATGCTGCTTAAATATGTAGCTTAAACTAACTTGTATTGCTAGGCCACAGGAGTCTGAAGTTTGGGTAAAATTACGTATCAATGTTATTATTAGAACTATTCCTGTCTAATGGGTGGCTGAAAAGATACTCCAAAGTCTCAAGTTCGTGTTTACCCTACCTTTGGCTGCATGAAGCGTATAACCGTACTCGTCTCTTCTATACTTGTCTTTTCCAGTTTACCCCAACATGTCTGTCGCTGAATCCCCTTACGTCACCCTCATCTCTTCGGACAACCACCGTTTTATCATCGACCGTGAAGCGGCGATGGTATCATCCACGTTGAAAAACTCCTTCAGCTACGACTTCGAAGAAAACGCCACCAACTCGATCAAGTTGCATGAAATCCACGGGACGCTCTTGGAAAAGGTCGTGGAGTACTTGTACTACAACCTCAAGTACCAGAATAGGGTGGAAGAGGTCCCTGAGTTTAACATTCCGACGTCGATGGCGTTGGAGTTGTTGATGGCTGCCGATTACTTGGATGTGTGAAATGGGAGGACCTAGCCCAGGGTGGTGAAACTGCCGGGTGTTTGGCCAAAGTCCCTCTGGAGGCATAAGCGTGGATCGGTTTCCCTGGAAAAATGTAAGACCGGAAAGAATTACTAATCATTCACATGTGTGGACGGTCTTGGTATTTCTGGCCATTTATAACTGAGTTCCGATGCGGCAAGAGATCAGCTATGCGGATATTACTCTTCGTGGGTCGTCATGTGGCCAGAAGGGGCCAGCCTAAACTTCAAATATTCATGGGAGACTCTGTGCGAGCAATTGAACCTTAATATGTAAAACAGAATCAATCGTTAACGGTCTTATCTGATAGATTTTGCAGAGTAGTTTATACTTTCATAGGAGTGTAAGAGGCGATAGAAGGTGATAAGAGCAATACTGGATTAAATAGATTAGGCTACGCGTCTTTAGAATGACGAGGAACGAAAGGGACACCATGCAACATGCACTAACTGTTACTGATAACATTAAATTCTTCAATATCGATTGATTAAGGTATTACGCCTAGAGGGTGTGTTTAACAAGCGCATATAAGGATACAGGGGGCAGACTCAATAGATAACGGAACTATTGACTAGACACAGGGTTTCGCAAATCAATCTCTTTCACTCGGGAAGAGGCGACCAAGGTGGGGGTTAGCACTGGTTAATAAAGTGCATTGCAGGACGGATTAGTAGCGCCAATTAGCCTTTTGTTAGTGGGAAATATCAAGGAGGATCGAGTATTAACAGGGCCTAATCCTTGGCTCGGCCAAGCTAATAGATTACTCCACGATAAACCAAAGAAATCAGCTCACCCCTAACCATTTATAAGTTGGATTATTATTTGGCAGCTCGTGAGGAATGATAGGATCCGGTGGTACCACTTGTTCGGGGATGAGAAACGTACTGCGAGTTAGATTCATTCTAGAGACGAAAAAAGCGTCTTTAAATTAATAGGGGTAAACCCGAGATTATGATGAAGGTTGTTTAAATCGCGCTCTAAAGGCGGTTATAGAGCAACCGATAACAGCTCTGAGGAGCCTTCGATAATCATACAGGAGCCCCTCACGTCACTAGTCCTGGTAGTCAGGGCCGGTGCCAGATTTATACCACCCAAACCTTATTTCTATTTGATCAACCTCATTCGCCTTTTGCCATAACAATAGTAACACCCAAAGATTACCCCTTAATAGAATTACTACAGATTCTAGTACAGGAAGGGCTCGGTTTAGCCATTATTCTGGTCTTTCCCGTTTAACATTCTCACCCAAAACAATTACGCCATGCCATATCGGGCAACTGTTGCTGTACGAGCCGCGCTCCTGCACGCTGACGACATCGAGGCGGAGACACAGGAGCCGTCACGGGAGGCCTCGAGCCAGATTGCTGTTCTTGCGGGCTTTAAGAGGTGCTACATTTTTCTCCTATATCGCATCTACATTACCTCTATTTCATCTACGCTACCCAGAACCTTTAGATTTACCATGTCTCACATAAAATCTCCGGATATTCCGATTGACCAGTTATCCCTCAATGAGGGCGTGGACTTGCTCCACGACATCCCCCAGGACTCGTCCCCATTGCTCACCCACAGGTACGAACAGTGGAGCTCAATTCTCCTCAAGTACCAGAATTTTGTAGACGGCTACCAGAGCCTTGCAGCACTGACCGTCAAGCATTTGGAGAAGGTGAGCAAGCAGTTGATGCTTGACACGCAGTTGCCCCATTTCGATGACGCCACGCAAATTTCCAGCGTACAGGCGGACCTGAAAGCAAACGCTGCCACCGCAACCACCCATAACCCCACTGCTGTTGAGGATGGCATTCACGGTTTCTTTGAATCCTTAAAGCGGATGACTTCTGAAAATTTGTTGAAAGCTACAGAGTTTGAAAACAACATCCAGACCCAGGTGTTGCCTGAGATCAAGACGCTCATTGTGGACATTGCAAACAAAAAAAAGCAGTATCAGAGCGACGCCAACAAGCAAGCCAAGGAGTTGCAGCGGTTGGTGCTTGCCACCACCAAGGATGTGAGCAAGTTGCAAGAGTCGGTGCGCATGTACGAAGCCTCCCGGACTCAGGCAGTCAAAATCGACTTCCGGTCGGATCCGTACATCGTCAAACGGCTGATCATGCACGACGCCAATATGCAGATCAAGCAGGAAAACGTCAATGTTGAGAATTCTGTTAACGATGAGTTAAATTTTGAGGTATTTGAAAAAAACATCATCGCGACGCTAAAGAAAAATTTCCAGTTGTTAAGTAGCTACAATACGGAGTTTTTCCAGACCACCATGGCTGGCGGTATGACTGCCGCCAACGAGGATTTTGCAGCCATGTCCGACATGTTCGAATGGGGGCGCTTCCAGGAGCACCACCAGAATGAACTCTTGTCGAACAAGGACAACACCCACGCAGGCGCGAACACTAAGAAGAACCTCGATATGGTGGCGTTTGCGAACCAGAACCACGTATCTACCGAGCCCATCTTGGAGGGCTTGTTGCTCCGAAAGGACCGTAATCCCGTCAAGAACATTGGCAAGACTGCGTATATCTCTGGCTACTACGTCATCTCCAAGTCCAAGTACTTGTTTGAGTACAGCTCAAACTCTGAGACTGATGCCTCGCCGCAACCCAATGCCACGTACTTCTTGCCCGACTGTAAGTTGTCGCACTATGTGCCCAAGAAGAGCGAGACGGGCAAGCCTGTGCGCCGGCGCAAGTTTGTGTTGGAAGGCAAGGACTCGACGTCGTTTGTGTCTAGCATCATGGCGCACAAGAAGCTGTTAGTGTTGAAGGCCTCCAACGAAGAGGATATGCTTATCTGGTTCAACATCTTGAGCGAGGCTACTGGCTTGATGATGAGCGCCGAGGAGGAGCGCTCACACGTGGTTCATCCTACCTCTCCTGCTACTGACGCCGTGGGAAATCTCAGCAGCGTGTTGAGCGACTCAACCTCTGCGTCTCCGGTCACACCATAATGTGATCTTTTAATACTATTTTTGTATATGGATTAGTCTAATATTAGTTGTGATATCTGTATGGATAGATTTGTGTATGTGAATCTGAAAAGTGGCTCTGGTGGCATCTATACTATCTGCTTGTTTATTTCTAGGGTCGAGAACTTTGATTTTAGTTAACATAATTAGCTATATAAATATTAACTGGTAGTTAAACGCAGCTATATATCTTTGTATATCTATAATTTTCACTATTTGTAATATATAATATAGAAAGAACTAAACCTGAGTTTTTAAATTAAAGAGACATTAACTGCCAGTTTATCTATTAATCCAATTTCTATAAATAGAAATATTGTGATACAATGAAAAATATGTTTTTATGCAAGATGTTATATCGTTCACAAATATCACTAACATATGTATATACATATACACCTGTAATTAAATATAAACATAAAATATAATATACAACACGTAGGCTCATTACATCAGGCCATGCCTTCTACCGATTTGAATTCAAACTCGAGTTCCGGGTCTGCGTAGCGCGCCGTGTCAACGGCACCAAACACCCATACCATTTTTTCTCGCACACCCATAGAGAGAAATACCTTCCACCTTTAACCGTAGTGAATTAGTATCAGACTAACTTCGAAAGGAGCTGAATAAACGCATGGAGCTAACCTAAATATGAATATTTTAGGGTCCATCCCTTATATTACCAGCCATGCACAACACCTCGGACCGCGGAAGCCGCGGCTAAGTACATACGCCAACGGAGATGCCCGACCACCCCAACACACAGCACAAAATTCATTGCTAAAAATCTCTTCTTCCACGCTAAGTGATCGAAATTTACGGTAAATATTCGTCAATAACAGCAACAATGCGCGTTCCTTAGTTATTTGAAAATAAAATCTAAGCGTAGGCTGAAGAAAAATCAATGTAACGAATACTTAAACCTGCCTTATTGCCATGGACATCCCCGAGTACGCGGCGTTACAAACAGCAAAACTTAAGGTTCAGGAGACGTTCAAGAACGATTTGCGGGGAACCTCCTGACTCTCGCATTCCATCCATCCGACCTTTCACTTCGCCGCCAAGTATAAATAGTCTGTATCCTGGAACCAATTCTTGCACCTTCCCCAACCTATACTTTTACGCTTGTCCCGGACGAAAATTTCACCTGCATAATCTTCAGCGAGCCTAGTATTCAGATCCTTCTCGCAACAAAGCATTCCAACTCATTCCAACGCATTAAACACATTCCATGTCTCGAGTTATTGCATCCGACCACGTACTCATTGGGAGCGAAATTGTCCCAGCGACAGTTATTTTTTCGGTGGAATCGGGAAAGATCCTCAACATCTACAAGGAGGTGCTTTCCTTAGATTCCCCCGTCTTGAGCAGATACGATGTGGCCGAGTTCCGCGACGTTTCCCCGTTGCATGTGCTCCCGGGGTTGGTGGATGCCCATGTGCACTTGAACGAGCCCGGTAGAACCGAATGGGAGGGGTTTGCCACGGGTACAAAAGCTGCGGCAGCTGGCGGGGTCACCACCGTGGTTGACATGCCGTTAAACGCGATTCCGCCGACAACGACGCTCGAAAACTTCCACATCAAGCTTGAGGCAGCCAAAGGCCAGACCTGGGTGGATGTGGGGTTCTGGGGCGGGTTAGTTCCAGATAACCTCGAGGACTTGGTTCCGTTGATCCAGGCGGGCGTGCGAGGGTTCAAGTCGTTCTTGATTGAGAGTGGGGTCGACGAGTTCCCCGCAATCTCCCTCGCACATATTTCTGCAGCGATGGAAAAGGTTGCAGACTACAAGACTTTGCTCATGTTCCACGCGGAAATGGAGCCTGCCGAACCTGTTGCGGCGAACGCCACAGACCCAACCCTCTACTCGACCTTCCTCGAGTCTAGACCCGATTCGTTTGAAACCACAGCCATTGCAGGGATCATTGGGTGCGCCGCCAAGAACCCTACCGTGCCGCTCCATATTGTCCATTTGGCGACCCACGAGGCGGTGCCGATGATTGTCCGGGCGCAGCAGCAGGGCTTGAAGGTCAGTGCCGAAACGTGTTTCCACTACCTTTCTTTGAGCGCTGAGACCATCCCAAACTGCTCCACGCACTTCAAGTGTTGTCCACCTATCAGAACCGAGGGCAATAAGCAGTTGCTCTGGAAGGCGTTGCGCGACGGCGTCATCCAGACGGTGGTGAGCGACCATTCACCTTGCACGCCAGAGTTGAAGGGCTTGGAAAGAGGTGATTTCATGGAGGCCTGGGGCGGGATTGCCTCTGTAGGGTTGGGATTGCCGATTATGTACACCGAAGGACTCAAGTTGTCTCCTCCTGTTTCGCTCGTGGAGATTCTGCGGTGGACCTCGACCAACACCGCCAAACAGGTTGGGTTGGGCCACCGTAAGGGCCAGATCAGCGTGGGCTACGACGCGGATTTGGCGATTTTTGATCCAGCCGCCAGTCATAAGGTGGAGAACGCCAGAACCTTCTTCAAGAACAAGTTGACCGCCTACGACGGACTCGATTTACAGGGCAGGGTCACTGAGACGATTGTCAGAGGAAACACTGTATTTACTCTCGCTGACGGCCATTCTAAGACTGCCTTGGGAGGTTTGATCTTGGAGCCAAGAGTGGACTAGAAGGTACAACCAGGAATAGTGATTTTATGCATTGTAAGCGGGTTGAATGGAAAATGTGCTCGGTTCCTGGATATTGACGTACGGTTATATGTAACTTGGAATGGATAGACAGGAATAGGGCCAAATCGATCCAATGGTGACCTACTTTCTAACGGACCACAAATCAACAGTGTTGCATACTGATTTTCTGTGTAGAAATATATCTCATTGACGTTACAGTATCGTACACGGAAGCCACTGGCCACCTTTTGAGAACCCCCCCTCGTCCATACCGCTCAATTTACCTTTATTTTTTATTCATAATTCAAAAATAAGTTATACAACGGGATTCCTATTTATATAAACCAGCCTTTGCATCCTTCCGCTTCACGCATTCCCGATCGGTAAGCCCTGAGCCATTTTTCCTGACAGGATCGACCTGTAGCTAAGTCTAAATCTGTAGCCCTATTCCATACTTCCTCCTCTTATTGCCCCGTCCACATACACCCCACACATACGATTATTCACATCATGCATTCGTGGAAGAGAGGGTTGCGCCACCCTCCCCTTAAATTCCACACAATAAGACTCAAGAGCGACGCTAAACGAGAGATTCCGGTGATCAACCGTCCAAAGAGTCCGTTCAGATACAACTCCACCAAGCCGCTCTACGAGCCAAACTTCCGGCCGGCATTATACCGTGACGTCACAGAGAAACTCATACCCAAAAAACCAAAGTTACCCTCGCCATGGGAAGTGACATACTCCGTTAAGCCCGACCGGAAGACGCCAAAGTCATACGTCCAAGATGAGCTGCCGACTCCCGGACCTCCGGTGTTTTCCGCACCGCAGCCGCCTTCGAACACAGATCGTGAGCGGATGTTGCAATTCATCTTGCAAAGTCCACTTCGGGTGCTCAACACCCCAGTTCCCTCTGCTGTCCCGGCAGCCGAGGAGCCAGCCATATGGAACGAGGAGGAAAAGATTGTGTTGCCAACGGACGGGATTTCCACTGAGAGGGTGTATATGACACCAGAAGTGATTGAGTTCATCCCGTGGCTCGATGGCCAGTGGCTCAAGCACCTCTTGTCGCAGCACGGAGGCCCGAAAACTCGCATCAAGCTCAGCCCGAGATGCTGGTTTATCACGGAAGCGGACCAGCATGTGCTTAAAAACGTGCTCTGGGCCATATCGGAGAGACAAGCATATATCAAGACGCATTCCTTGTATATTAATCTCAAATCACAAGAGGAGCTAGACCGACTCACAGGCGATAAGATCCAACTTCACACGTTATACCCGTTGAGCCGGATCCTCGAGGGTGTACCTCAGAGCCACTACGCCTTTACCGTGAGAGAGACGTCGCGGAAAAAGTCCTATCTGGGTTACAAACTCACGCTTCAAGTTTGTTCCTATGACGGCTCTGACACGCGCAAGTTTGAGAAACAGATCCGGCTGATGCTTGCAAAACATGAGTTAGAGCTGGTATTGAGGCATGGAAAAAAGAAGATTTACATCTAGGAGTTAACATAGCATAGAAATGGTTTAGGATTCGAATAAGTCAATAGAAAGGTTCTCGGACATGGTAGGATCTAGAAGGGAGGCAAGAAAGGAGGTATTGATTTGTGGAGTATCCTGAATACCAAAAACGTGTACAAAGTACAACCAATTAAAAAAAGCATAGACGTGGCCACCAAAATTTTTAGACCGAGTTCACAGCGAGGAATGTATAGCGTGGGGGTGTAAGAACTAATCCGCCAGGATTGGGAACTAGAAGGCGGGGTGGGTAAAGGCTAGAAAGTAGAGCCAACGAGTTTGAAAGGATCAAAACAGGTTGAACCATCAACTACAAAAGCTTTTTTTAGAATATTTACATCACGAAAGATATAACTCACTTTTAACTAGGATGGAAAGCCTCTATTTAGTGTTTTAATAAGAAAAATAAATCAAAATATATGTAACGAAACACAACAATCCTGCTGAAACATAAGGTAGCAAATCTAAATATTAACATGTGCCAGTACACTCTAAGCTCAGCTACTGGATCACATTCCCAATCATGACAGCTGTGTTCGATACTCCTTCCTTCAGAATTCAGTCTTTAGAACTCCTTCCTAACTCAGACACTTAAATAGAAGTATCTCCAAGCACCAAACCCTATATGCAACCCCATCGTGCTATAAATCACACCCTGCGTAAATATCAGCCCTAACTGCATTACGTGAATTTTCTCCGACGCTCGATGCGCTTCCACGCGGGTCAAAATAAAAATACGTCGCAAATTGATCTCACCAGATATCCTCAACGACCCCCATACACAATGGCAGCTACTCCGTCTAACGCCACGTTCAAAAACAAAGAGAAGCCGCAAGAGGTCCGCAAGGGCAACATCTTGGCTGCGCGCGCGGTGGCGGATGCCATCAGAACCTCGCTCGGCCCGAAGGGCATGGATAAGATGATCAAGATGGCGAATGGCCAGGTGATTATCTCCAACGATGGACACACCATCTTGAAGCACATGGCCCTTTTGCACCCGGCAGCCAAGATGCTTGTGGACGTTTCTGCCGCGCAAGACGTCGAGGCTGGTGACGGGACCACTACGGTGGCGATCCTTACGGGCGCCTTGTTGGGCGCTGCGGAGAAATTGTTGAAGAAGGGGATCCATCCTACAATCATCGCCGAGTCGTTTCAGCGTGCCGCCAGACGTTCCGTCGAGATCTTGTTAGACATGTCACACATGATTTCGTTGAGTGACCGTGACGCGTTGATCCGCGCCGCCTCTACGTCTTTGTCTTCTAAGATCGTGTCGCAACATTCCGGTTCGTTGGCGCCGTTGGCCGTGGATTCGGTCTTGAAGGTTGTGAACGAGGATGCCACCAACGTTGACTTGAACGACATCCGCTTGATCAAGAAGGTCGGTGGGACTATCGACGACACTGAGTTGGTTGACGGCGTGGTTTTGACCCAGAACGTTGTCAAGAACGCCGGCGGCCCCACCAGAGTTGAAAAGGCAAAGATTGGCTTGATTCAGTTCCAGTTATCACCGCCAAAGCCGGACATGGAGAACAATGTGGTTGTGAACGATTACAGACAGATGGACAAGATCTTGAAGGAGGAACGTGCCTACTTGTTGAACATCTGCAAGAAGATCAAGAAGGCCAAGTGTAATGTGTTATTGATCCAGAAGTCGATTCTCCGTGACGCTGTCAATGATCTTTCGTTGCACTTCTTGTCCAAGTTGAATATCCTTGTCATCAAGGATATTGAAAGAGAGGAGATCGAGTTCATTGCCAAGTCTACCGGGTGCAAGCCCATCGCTGATATCGACTCCTTCACCGAAGATCGATTGGGGACTGCCGACTGCATCGAAGAGGTTGAATCCTCTGGCTCCAAGATTGTCAAGATTACTGGCATCCACAAGTCCTCCACCTCCAAGCCGACGGTGTCTGTTGTCGTGCGCGGTGCTAACAACTTGGTATTGGATGAGGCTGACCGGTCGTTGCACGATGCCTTGTGTGTCGTCCGCTGTTTGGTGAAGGAGAAAGCGTTGATTGCCGGTGGCGGTGCCCCTGAAATCGAAATCTCGCGGACCTTGATGAAAGAGGCGCGTGAGTTGATTGGTGGGGAGCAGTTCTGCTGGAACGAGTTTGCCGAGGCGTTGGAGGTTATTCCAACCACGCTTGCGGAGAACGCTGGGTTGAACCCAATCCAGGTCGTCACTGAGTTGAGAAAGAGACACGAGATGGGCGAGCGTGAGGCTGGGATCTCCGTCAGAAGAGCTGGCGCCACCAATACCTACACTGAGCATGTCTTGCAGCCGGTCTTGGTCAGTACCAGTGCCATCACCTTGGCGGCCGAGACCGTCAAGTCTATCTTGAGAATCGACGACATCGCCTTCAGTCGCTAAGCGGGTGATATGTATATTAGACAGCAATAAAAGATTAAATAGAGTTGCAAACAAGCAATATAAGGTTGTGCGGAACAAACTGTAAGGGATAAAAATTGAAGTGATACGGTCGAGGATGGGCCAAAATAGGAGGAAGAGTATAAGTATGAATATGGCACGGAGAGATGAGGAAACATTTACGGGGCTGAATGAAATTACGAAACAGGCGAAGAGAGTCTGATGAAACGCAAATCATGAATTATTAAAGCGCCGGATATCTATAAGAGTAGTTGAAGGGTACTTGACATCAAAATATATACATCCTTCTGTGTATTCCTGCATCTGCTCGGCTTATCTCTTTAAAGCGTCATTCATATCAGGATTCCTTCAACGCTACATCACTCTTTATATAATATTGAATGGATGATTTCCCTTAACTCATTCTGTCCATTATTTCCAATTCCATAAAATAACATTCGTATTTTTACCTGAAATACCAACGCTAGATTATAGCCTTGTCAGAAGTACTCCATATAATTCTGCTCAAGACTTCCTCTCCTATCGAATCTCTTTAAAACAAACTCCATATGTTATATTACAATACTATATGCACAGCTTGAGGGGCAACACCACTTAGCTCGTTGGTGCTACGCACTTACAGTTAATGTCCCCTCGGCGGCTTCTTCATCAACGCCATGGTATTCTCCACCCACCCCATCGCACCACCCTCCATCGCCAACACATCGTACACTGACTTTACATCGTGTTTGTCCTTCTCATACCCGATGATGGCGGCATTGCGGGTGCTCGGAATCCGCAACATCTCGCGCTCCACCTTCCATCCCACTTGTTTCGCCACAGCCTCCACATGGTCCACAAGGGCTGCGTAGGCGGACGAGGAGTTTGTCCCGTTCTTCTGCTGCTCGGCCTTCTGTGCGGTGTCGAGCTTGCGTGGGGGGTACCGGATCCTGGCACCCGATAGCGCGTGCGAGCAGCACGGAATGACCATGAACGGGTAACCCAAAAGCGGAATCCAGCACGTCAACTCGTCCGAATGGTTACCGATGATGAACGTATTCGCCGGATACTCTGCCACGTCTACAGAACTGTTGTTGAGTAAACTGGCCGACGAATAAAACGCCACAGCGGGTACGTTTGTGTTGGGGTCCTGGAACGGCACTTGGAACACTTGGCCGTTATCCGTGACCAGCGGCGCCAATTCTTTGACGGCTGGGTGCGGTCTTACAAGCACCGACGGCACTATTACTTGCTCTTTCAAACAGTTCTGAATGTTTTCCGGGAAGGTTCTCCAGGACTTTCGTGCACGCGCATCCATCCCGATGCCTGTGTAGCCTTCAGAGGCCAAAAGATACACTAAAATCCCGTTCCCGCACCCGAGATCACGGTACTCAAATGAAGTCTTGCCCTCAGGGTAGATCTTCGCCCAGAGTTCCACCAAGAAAGCCGCAATAGCAATATCCTCAAACACGTGTTTCCTAGGATCGGTGGACTCGGCCCAATTTTCCACCAAGTGCAGCGAGTACTTCTTTTTCAACGCGATGTAGCGATCCTGGAAGGCGACCTTGGAGACGACCAAATCGTGGTTTACACGCTTTGCGTATCCATTCTTGACCCCCTTAGAGTGCTTCATCGCCGTCTGCATCAAGTTGTACGCGATTCGGATCGCTCTGGCACCATGTTCAAGCGCTCGCATCGCCGCCACCACAGCGGGGTCCACGTGCCCAAAAGGCAAATAGTGCACCGAGAGACTGCCCTGATGGAAGAGAATTCCTACTGCAGTAACAGGCGGTAAGTAGAACGGAATGTCCTCTTCCCTCTCCACGTGCGGGACATACACAACCAACAAAGAGTCGTCCACATCAGATGCTTGTCGCAACACAAGACATGTCTGGTTAATGATATAGTCTTTAAAGGGGTTGCGTGGAATGATGCGTCTGACCACCTCGGTGTCCATTTCAAACAGCATCGCCACTGGTACCGTGCGGAAAGCCACATCGTCCAAGTTATGCTGAAGCAAAACCTCTCCCTTTTCTGACTGGATGTCCGGCTTTGTGTGTACCAATTCGCTCACAAAGCTGGCGGCAGGATGGTACTTGTTTTCTTTCAAGATATCGGTGCGGAGGATGATGGTGGAGTTGATGTTGGGCTCACGGATTAAGTTGTTCATCGCCGTGAGGAAGTGTGCGGCACCAAACTCCACCGGTGCCTCAAAAATCCCCACCCACTGAGGGCCAAGCACAGATTCCTCCTGAAGGATGTTAGGCACGTCGCTTCGGAACGTCTTTGAGACCATGATGATTGGGTGGAGGTAAAGAGATTATATCTAGATGTTGGTTCATTTTGATATCATACTGCATGTAGCTACAGTTTTTTTTTTCTCAGGGCACATGCAGGAGAGTCATCCGTACTGGAAGGAATACCAACCTGAAAAAGTTTGGGAAAATTGCAGTGATCAATAATTAATGATTGGTCAACACGAAAATTTGTAGCCAGCATTCCAGGCCTGATATAGTATACTCACCAGGGTAGAGCTCAAAAAAGAGTGGCCTAATCTAGTGGATCATTGCAGAAATAGGGGAAACGGAATTCAGTGTGGCACCAACTTAGTGTAGGATAGACTACGCTCTCTCATCTCTGTTGGGATATAAATCAGTATTGATGTACAACATGACATGGAGTATGGAGAAAATAGCCTGTTACGTTTCTTTCGTCATATTTTATTAATATATTTATAGATACTTTAAATCACTACCCTGCTCATTCCATGCACTCCCATCACAGCTCACTCAGTTCTCGCATCGCTCGGTGCAGGAGGGCTGACATAAGCAACTGCCCCATCTGTTCGGCTACACAAGCGTAGATATCAAGCTCCCCTCCCCTTGAACTCATCAGCCTCACAATCTACGCATCAATCATGGCCACATCATCTTCCCAGTTCCAACAGTAAGTACCCCTGCCTTCTAACAGACAGTACTAACAGCGCAGACTCGAAAAATTGGGCGAAGGTACGTACGCGACGGTGTATAAAGGGAGAAACCGCTCCACGGGGACGCTTGTAGCGTTGAAGGAAATCAATTTGGACTCTGAGGAGGGAACCCCGTCGACTGCGATTCGCGAAATCTCGCTCATGAAGGAGTTGAAACATGAGAATATTGTCACCTTGTACGACGTCATTCACACCGAGAACAAGTTGACCTTAGTGTTTGAGTTCATGGACCAGGACTTGAAGAAGTACATGGACACACATGGGCTCCACGGAAGTGGCGCCTTGGACCCAAAGGTTGTCAAGTCTTTCATGTACCAGTTACTCCGTGGGATCCTGTTCTGCCACGACAACCGTGTGTTGCACCGCGACTTGAAACCACAAAATTTGTTGATCAACGCGAAGGGCCAGCTAAAGCTCGGTGATTTCGGGTTGGCACGTGCGTTTGGGATCCCCGTCAACACCTTTTCCAATGAGGTGGTGACCTTGTGGTACAGAGCACCAGATGTGTTGATGGGCTCGCGAAACTACACCACCTCCATCGACATGTGGTCCGCCGGGTGCATCTTGGCCGAGATGTTTACCGGAAAGCCGCTTTTCCCGGGCAACTCTAATGACGACCAGTTGTTGAAGATTTTCCGTCTCATGGGCACCCCCAGTGAGCGCTCATGGCCGGGTATTTCGCAGCTCCCGAACTTTAAGCAAAACTTCAAGGCCTTTCTTCCACAGGATTTGCGTGTGATTATCCCCAACATGGAACCCTTGGCGTTCAACTTGTTGCAGTCGTTGTTGCAGATGAGACCGGAGGCCCGCATCAGCGCTCGACAGGCCTTGCAACATCCGTGGTTTGCCGAGTTTAACCAGCCGATGGTTCCGCAAAACTACCTGCAGCAGCAACAACAACAACAACAGTATTACGAATAGTGACAGGGTGGAAGTGACCGTAACTGGCAGCAAAGCGCACAAAGGCGGTGGGAACGGTACGAACCAGGTGCCAGGATACCCACATAACGTAGAATAGGTTGCACAGAGTGAAATATTAATTAATCAATGTGTATGAACCAGTACGGTAAACCAAGGTGGCGCATCTCACGGATATCTTTGTTGTTAAAGCACCATCAGCGCTACAAATAGTGGTCTGAATAGGCTGCTGTTTGAATATGCTCTATAGATGTATATAAATATAAAGAATCAGCTGAACGAGTCAAGAATTGAGCCTGGAGTTTCCACATGCAGAGCGAACGCGCAGTCAACTATGTCCAATAGGCATCTTGCACGGACCGGCAATGTGCTACGGTACTGAGACACGCTCTTTTATTCCTGGAAGGAATACTCTCGTTCGACTTTGGAAATTCTGGTAGTGTAGTTCTCATACCACTGAGCTTTGCCCTTCCTCTGCGCTTCTAAGTGCTCCGATTCTCGTTTCCATGCCCTGATGTCCTCCAAGGTCTCCCAATATGAAATGGTGATGCCAAACCGAACAGGTGTGTGACCATCTTTGCCGGTGGTGGTTGCTGTATCTCTGACACTTTCGACGCCCAAAAATCCCTTTTGGATGGTGGCGAGCTCAAGCATTCTATCTCCCATAGCGTCGTATTCGGCAACAAGCTGTGGATCGTCCGTCTTCAAGTTGGAGCTGAAAGAAACTGCATAGTATGGGGGCTTCATGGTAGTGATAGGTGTTTTGTTAATGACTATATAGAAGGAATTAGGGGCGTTCTAGGAAGAGAAGTAGCGGGAGAGAGCCACAATCCTGTTAAGTGTGGTAGAAGCATGACTAAGGCCCCTGCATGATTGGCTGTGACTCAGACCGCCATAAACGAGCTAACAGTGTTACGAGGGCGGGGTGATACAGAGGTCTGTGCAGTGTATACAGAAATTACAAAAGGTTTAAAAAGCAGTAACCGGACGCCTATTTTTCTGTTGAGATTCAGGGGTAGATTAAAATAAATATTATAGAAATGGAATAACACTATTGTACCGTCAGGTCTTCTGCAGTTTGGTCAAACTCATCAATCCTCCGATATAGTGTAACGGCTAGCACGGTTCGCTTTCACCGAGCAAACCCGGGTTCGACTCCCGGTATCGGAGTTATTTTTACCATTTTCTTTCTGGATGGACCCCAGGTCAAGGGTGGATTTAAAGTAATACTGCAAGGTTGTGTAAATCAATAGGGACTCCATCTAGACTAACTAACTGGTAAAAGTGAAAACACGCCTCTAAACTAGAAGCAAAGGGTAGAGTATGCTCAAAAGCTGTCTATTGCATTCCGAGCCATGCTAACTTCAACATATCTTTTCACTGGAGGCAAAAAATAATGCGATTTCTGTGGATCGAACACAGGACCTTTAGATCTTCAGTCTAACGCTCTCCCAACTGAGCTAAAGCCGCCAAGAGTTATGAGGAATAAAAGAGTAACTTCCCTTGTCAAAATGAGACAGGGACATAAAAATCCGGTATCATGTAGCACACTTACCAGGACTGCATTCTATACCTTAACTACACTACCCTCCTGTTGGAAAAAAGCGCCACTATCCTAGAATCATCTTTCCATACCTTCAGAGAGAGACCATCTCCAGGAGTTATATTATTAATGATCATTGACTATTTGGAACGATATACAAGCTTAACATACTTAGTTACTATGACTGCAGATTCAAATATAAGCTTCTCTCTAGCCAGATAGCCAATTCTCTTAACTGAGGTTGAGCAGTTAAGTGATTTACCTCCGGGAATATAATGTAGATGAATGTTGTTGAAATCTGTCAGTAGGTAAAGAGGTTTGATATTTGAAGTCACCGCACGTGCTTACGTGTGTCTCAAATATACCATAATCGTCAATATATGAGAGAAACTAATAGTTAATCAAATACCAAGCTATTTTAATTACTGTCTTACTCTATATACCTCCGACATTCTTGTGGAAAATCAACTGCATCGCCATGGTCCCCTCTTTTGAATCACTAATTCATACCCATATGTGTCTCTTACACCTCTTCCCTGTTCATCTAATTCTCTAAACTTACGCGGCAACCTAAGTCCCCGATCACCTTCCTACAACCAGTTATACAAAAGAAGTCGTTATGAAAATACCCCGGAGGACAAACAAACTATACAAAATACAACGGAAATAACCTACTTAGTGGAACCGCCTTCCGACTCATAAACACTCGGGGTGGCACTAGCATAATGGCTACTATCCGTACCGTACACCCCTTCGTCCTCCTCGTCAACATCGTATCGCAATTCTTTGCCAAAGTCGTGGTAACCATCGTTGTTGACATCGTCCTCGGTCAAACGGATCGCCAGAAACAGGTCGCTGGTCTCTGTTTCCTCCAACAGCTCCTCCAACTCGACTTTCATCTCGTCGCAGACCTCATAGCACTCGGATAAGAGGGCGATCAAGGTGCCCTGGCCCTCAGGGATCTGGCCCTTAACCATAAACTTGCCGTCCACGCGGAGATTATCCAAGCTTGCAAGCTTCATCTGGTACGGGTACAATTCGCGGGTGGAGGAAATGCCGCCCATGCGCTTGACCTCCAAGAGGCAGCGTCTGACGGTGGATAGCTGGTTATGAAGCGGCTGTAACGCTTCAGACACCGGCTCGGAGCTCTCGAGCAAAATGTAGATGATGGCGTAGCAACGTCTGAGGAGGTATAAAATGATGGCGTGGCCCTGAATGGTCTTGCTCTTCTTTGCACGCTCCTCTTCGATCTCCTGTAACTGCTTCTGGTAGTAATAGAGGTCCGTCTCGCGCAACGTCCAGCGCCGGGTGACCAATAAGTTCTCCAAAGAGGTTTTGATCGCTACGAGGCGCGCGCAGTCTGTCTGCAACTGCGGGTCGATTGTGTTGTTATGGATTGCCATATCGTCGATCAAGTTATGACAATCATCAAGTAAGCCGTTCATCACCGCTTCACTAGCTTCACCGCCATCCTCAGACACAAACTTTCCAGAATCGTCACGGGTGGCTTCAATCTCTGATAACCGCTGGACGAGCGGCGCGAGTCTGTCCTTATCAGGTTTTTCAGTGGAAGCAAGGCTGTACAAACACTGTCTAAGCTCCACCAAGCTGCCAAACGTCTGCTTCAAGCCGGCAGGGATCTTGTGCGTCTGACGCTCCACCGCTGCAAACTCCGCTTCACAGAGCCGCAACTTTTTGTGCAATAAAGCGTTCTCTTCGTGTAGGTGCTCGCTATCGCGCTGACTACCCATTACAATTTGGCGAATGTCATCCAAGCGGGTTTTAATCGGCGCCAAATCATGCACCGTGTAGATTCCGCTCTCATTGAGGTGCTCGAGCAACCGGTGCACCGTGCACAAAGAGGCGTAGGTGGCGGGGGCCGTATTGACGAGACCTGCCGTCACAAAGCATAAGCTCAACAACTGACATACATCGTCGAAGATTGCATCCACACGATTTACTGACTGGGTGGTTGTACCGCGGAGCGCTGTCAATTCGTTAAGTATACGCAATACCTCCTCGTACTTGGCGTAGATATCATTCTTCTCGATAAACTTCGACCGGTCTTTCTTCAACTGCGATAGGTATGTTCTAATGGCAGAGAGTTGGGTGTAGATTCCCTGTTCATTTTCTGGGATGTGGTTCTGAGGCATCGTGTGTGGTGTGTTTCTGGTGTGAGGAAAGTAAGGAGAATCGGGGTTTAAATCTGGTGATCGCAGGATACGGGTTGCAGGATCGCAGGATTCGGGTTGTACCGGTGGCGCGGAAAAACAAAGGCGGTTATACTTCTAACAATATAATAAGGGACCTGCCTATTGCAACGCCTTGGATTATATGGCCATTATTAGTGATATATATTATTGCAGTTATATTGAGAAATTGAAGGACTCGGTAGTTACAAAGGAAAATCGGTGTATTTTTGTTGCTGCCAGGGTACTGTTACTTAGTCTCTCGGGGAACTTGGCGCGAGCGCTAAGCTTTGTTTAAGTATTCGACAAAAAGCTAATGTGTAGTTTTATTAATCTGAGGAGATTTCTAAGGTATTATAAATTTTCAGAGATTAATGGCTGGTGGCCAGGGAACAACTCCTTTGAAATTCATGCTTAACTGTGCGTTAATTCAACGAGCTGCCGGGAAGCGCAAATTCCTCTGGGAACTAGTATGGCTTCAGCCGGAAGTTAGGAACTGACGGTAAGGCCATCCATAACCCTTCGTATCTGTCATATCAGTCAAACAGGGCTGATTTAGTAACACCAGTGACCAGTGGTATACAGGACTCAGTAAGAAGATACAGTCTAACTAGCTCTCTGCAATCCCGGTTGACGAGAAACGGTAATGGCTTAGAAACGGCAAGGTTAAATAATGTGTATTCTACGGACATTTCAACAAAATGCACTATAACCCTATGTCATTGAAGGCAAAAGCTCAATGTATCATCCCTGTCGATTTTTGATACACGTTAGAGGCACAGGTCGTTATGGAAATACCCTTTCTATACAGCAACCTAGCTGGTACCGTAATGAGGGATATATAACATGCAGAAAACTGCTCCGGTCTACATACAAAGCATGGGATAGGCATTATAAAAATAAATGAGTGTTATTGGCAAAGAAAGCCGGATAGATGTCGTGATGAAGAGGGTACGCTATTCGTCGTCGGGATTGGAAACTCCCAAGATCTTTCTGGAGTAGTCGTCGGCGTCGGCCAAACTGCCCTCGCTGATGCGTCTTCTGCCCAACATGACCGGGTTCATCCGCGGATCCAAATGGGTGTCATACTCGCTGGCGTGGTTTATACTGTTGATGCGGTTCACGCCCTGCTCATCGCCGTAAGAGTTTACTGTGGAGGAGGGGTCTGTGTTGTCTTCGTAGTACCCGCTGGAGGTGCCCCTAGCGGTGCTGGTGTCGCGCTTGAGCATCATTTCGTCCGCAAACGGGTTATCGAGATGCGGAACCACCGAGTTTGGTGGAATCGGCTGGAACGCCTTCTTGTACGCAATCTCCTCCTCTTCCGCCTCTCTCTCCAACTTGTTTTGGTGGTGGCGTCTGACGAAGTAGAGAATGAGTAAGATAATCGCAATGGCAGCTACACCACCGACCGCACCACCGACCGCGGGGCCGACCACAGAGTTTGACTTTGCAGTAGTGGAGCCACCAGTGGCTGCACCTGAGACCGCGGAAGTCACGGTGACAACTTCAGTAGAGCCACCAGGGTTCAGCACCGTTCTCACAATTGTGGTCTTTTCAACAGAAGTAGTATCAGTACTCAGCGGCAGCGGCGTAGGAGTAACCATGGAATCTGTTGGGGATCCATCGGAAGCGGTGGAAGAGGTGGAGGAGGAGGTGGAGGAGGTAGAGGTGGAAGAGGTGGAAGAGGTCGTAGTTGTGCTGGTTGAGGAGGTAAAAGCAGCAGCAGAGTTAGACGACGACGTGGTCAGACCGCCAGAACCTTCGGAATTGGCACTGGAAGCACCGCTGATCACATAGTTGTTCGCCACGGCAAAAACTCCGTACGAGCCAGACCCACCGCACATATTCTGAGGGTAGCCCTGGCATGGGACATTACAGCTGTTAGCAGAGTTGGTATCGCTGGTAATGGAAGGCGCAGAGTTGCCGCAATAGCAGGTCAGGCCGTCGAATAAGGCAAAAAACTTGTAGTTACTGCCAGAGCATTTATTACTGCAATAAGAATCCGATTGGTATGTGTATTTGTTGTTCTCGGTAAATCCGTCCGGGAGGGAGGCGTAACACCCAAGCTCGGTGCTGGCGGATATGAGGTGTGGAAGCGAGAGGAGGAGCCAAACAAGACCCATTATCGATAAGGGGCGAGTGAGACTGCGTGAATGTAGCATTTCTGGTAACTGGCGTTAATAGGGAACGCTGAGCGAATTGTGGCTATAAATAGAAACGATGGGTACCGACGGGTTTTGGTTGTAGCGGTAGCGAATGTTGGTTATTAGCTTTAAGCAACCGTAATAAAACACGTCAAGAAGCGATGAAATAGGCAGATACGGAACGTTGAAAAGAGATTGGTATGGACTTGGAGAAAACGGTTTACAATTACACTGGTTTCCCATTCTGTTTAGTTTCCGCTTTCTTTTTACATTTCTTTTTCAGCGCTGCCGACCGTGCAGGGGGCGCGGATGCGTGCAGGCAGTGTGTTTTCACACTTGCAGATGCTTGCCTGAATTACAAGGTCTAGAATAAGAATATAATGGATGAGAGTTCAGTGTTGATTTAAGGCTTGGCATGAGCGTTGTACAAGGCTTTAGTGAGAATTAAATCCAGATACTAGATGGCAATTGTTGACAAGCAGGCGTTAGTTGTTGAATAATACCCAGGGCGCGTGCGCGTAACGTTTCAGGTTCCTCAGTTACGCACGCCCAGTCGTCTGCTATATGCAGAAGTGGTTCACGGAACATCGGGCTGACCAGCATGTCTAATGGGAGAACGTGGTTGCCTTTCTGGTAGACGCCAAACCTAAAATGTCGTACTACGAGAGCTACTGCGCGTCTATCCTGTCTTGTTTTCCCCTTGCAGCGATGCCATGGATCGATTCAGATTCTAGACTCGCCCGCACAGGATACCGCCACCCGCCCTGGTCCAACGATCATTACGATGCCGTCATGGAGGCATTCACGGGTGACAGCACAAGGGCTTGACATCATGAAAAGGAACCCAGCGTTACAGAACGTTGTGAAAAGAATATTATGGCCTCACTTCTGGCATCTGTGGCACACGACGGTGGCTCATACGAGAGTATAAGCCCATACGCAGTAGTCAGGAGGTGTCCTTTTTCCCCCCACGTGATAGACCAGACTCCGTGATGTGCTTTTATTGCATGTGCAGTCACCCCAGAAACGCGGTTGAGCGTAGACGTAAAAGTCTCGGAATAAGATTCTATTCTTAGACATTATTGTTCGTATCGGGGAACAAGCTGTGTAATCCAAGAGATCAGTAGATGTATGTCAACTATACTCCGTTCAAACTGGCAATGTGCATATACGTCTAGATCCCATATTTAGATCAAAACTCGATTAAAACGGGGAGTCGGAGATACTACCAGGCCAGACACTTAATAGACAAAGTGTCTAGATATCAGGTTTGTGTAGTGGTCAAATTGTGACTTACGCATAACCGAGGAAGCTTGGCCATGACGGTGGCCTTTGGGGGCTTGGCATAAGAAAAGATTAGTCCGCGAATACCCTGTCAGTTCTTAAGGCTCCGTGCAAAAGTATTCCCCAGACTACAGTCCATCGCCGATAAATTTACCAGGAGCTCTTGGGGTGGCCAAACGACCATTATTATAGCTACTTTGCATATTTAAAAAGAAACTTGCATTTTCCAATGAAAATGCAGTAGAACTAGAACCAATCCTCTCGCGTTCAACACTTAGAGAACCTGGGACCGGAAAACACCCTTGGCACCTCTTCTTCCACCGTGCTTCTTACCCCTACAACCAGCCTTGGCATGGACGGCGGAGGTGATAGAGACTTCGGCGCTACGGTAAGCACCGACAGTGGCCTTGCCGACACCATTGGTGGAATTCATGTTTCCTGAAAGCTGGGAGACAATCATACCGAGGATACTGATAACCATCATAAGGTAAATGACGATAGTAGCCTTAGAAGTGGAATTTCTGGCCTTCTGGGTGGCTTCTTTGGAGAACGCTTCCACACCAAGGTCAGCCTGGAGAAGGTATTTCTTTTCCATGTCAAGGTCAGACTGGTAGAGGGGTTTCTTCTCTTCGTCTTCTGGGAAGGCGGCCCCATAGATGTCAACAAGGTATTCTGGCACCTTTTCCTCAAAGGCAATGTCGGCGTCGATAGCATCGATGGCTTCAGCGGTGGCAACTTCCTCGACAGCATCGGAGGTTTCAATGACCGGAGCAACTTTATCAGCTTCGGTACAGGTGTCCGTCTCATAGATGACCTTGTGAGAAACGTCCAAATGGCTTAATGGGACCGTGGCTGTGGAGTTGGACATGCCTCTAGGGATGGGCTTGAGGACAATATGGGATGGCTTAAACATGCACATAAGTCAGAATAGGCAAGAGATCAATGGAAAAATATCTGAGTTGGTGAATAATAAGTAAATATATTCAAGCAGCGCCGGGTAATATGGTGTATGAGGTGCAAGTAGAACTAAAGACGAAACATCGAGGGTTATCAGACGTCAGTAATTTTTGTGATGGGGCGCAATACCGGAGAAAAAAGTCGACATCAACCTCCAGAGATATGGTCCGCGGCTGGTGCGGCGCTCGTAAGTACACGCAAGGCATAAGTGTAACGTGAGAGTTGCATTATGCAAATGGCTTCGAGAAGGCTTCAATGAATTAGTATAAAAGAGATAAGGGTCAAATAAATTGCAATGACCTTAAATAATGATATACAGGAAACATTAAAGTAACGATTTAAGGCTTTCGCTTGGTGGCTACCAGGATTAAAAGGTATGATCCCACTTCAAAAAATCTGGAGACAGTCAGAAAGCCTCTTTTCCATATACAAGCACCCTTTCATATCTAAATATGTCTCTGTTGGTGCATAGTAATGTAGGAAGGATCAGGCCACTGTGGGTAGTAGTTGTTGTCGGTATAGCTAGGAGAAGATACGCTCTTGTCTTCATCTTCAAACGTCCTTTGTTCAAACATCGTACGGTCATCCACATTTTCAATGTTCAGAGATAGGGAAGGTAATGGGATTCCCAGTACTGATGAAATATCCTGTTGAGTAAAGGCCACACCATTCCTTCTTGGGAACTTGTATTTCGGTAGGACATCTTCATTACAATATATGCACCCTGCGCAGTTACTGTAGTGCTGTTGTTCATAGTATGTCGGGGGTTCGGAAGGAATAGTTTTATGAATATACCTGGAAAAGTACGGAAGGTCTTTAATAGTAATGGGGATATTGTCCATGCCATCTGCTGATACCATCGAGAGCGGTACCCCGTCAACATCCCCAGTGTACTCCTCGACTCTATCATTGTTGATGGGGTCGTGTTTTTTCCTTGAAACGAGCCGGTAAAAGCTGAATAGAAACAAACTAAAGATAAAAAGGAGAAATATGATGCGCCCCATTACATTGTAAGCTCTATGAATGACGGGTTTTCCATTTAGATGAGCGGTTTGATTGAGAGGGGTTTGAAGTAAATTGGTGATCGGGATCGTAGGATCTTGTAAACAATATCGTAGAATAGAGTATGGAACCAGAGTAGCATTCGATAAGGTCAAGTGTGGACAGATGGACTGGATGTAACTCTCCAATACTGCCGAATTATCTTCCATAAGCGTTCTAGCTGAGGCGTACTCAGAGATTTGGGTCATTTCTCTGTATTTTTTTATTTAGTAGGGAGAAGAGAAGAAAAAACCTGATTATTACCCACAAAATAGAGTGATAAAAGAAACAGAGTAGATGATTACTGGAATATCCTCTCCGTGGGTATTCAAGATACTCTCAGCTTGAAAAGTGCTTGACTGAATAATTATATATTCTGCTGTAACTGGCTGCAACCAGCCTCTGGATACGCGCTTATTTTTTTTAGTTTTTTTGGGAAAGTTTAAAACATTTAAATTTTATTCTGATGTTCCAAGGTACCACTTTCCAACCAAGCCTACCTGTAACAACTAGGTGGCAACCAAAGTATGCATATCATAATCGCTAGTACTGTAGGTCGACGGAAAATTTCCAGTAAAACATTCCGTGTAGCTGTTTAATGGAGTCAAATCGTCATTGCATAAAAGCTGTTTTTGTAACATATGACTCAAGCTAACAGGAATATCAATATACTCCGTGCAGACGTCTTCTGGGTCTTCGATATTGACATACGTGATGACACCAGATAATTTGTAATACATCCAAATTATCTCCTGCTCCGGTTTGAAATCTTTCAACACTCTTTGTAAAGTGGCCAATTCGTCGAGGGTAATGTTATTCATGACGGGATTACTGCGTGATGGAGGTGACTGCAAAAGAATTTCCAAGAGGTTCACATACGAGGTGGATGATCTCGCCTGGGGAATACGAATGGAGAATTTGGACTTTAACGCTAGGGTATGACCGGGAGCAATAGAACTTTTTTGGTACGATGGAGCTGAGAAAAGCATTCTGTTATATGTAGCTTCCCTTAATAGACCAAAATCAATTTGGGATAACATGTATACCTTACTAGACGTAACCGACGGACGCATCAGTTTTGGAATTTGGGTCGAATTGAAGTTTTGACGGTTGGATGGACTTCCCATTATCAATCCGTGTAAGCTGGATGCCTGGATGTACGTTCTAGTCAACGGGGAAGTATCGCGCTGCGCACGGAAGGAGTTCATTAACATATCGTTTAGATCGAAATTGATGGATGACCTGGAAGGGCGCCAAATATTGCTGAAGAAGGATTTGAGATTATTCCCTTTTTTGGAGCACGCATCGATATTCTTGACAAACATTGCTTCTACTGACAAGTCGTTGCGGAAAACACGGCTTAGGCAGTCCCGTCCCAAGTTGTTTGAGGCTCCAAAAGCAAGAAGAGTGGTTAGCTTCTGAGAAAGCGGGAATTCAAAGGGGATTAGCATAACCAGAGAGCCTTTAGACATGTACGCACGCAAATCCATAAACTCCGAATAGCTCTGAGAGAGTTTGACCGTTTTACCTTGACTGATCGCATTGTCGTAACTATTGGTCATATCCTTGATATCGTTAGAGTAGGTACTGTGACTGCGGCACTTTGATCCCTTGCCATCATCACAAGATTCAAAGTTCGAACAGTAGTCTTCTACCCTGGTTAAAGTGCGCCATTCATTGGAAGGAAACGCAAACTCGCACATGATTTCGCTATTGTATCTTAACTTAACCGCCTGGATAGATTGGAGATGAGCTTCATCAATGCACCTGATGGTTAATATCCCAGAAATTACATCGCTGGTATATGGATCTGCTATCTCCATAAAGATATGGGAGATCTCAGACGGGTATGAGGATACCGGGGGAATATGGTAGGTCTGTGACTTGGACATTTTGAAATTGTACTTAATTGAAGAATGGCTTTAGTATATTTCAGGTTTTTACGTCTGGGGATGGACTTATGTATATAACTATAACCAAAAATTTAGTTACGATTTATTCCCGCTTCGACGGGGCAATTTCTATTTCTTTGTGACTGGCTACTGTTCATGTATGGTATTGATTGCTGGTACGCATAAAAGAACGCGCGGGTCCTTAATATTGCAGCTTTAGATCCGAGCGGCTTATCCTGTACGAAATTTATTTTTGCGCGGGCCATTTCACCCGCAAAGTGCACAGAAAGTTATTACCGCGGGAGTTTCCCGCATGCGGGAAGAGGGAGCTATAGGAGGAAAAACAAAATCCCACCAAACTATCAACATAAGACGTGATTTGTTTTCCTTTTGTACCCAACTGGTATTCGTGACAGATGGGTAACTGCGGGGCAGTGAACGGTGCGAGCTGTCCCGTACTCGTGAAATCTACCTAAAAAGTGTCTCCTTTCCCCACCACACAGTATGGTTTAGTAAAAAAAAAAAAATAAAGTGCAATACGATTTTAATATCCATTAAAGCATGAGTGTAAACGGATTGAGCTTAAAGACAGTCCTTTGTAAATAGAAGCACTCGTGCACCAATGCCAAGAGAAGACTTGGAACGGGGCCATCCCTACATAAACATCTAGTACAACTGCCTGGAATAATTAAAGCTTGAGTCACTTAGTGCACTATTTATGTTACATAATTACCGTTCGCTTAGGGTAACCCCTGTGGCACTGTAAAAAGCTAATATAGTTTTCGCGGTACTGATGGATTTACTCACCTCTCATGCTGCTCTACGGGCAGGATAGCTGATAGCCACATCTGCTCCGTAATATTTCGCACAGAACATCAGTTGAACCAGATAGCCCACAGTGATCAGCCAATATGCCTCCCATACTCTAGTAACTTCACATAGTTAACCTGGCAGGTTTAATCCCAGGCCCTAATTTGGTCACGTCCCTAAGCCAACCATTCAAGCTTCACGAAAGTGTCCGTTATGAGGCCCTCAGGCAGTTATGTATGCGTCTAGAACACCTTGAAAGCTGGATTACCGTAGAGTAGCGTTTATTCCGAATAGATGAACTCATTTGGAAATTATATCTCTTGTAGTTTGGATTTGGATATTTCAGCCTAGGAGTTGTGAACTTTAAACCCCATGTCCTCAGCAAATTTTTGCTCCATTGTTTGTACCTCCACAACGTGGTGTATCGGCACTGAAAATCAACTTTGAACAAGAAAAAACACACTTGGCTTTGAAATAAATCTATCTATACCAACTGGCCATTTCCATATACACAGATCTGTTTCATGGGATGAATTCTAGACACCAGGTGTTGGCTTGAGTTACGCCTAAGCACCTGAAGGGTCCTTGCGCCGCATATTGTGCATTCTTAGAACGTCTAGGCGCAGTGCCAGTTGTCATGTATGACCAATTCAAACTGCGGCTCGCATACAGATTTAGTCAGCTCCCTGATATGGCCATGCCCCTTATCTTTCAACATGGCAATACGTACCCATAGAGGGCCATTTTGTCGTCAAAAAGGTAAAATATAGCCTCTTAGAGTAGTGAAGAATTAAAGTTCCATGGTTTGATGGCTATGCTGCATGTTGACTGTGTAGATTCTGAAGTACATAAACACAGCCGGCTAGTTCATTCACTAGGCTATGCACCTACGTCATTGCAGCTAGTACAAGTGCCAATGCCTAAAAAATTCTGGTCGCTCATAGCCTCATGAAAGTCTTGATTCGACAGGCTTCTGAATATATAAAGGACTTGCACACCGACTTTTCCTTCTGAATCACCACTACTCTTACACATAAACACACAACATGTCTGCAAACGATTTCTATAACCAGGGTAATAATTCCCAATACAACGGCCAATACAACAAGCAACTAGGCCAACAAGGCCAACAGCAGCAGGGCGAGAACGGTGAAAGAGGCTTGATGTCTACCCTCGTTGGTGGTGCTGCCGGTGGCTTTGCTGGTAACAAGCTCGGTGGTAACAATCACTCCAAACTTGGTTCCATTGCTGGCGCCCTCGTGGGTGCCATCGGCGCCAACAAAATCTCAGACAAGTTTGAGAACCACCAGCAACAGCAGCAGTACAACAACGGTGGTTATAATAATGGTGGTTACAATAATGGTGGTTACAACAATGGTGGTTACAATAATGGTGGTTATAATAACGGTGGTTATAATGGTGGTTACAATAATAGTGGTTACAACAATGGTGGTTACAATAACGGTGGTTACGGTGATCCTGGTTGCAACCAAGACGGCCACCACGGCGGTCGTCACGGCGGTCGTCACGGTGATCGTCATAGTCACCACCATGACCACCACCGTCACCACCATGGCTGTTAAGAAATAACAATGACTCGAAAGCTCTTTTAACCTCTATACTAGACAATTGTTTTTACCTCTAACTGGCTCTTATGGCAGTGGCTATGCGTTATTCCTCAATGAATAACTCGTAAACTATGTAACTGGGATTAGAGTTGGGCTAATTAAAGACTTCGATTGATGGAGACGGGTACAAACTTAGGCAACCCTTGTCCCATTAGAATTTCATAGACATTACCAAAAGTCCTAAAGTACCCAGGAACGTCTCCGCATCGGAGGTATATCCATCTAATTATTTTACCTACATACGATCTATCAATGCCTATGGCTAGAACAAGTATTCATTCTTGTATTTTATGAATATTGGCGGGACTGCAGGTTCAGATGTGGAACTCCCGCCGTCCACAGAATATATACCACTCTAAAGTTATCCAACCTTTATCACAATAACCATGTCGATCATTTTTGCATAATTGCTGTTTCTTCTAAATCATTCTAAAATCAAAACATTCGGTAAATCCACTGTTTACTACTCCACTCCACTGTCACGCAACAATGGACTGCTCTCGGTGCTTTCGTCTTGCGCGGCCACGCCCTGCTTCAACAACGACGGCAAGAACTGGTCATGAATGACAACCACTTTATTGAAAATCAAGGTGCCGCACACAAGCACCACAAACCCAAAGGCCTGCAACCAGCTCCACTTTTCCCATTTCAATGCGAGCGACACAAGCCACACCAACAAGGTTCTGGAGGTGTCGACGGTGGAGCGGGAAGTGGACGAGACCTTGTGCGTGATGTTGATGCCACAGAAATTAAAGACCGCAATCGAGAGCATGATGAACAAAGAAGAGACGAGAATTGCAGGACTGGCAAACAAGTCCTTGAACGCAAGTACCATGTTCAACGACGACGTAGAGCCATGCTTGGGCTCGTCACCATACGCAAAAACCCAGTGAAGCACACACATTCCAATAAAGGTGATGAGAGCCCCAAAGGCACCCTCGTAGCCCACAATCAAAACTGGCTCAACGGTGTACCGGGACAAGAAGAACTCTTCAACCACAAACTGGGAGGCCGTGAAGATCTCAGCGACTAAAATGAGCACCATCCCAGCCACAAGCTGTGTCAGTGGAGATAAACCCTTGAGAGAAAACTTTCGAAGGCCACCGCTGGCAACCAAGGCCGCCAAGTCATTCAATTCCTTCTTGGGCTCGTTGCTGCTTCCGGCAATCCCTACGATAGCCACCCCCAATACCACAAGAAATAATGCCGTCCACTCGAGTCTGTTAATGCGGGAGCGAAGGAAAACGACAGAAAACAAGGCTACGAAAAGGATGATGGAGCCTCTGGTCATCTGGTAGATAGACACAGGGATCATAGTGAGCCCGACGTTCATCAAGGTGGTCGCTAGGATGTCACAGCAGGCGGGGATCGCCAAGATTGCTGTCTTTACACCAGAGAGGTGTTGGCGGCCACGCGCATTGGTAGGTTGCTCGACCTGGTGGCGGGTGAAGAGCTTGAGCAAGGCGTACGTGAGCAAGCAGAGCACCTCCCCAAGAAACATCTGGAGCGTCTGTAACACCGGCTGGTCAAAGTAGACGGGGTTCTTAGAGTCACAGTGTGCAACACACTGATTGTCCTGGTACTTCGTAAAAAGCGAGTTGGCAGCGCCGGTGGTAACGGTGCCCACCACAAGTAAGATAATCTGAGCGTTAGATGTGAAGACAGACTTCCGGAAGGGTACGTACAACCAATGAATTGTTGGCCATTTTATTAGTCTTAGAGAGACGCTTTTAATACTATTTGGCTGTGTTGGTAGATTCAAGGACTTTAGTGGGGAAGAAGCGGATTGTTTTACAGATAGTCAAAGAAACCTAGCAGGAATCTCTAGACTGCTTGCATTGGGCAAACTAGAGCCGTTCCGCCAGACGGTCATGCGCGTATGCGGAAGTGCGCCGCAGCGATTGCTAAAGCTTGAGAATGTGTCAAACGGGAGGGGTCTTAGACTGAGCCATGAATGAATTGATAGGCGATTCACCGCTAGCTCAAATGAGAAACTTCATATTGAAGTTCTAAACCATCAGTTATTCGAGAGCACGTATGCATTTTAGGATCCCCAATTCCTTTTTATTTGCTTCCGCTCATTCTTTTGGATGAGCTTATAGTCGTTAGTATTGATTTACGGTGCTGTGAAAAGTTTATCACGGAGCGTCACACAGGGCCATGACACGAGTTTCTGTAGCCGTTTTCTCATTTAGTATAATTTAAGCGAAAAACTAACCAAAATCTAGGAACATAATCAAAAGCACTGTATATTGGTAGCTCCTTACATCCGGAGCGGCGTAATAGCCTGTAGTCCCCCATGGTCTCTTTGGTTTTTATCTCTGGGATGCAGCTCTCTAAAACTTCAATTGATGATTTTTCCAGTTGGACCAATTGCCATCCTCCTCGCCCGATAGATCGTAATCAGAGTCAATCTCGTGCGCCTCAGCTTCGTTATCGGAGTCGAGCCAGCTTCTTTTAGTGCCTGTCGATGCCACATGGCTCTTCGTAACATTGGTCCCGGTTGAAGTACTGGACATAGATACGGTGGCCTGGAATTTTTGAAGCATGGCCAAGGTCTGAAGCTCCCGCAATTCTTTGCCATTCGGCTGATTCAACTTGTAGACCGCGAGTTTCTTACCACTGTCGACGTGGCGAACTTTCCTTGTCCCGGGCTGTTTCCCTTCGTCTTTGTTCCTTAGACTTTCCTTAAGTTTTTCGTATTCCTCGTCAAGTGCTTTCAATCTTTTTTCTTGTTTTGACTCTTCACTTTCTTCGTCGACGGGACTGAATTCAAGAACGTTTTTAACATCAGTTTCGGGAGGCGTTGAAGTGGTTGCTTCTATTTTCAGTTCCTCCATCGTCAGTGCTTCAACCTTCACAGTTTCTTTAGACAACCTTTTGTCGTTGAGCAACTCATGGGCTGATCTCATTTTGAACTTTTTGGTTTTTGGTACCTCCTCTTCATCTTCAAATGATATCACAACTTTGGCCTTTCTGGGCTTTTTTCTGGGTACAACCTCAGTTTTCTTCACTACAACCGGAGCGGCTTCCAAGTCTTCAAAATGTTTCACCAATACCTCGCAACTGGTGATCTTGGTGGGATATAATGGCCTTTCGTTCTCGCCTAGCGCTGCCTCTCCCATTTTAGCCACATTGTAAACCGTGTCTCCCATAACCCTCCCAAAGAGGGTGTTCTTGTTGGATAACTCTGGGGTGGCAGACAAGGTGATGAAGAATTTTGCCTGGGTAAGGTTATTCTCGTCGGCATTCACTAGCCCGACCAAGCCTCGTCTGTTAAATCTCAACCGTGAATGGTATTCATTTCTGAAACTAGAAATGGCCAATGCTGATGGAGGCGAGGCACATTGGATGAGAAACCCTGGGACTACTCTATCAAATGTGGTATTGCAATACGCTCCATTGAGGCAGTTCTGGATGAACGTTCGAGTGGTTTGAGGGCATTCTTTGGCCCATAGCTCGATTTCAACCGGGCCCAGAGTGGTATGCAAGACGACTTTAGCGGTAGTTGGAGGTTCAGCAGCGGAACTCATGCTATTGAGGTACCAGGTATAACGTTTGGGTAAGGCTTTGTGAACTAGTCCCTATCCAATGAAACTATTTTGATGCCCAGGGTCCTGGTACGGAAGAAAAAAAGTGAATGCAGGATGTACAAGGCTGGCACCTGTCTGTTTTAAGACATTTTAATTTGATTCTACATCCGAAATTGCTATTTAGCGAGGGCAGAGAAAACATATAAAAGGATTAAACTCTACCTAGTTTCAAAGAGGAGGAAGAAAGATGGTTAACGTCCTCTCTAACTCTTATATAACTTGTCGGGGCTGAAGTGTTTTGTATAGCTAATTCAGAGTCTGGTATAAGGGCTTTCTAATCATACGAGAATTAAAATGATTATAAATCAGTTGACTCCATAATCGTTTTTATTGAATATTTCCAGACAATTTGTATATCAACTATTGACCAATATGGTATCTAGGTGCAAACATCACCTCACCGAGTTGAAAACCTGGCTGGAGAGATAACCCGCAAAATCAACACATGAACATTAATTCGCCTGCTATCCTATGATTATTATTTTTAAAAGTCGATTAGGCCGCAGGGATCAAGTCTGGAAGCCCTGAGCCAGGTTATCCTCCTCGTCAGTACTGTAAACAGCACTTTCACTTTCCCCTCTGCAAAGAGTCACCTGTGACAGCATGGAAGAATTCAATACCAGAAGTCTGTTAAGTAACGGTTCTTCATTGCAGTACCTTTGTTTGCATCTACTACACGGCTTGAAGAAAGTCAAGTCAAGTCCCGTGTTACCCCCTCTGATGACCTCGGTGGTGATTTGTAATGGTGTCGGGGAGATGCTATCCTTTGTCTCGTCAGAACTACTAACAACCGGCTTCTCGAAGATACGATTGTGGAAAACAATCTTCACTGTCTGAAACAAGTAATACTTTCTGCCAATCCTTGCAAACTGCAAGTTGACAACCGAAACAAGGTGTGTTTTGTCCTCGTTAGACGTATTTGTCCTTGCTGTTTTCACATACCTGAGCCAGGTTTTCTCTCCATGCTGTAAGGTCAAGTCGTAGTCGATCAAGTGGAAACTACATGCCGTGCGCTCTTGGTTAAAGATCACAAACTGCAACTTCCCACATTTCGGAATGTTATACCCGGGAAATTTTTCGATAATCTCGGTGATGGCACTGTTTGGAGCTGCTTCTAAGCCTGTTTTCCTGAGCTTCAGCTCCTGGCGCTCCACAAAATAGCTCTCAAGTGAAACCTCTCCGACGTAAGGCGAATCCTGGATCAACTGCATCGGAATTGGGGTAGTCGCGGTGTCCAAGAACGTGCTATTGGAGTTTTCCCATTTGTAAAACACAGCCTCAAACGGAACCGTAATCTGCTTTTGTTTTTCAAACTTCTTGTACCTTTTATCCTGGACGGTGATTCCGATTTTAACTGTGAAGTGCAAGGGCGTGGAAGGGACGCCGGACATCCTACCACTCAATAGTGACTCCTGGAAAGATCCAACAAGCGAGTTGGAGGACCGCCGACGGGTTCTGGGTATAGGACTGGCCCCCGACTGAAATAGGATAGGATGGCCAGATCTCGGGGATGTGGGGGGTGTGGGCAGTCTCTGGCTAAATGGCTGGCGAAGATGTGCGGGAGACATGTATAACCCTGAGGTTTCGAGTTTTTTGGAGCATGGTTCTTCGTACTTGGGAGTAGAATATTGGCAGCGATAGCATGGCTTGCTTTTCAGTCTGTTTCCATGGGTTTGTTCTGATAGGTAAAGCTCTGACGAATCGATTGATGCTGATAGAGAAGACCGTCTCCGGGGTGTGTAGTTTTCGTTTCTGGATATGGTCATAGTGTCGTGCAACTCTCTTGATAACTTCTTATGTTAAGATCCGTGGATTTTTTTAAATCATGCACTTTTTATTCCCGAATGACCTGTACCACCGGACCGTTTCCTAACAGAATCAGACAATACTTGAAAAAAATGCTGTACCGCAATTCCGATGCATGAAGAGTCATGTGCATGTTATCGCTGGTCATCCATACCGGATACGACACAAACGATGTAGTCACATGTTAAATGCCTCATAATGGAAAGCGACATTATTTCCGCGGCAGCGAATCTGCCACAGTACGTAAGCTTAACTGACATCAAAAAGAAATGTGGGGGTAGCTGAGATAAGTCAGGCCAAGCGGACTTAACCCTTCAATCTTGGTTGCATATAAATGGTATAGATGTGGTAATGCGATGGAAAATAAAATCCAGGCTAACTGCACCGAACCAGTATGTTCCGACCCTTGGATAGATGGCTCCAGAGTTTGCGCTGCGTAATATTTCTTTATAATATTGAACCTCGCTTACATCCACAAAATACTGGGCCTGGAGTGAGACCTAGTAAGGGCTTACAGGAATGACAATGATCTAGAGGCATGGATCGCATATGTATTGAATGTGGCAAGTACAGCTACAAAGACTCCAAATCGGAGATGGTGCTCCATAATTGGTACTCAAACATTCATCCTGCCTAGACTTTACTGGGCGCTGAGAAGCTTATAACGGAATTCTGGCACAATCAGGCTTTGGCCTTCCTGAAGATTGACTGAAAGGTAGGCACTAAGTGTGTTGGTGATGAATATCTATCACACAGATAATAACCGGAAGTTTGGTCATGGATAATCCAGATCAACATTCCCCCGTTGTTGGACAGATAAATTCACTGCCCGTAAAATCCTGCTTGTATTAGTGTGGACACTGTTTAAGTTTCAGTCCACCTTACCCGTGGTATCTGTACTCAACCTGCTTATATACTTATTCATGAATCAGAACTTTACATCATAACTATGCTTGTCTCCGGAATAGTACGTTCTATTCTGTCATTTAACTAACGCAGACCTGAACCAAGAGCTTGTCTAGTAAAACAACTCGGTCATGGAATTTTTTATGCGGAGTTTGGCAGTGCAGTTATCTGCGACACATACCGCTGGATAGCTAAAACAGAGGTTCTCAACACGTGGAATTAACTCTTCCAGAGGTTCAGATAACTTCTTCTTTTTGCTCTTTGTCGCATGCCAGCCCCACTCCTTCTCCTTCTCCTTCCTCGCCTTCCAGTTCCCGATGTTCTTATAGCACCGACCGCAGTACACATGGCCACACTTGGACGCAAACACCCGCTTCGACAACTCGCGGTCCACCTCAGATACGCTCTGTAGCGCCTGGAACGGTGCCTGAGCAGAGTTCTCGGCCTGAAGTCGCAGCAACGAATCATCCTCTCTTGAGGCCCCACTAAACTCTTCAGGGATCCCAGAGCCTATTTCAGTGCCACAGAGGGTACAAATTGGCGTTTTATCGGGCTTCAAACTGTTGCTATATCCCTCCGGAGGGTTGAGAAACTTCTCCTCGAGCCCCGTTCTAACCTTCTTGCCCACCTTTGCCTTGTGGTCCACTCTACCCTGGTTTGCGCGTGCCTCCTCTCTCTCAATCATGCGAAACACGTTCTCGGGTATGGCATCGTCAGTTTGGTGGGCCCCGGCCCAAAAGGCATGAGGGGCACCAAACATCGCCGGAAGGTTAAAGGAGTCAGCGCCAACCTGAAACACCCGACGTCGGAGTACAGACCACTCCGGTTCCTCTCTGTTGACGCGATAGTTCATCCCGAGAAGGTGCATGTTTCGGAACAAGTTGGACTCTTCGTGGATACGGCGACTTCGCCTGGTACGCGGCGGCCGCAGCCCCTCTTCTGGTATAAAAAGCGGCACCACTGGCCTGTGGCGGCCTAACACTCCCCTGCGGATCTGGTTCTGTCTGGCGTGTCGTCTGCGCTGGCTCTCACGCTCCCGTTCTTCCCGACTCAAGATGGTGGTAGTTACCGGAAAGCGAGTACGGCCAAAGGAGCGCGTTCGAACACGATTTTCTGCAAACTCCTGGCTGATGGGAATGTGGTCGTTGTGGGAGGGATATACAAGGGAGTGATCCTCCTCGGCAGGCTCTCTCGCTAATTCAGCTTCCCTGGCCGCCAGCTCCTGTTGTCTTAAGCGCTGCTGCTCCGCGCGAAACTGAAACTGACCATCTGGGGATAGTTCACCCTCTCTGACCACCACTACATCATCATCTGAGTCGTCTGATATGGCAATAGGCACGGTGTGGGTGCTGGTGATCATCAACGATCTCCGCCGCGCAGGACGACTGGAAATCTCCACGAGCTCCACTTCTGCTCCATCGCTTTCATCCGAGAGAATTTCTATGACGTTATCGGGGGGTATGGTGAGTGGCGGTGTTCTTGCCACTGGAGTGCTCCTTTCTGGTAAATGTTCCGGTATCACTGGAGGGACCGTATCTAGGCTCTGGTGGGTTTCTAGGCTCTGTTGAGTATCTAGGCTCTGTTGAGTATCTAGGCTCTGTTGATTATCTGTATCTCTTGCCTTGTCATGGTCGGTAGGGTTCATTGCTGTGAGTTCTGCTTCACCTTGCAATCGTGTTCTTCGATTCGTTTCGTCTATGAGGGACATGGTGCCATCAATCTGTGTAGGGCCCTATATAAACGAGGTGGCAAAGAGAAGAGGGATGTAAAATAGTGGTTCTTGTTATGTGATACACTGATAGGTTGGAACCCAGCTAAAACACTAAACGTGGCCTGTTTGGCTATCTTTGTACCTGTCACACATGCCATCTTTCGGGGTGTTTGCCTCAGATTCCGGTTTGGGGTGTATGACATCACATGTATTTTGGGCATGCACGACTATGACAATGGGGTATGATCTGGACCGCAGATCAATGAAAGAAGCTAGGTTCTCTCAGAAAATAATTTCTGATTCGGGAATGCACTAATGAATAAACCTATATCTCATTAGGGCTCTAAGATACAGTAGGAGTATAACTTTACCGTCCGTAGGGGTCTATTATAAATTTGGGGTGGGTCCCGACCGTCTGTCTCTCACCAGAACCAGATGTGCCTAGGTTAATCCTGATGCATCTGCATCATTTCTAATTATAGTACTCACTTGCAGACTCGAAATACAAACTTTTGGATAAATTTTATGGAAAAGACGAATTTCATCCACTATTTTAGTAATGCCGGTGCTCTTCCAGTGCTTTGTTCCCTACAGGCAGACCGGGGCCTGCGTTCCCAGTAGTCTCTACAGCTCTTGGAAATAATCGTTCTCGGTGTGCAGTACAAGGTCTCTTGGATAGAATAACAGATGTATGGAACAGAAATATGATACATAATGCATATAGTATACACGTATATGGATTAGGGAAAGTGAAAGAAAATGCGAAAGAGATATATAAGCTAGATAACTTAGATACCAGATCTCATGTAACGACCAATAACAATACAATGGTCTCTCTCATATGGTTCCAAGGTCAATTGCTCCATTGGCTTGATACGTTCTTCACGCAACTTCTGGACTTCTCTGGCGAAAACGGTCTCGGCATCGACAGTAGAGTCAATACAGTTGGCCTTGATGGAGATAACAACACCACCCTGGTCCTTCAAGAACAAGTGAGAGTTCAAGGCAATGATACGGGCCTGATCTGGCTGGGCAACATCGGCAAAGACGGCATCAACCATACCAACCAACATTCTGTACTTCTGTGGGTGACGGGCATCCTCAACGATTGGAATCACATTTGGTCTCTTCTTGGCCATACCGATCAATTCTCTACCCGGTCTGTGAGAGAATTCGACGGCGTAGACCAAACCTTCTGGCCCGACAAGATCAGCAACGTGGGAGACGGAGGTACCGGAAGCGGCACCCAAGTACAAGACCTTCTTACCAGGGGCAATGAAGAGCTCGTCCAAACCACCCATGATACCAGCAGCCAACTTGGATCTGAAAGGATTCCAGACACGGTATTCGACCTTGGTTGGTGGGACACCTTCTTCAGTAGATGGCTCTTCGATAGAGATTCTCTTTTCACCATAAACGGACTCACCTGGGGCAATGTTCTTGGTGACTAACAAATCTTCTTTACCTCTGGCAATGAAGACACCGGCATGTCTGTGTGGTTCAATGACAACCTTGGCACCACCACGGGCACCACCACGGGCACCACCTCTGGCACCACCACGGCCACCGAAGCCACCACGGGAACCACCACGGTCACCACCGAAGCCACCACGGGAACCACCACGGCCACCACGGGAACCGCCACGGTCACCACCGAAGCCACCACGGCCACCGAAACCGCCACGGGCACCGCCACGACTACCTGGAGTAAAAGCCATCTTTAAGAATATAGATTTGGATTAAGAATGGAAATGTACAATTGAGGAAATTGTACGTTTATTGATAAAACAAGTTATTGGAGAAACAAGAACAGAGAAAACTATGTCAAGAAATAGAAATGTCTTTATACAAAGGAAATTTTCTCGCTGCATGGCTCAGCAAGGCGAAAAAAAAAAAAAAAGTTTTCGCACAGGTTACCCTGCGCGATCTGGTCAGGGCTGCCTAACCTAAATTTAAGAAAGAGCTCAACGTTTTGGATTAATACTGGCGAGATACGAATATAAAACGTAGATTTTGGAGTATTGTAAGATATAATGGGATTTAGTATTTTTATTTATGTGTATGGTGGCTATCTTTGAATGATTTAGAGTATCATAGGCGGAAAAAAGGGTGAAAAAATCATAGTTATAATTGTTTTTATCTCGTTGGGGGTCTAAACAGGTGATTCAGAGTGAAAAATGAAATTTAAAAAAAGTCTCACTACTTAATTCCGGTGTTTACTAACTGATCCAATTGAAACAAATACGTAGAGTCTCTCAATATTTGGAATTATTGAGGTAAACTAATCATAAAATCTGGGGTCAAGCGATGAGCTTGGTGCGGCTCATGTATGCTCTCCAATTCACACTCCCAATATGTCTCTCCAAGACGAAATTTTGTATGGGCAACGGCAAAATTGCTTTTGCGTTCCTCTGGATAAAGATACAAAATAGCTTGCCTTGCTGGTTTCTCGGCAGCCTGAGGTGTAAAACGGCATTTTAAAAGTATTATATATGTATTTTTTATATGCGGTATAGGGTATTTATTTTATTCGAAGAAACTGAGTCATCTAAAGCGTCAAGTATGCGAAACTAAGTGAAAAATAGTAATTATCTCATTGCATGTAAGCTAAATGGGTATTCTTGACATAGTTATAGATTATCTGCTACAATTTTTACTCAAAATAACTAGTTTATAACTAGAAATTGTATATTTATACCAGCATGGTTAACAATATTTGGAACCAGAGAGTAAAATATGCTTCCAAATCTGGGGTCAACCGATGAGCTTCGTGCGGCTCATGTACTTTTGTAAAAACTTTACATGCTCGGAAATCCCCGGTGAAATGGTCATTTCGGCATTGAATCGCGCAAAGCTCAAAATTTAAGCGCAAAAACATTCAGGAGGCTACGGGTAACGTGGTGGTCCGATATTATACAGTATCAGATACTGACAACCAGTCTGGTACAGGTTTAAATAGTATACTGTTACACCCAAATACCATCCAAAAACTCTCTGCACTGATCGTAGAAACCCGGTGGGTCCGATTACCACTGTTCGAGGACCTCTGGTTCTATATTCAGATTTCGGAACCACAAAGAATCAAGATAGGCCTCATATAAATGTCATGTTAATGATATTTCTATGTTTATTAGGCGATTATCTGGTCTAATAGGATTTCCCCAACACAAACTCATCCACAAACCATTTGTGAAATCTTGAATCGGCTGATAACTCAGGGTGAAAAGACGTCCCCAATTTGTTTCCCTGTCTGACAGCCACGATAAACCCGTTTCTATCCTCGAGCAGCTTTAACACTTGCACCTTGTGGGGATTGCAATACGTGTTTTTAGAGTAAATAATACTGGCCTCGGTATCCCTTTTGTGGATGGCACCGGGTGGGTCTAAAAGCTTACTGACAACAGGTGCTCTGATGAAGGTAGTTGGAAACATATTCACGCCGTCAATAAAGTCTGAAAAGTCCAAGTCAGCGATAAACGAATCCATCTGTCTGCCGAACGCGTTTCTGGTAACCTCAATGTCCATACCTCCAAGGAAATGCTGGCCCTCCTTCCCGTTCACGCACTGCTTGGCCAAAAAGATCAAGCCAGCGCAGGTGCCCCAGACTGGCTTCTCAAGGTTAATGAAGTCCATTAACGGGGATAACATCCCTGTCCTCTCTGCAATTAGCGACATCGCAGTGCTTTCTCCGCCTACAGTATTTGAACGTTAGTATGTTGCTCGGGTATTGGCCTTGATTTGTCACGGAGGTACATACCTGGGATGATAAGGGCATCACATGTAGCCAATTCTTCAGGCGTTTTCACCTGAGGGAAAGAGAAGTGGTATTCTTCATACTGGCCATTCTTGATTGCGTTCGCAAGGTGGCGGATATGTTCGACAAAGGCACCTTGAAGAGCCAATACTCCGATAGTGATATGCTTCAATTCTGTCATTTCTTGCGTTTATTGTGCGTATATCGAGATAATGAAACTGGAAAGAGATAAGTATCACTGAGTGAGATTAAAGAGTTGAGTATCACTGGGTGAGATTGGAAAGAGTTAAGTGTGGCCGAGCCATCCTGGGGTATCGGTGAGATTGAAATGCCAGGCTTCAAGTGTGGGCGATAGCGCCCGATATTTTACGAGCACATGCTTCACCGATCCAGGGAAGCACGTCAGTCACCGTCAGGTGAGTCAGAGATATCTACAAGCTTTTGATTGGAATATGTCATCTCCTGTTCCTTCCCCTCCTCTGGTATCAAAATTTTGTCGAAGAACGGCACTTGCCCCCGAGTATGTCTTATCTAACCGAAAATTATACGGGTCAAAATGCCCTCTTTGGACTTAGATTGGTCTCGTCACGCGCATTTGCGGTAGACGAGGCTATAAATTCAGAGTCAAACTGATTTTGTTATGAGCGAGCAGGACCGAGTCAGCTTGCCTGCACTGTCAAGTCACCTTATGTACGTATGTGCCGGATTTTTAAGTCTCATCCCCCCGTAGATCTTTAACAAGCGGTAAGACATTGCGTCACCGCTGTCCTGCACTTGGAGATTTATCCCCCGGACTTCCCCTCTAAGCGTATATTCTCTGCGGGAATTCTTGCAACACTTTCCAGGTCAGTGACTCGGCGAGGAAACTGACTCTTCCTCTCGTGTATTCTTGGCGAGCACTTACTGACCAATACATTTTAGGGTTATCTAGCCGCTAGCGGGTTCCTCGGGTGGAACAGGGATGACGTGTCGATCAATCTCCACCCAACAGCAGCGCCAAGGTTCTTTCGCCTTTTCTTTCCATCCGAAAGTCGTTCATCGGCGAAATTTGGATAACCATCCACCTTAATTGCTTCAATTACATAAAAGGGACACGCTCCCACAAATGTAGAAAGATTTCAAGTCTCTTAATACAATTAATTTGAATATCTCAACCTCTGCACATAATCTTTTCACAATGTCCCAAAACACTTTCCAAATCAAAGCCGGCTTAGCCCAGATGCTCAAGGGTGGTGTCATCATGGATGTCGTTAACGCCGAACAAGCCAAGATCGCTGAACAAGCTGGTGCTTGTGCCGTGATGGCCTTGGAGAGAATCCCAGCTGATATGAGAAACTCCGGCCAGGTCTGCCGCATGTCCGACCCACAAATGATCAAGGAGATCATGGCCACTGTGTCCATCCCGGTGATGGCTAAGTGCAGAATTGGTCACTTCGTCGAGGCCCAGGTCTTGGAGGCCTTGGAGATTGATTACATTGACGAGTCTGAGGTCTTGACCCAGGCTGACAGACTGCACCACATCAAGAAGGACGTCTTCAAGGTTCCATTCGTCTGCGGGGCGAGAAACTTGGGCGAAGCCTTGAGAAGAATCGCAGAAGGGGCTGCTATGTTGAGAACCAAGGGTGAGGCTGGTACCGGTGACATCTCTGAAGCTGTCAACCACATCAACTTGATCCAGGGCCAGATTGCCCACGCCTTGGCTTTGACTACTGACGAAGAAGTCGAGGCTTACGCCAAGGAATTGAATGTCTCGTTGGTCTTGTTGAAGCAATTGATTGCTGACAAGGGTAAGTTCCCAGTTGTCAATTTTGCTGCTGGTGGTGTTGCCACTCCATCGGACGCGGCTTTGTGTATGCAAATGGGCTGCGATGGTGTCTTTGTCGGTTCTGGTATCTTCAAGTCCAAGAACCCAGCGAAGTTGGCCAAGGCTATTGTCAACGCTGTAACCCACTACAACGATCCAGTGAAGTTATTGGAGTACTCCACTGACTTGGGCGAATTGATGTTTGGTGTCAGCGTCGCCGAGTTGAAGCCAGAGCAGATGTTGTCCACCAGAGGTTACTAGTTACAATCACCTAGAGTTTATATATGCGTATACGATTACAGATATTGTTTTTTTTTTTTGTTAATAAACCCAATTTTTAATTGTGACATGAAACAAAGCGGTGTGCATAATAGTGGTATAATCGGACTAACATGATAGTTTCTATACAAGCATGTGGCAAGAGTAAAAGTATCTACTTATATAGGCCGGGGTGGGTGAAGTGAGTTTGACAGCATGCCGATAACACGAGAGTATTTATTCACACTGAAAACACAGTACTCGCCGATAATCAGCGACATAAATACAAATAGCGCATTTTTTAGTTTCCCGCTTATTTAGCTCTCTGTGCAAAGCTCTTTTTCAAATCGTCACTCGCAACGTCAATAGGCCTTTCCCCGTCGGTATTCACCGCCTCGGTATCGGCGCCCAACTTCACAAGGAGCCGCGCCACATCAGCATGGCCTTCCGCCAAAGCATAGTGCAACGGGGTCCAGCCGTACACGTCCTTGGAGCTCACATTGGCCTTACCCGTTTCCACTATAAGCTGTACGATCTGGACATTGTCAGTGGAAGCGGCTCTGTGCAACGGATACTGACCCCGCTTATCCTTCAAGCGACTGCTAGCACCGGCTCGGATCAACTCCTCGACTACATCCACGTACGCCTTCGCTACGGCGAGATGCAACGCAGTGGTGCCTGTATTGGTAGCCAAATTCACATCCGGCGCTGGCTTGTGCGTCAACAACTGCAAGAGGATATCTAAATTGCCCACCGAAGCAGCGATATGCAAGGGGGTCCAGTCTGAATCGTCAGTAAGCTCGTCAATCTCGATCTCAAACCGCTTATGAGTCTTGCCAGAGCTCTCAACAGAGCCGGATAGCCCCGCCATCGAGATATCAAACGGGTTCAACAACAAGGAAACAATTTCTTCATGGGAGCGCGAAACCGCCCAGTGGAGTGCACTTCTTCCGTCCAAATCACGCTGCAACACTAACTTGGGGTTCTCTGCCAAGAGGCTCCGCACAAGCAACACCTGGTTCGCCTTGGCAGCCTCGTGCAAGGGATAATCTGGGGTCTGGGTTTCTGACATTGGAAATTGCTTTATGTAATGTATGGTAATACACAGTTTAAAGCGTTTTTCAGTAACAATAACACGCTGATAAGGGGGGATTAACCAATAGGATATATTGAGCAATCAGCCCATTCCGGTTGCCTCCGCTTCTCTTGACCCTGGAATGTCGCGGCGTGCGGCTTGCTCATCGCGCCGGGTAACCTCTTTTATTAGATAGCAAAAAGTATTTTCGCTCCGTGCAGGAGTGAAAAATTGTGCATGTGCCTTAAAAAGTTTCCAGAAAACTCTATAGATCAGATTACTTCCTGCCATCCACAATTAAATGAGCGACACCGAAATCAAGCAAGAAATCGAGCAGGAGGTTGCCATCCCTACGCGTGACACCAGAAAGCCATCTACCAAGAGCGATGATGGGTTGGACAGAAAGACGTTGTTCGTGCGGTCTGTGCCGTTCGAGACCACTTCAGAGGAGCTTTCCAGTTTCTTCTCGCTGTTCTGTCCGGTTAAGCACGCAGTGATCGTCAAAGATGAGGCGCAAAAGTCTAGAGGGTTTGGTTTCGTCAGTTTTGGTGAGGAGGAGGACACTTTGATCGCGTTGACCGAGGCAAAGAAGAACAAGTTCAAGGGCAGAATGTTGCGTGTGGACGTGGCCAAGAGAAGAGACCGTAAGGCCGCTACGGACCCAGAGGCTGTGAAGCCAGCCAAGGAGGTTGTGGAAAAGAGAAAAGCCCGGTTAATCATCAGAAACTTGCCATGGTCTGTGCGTTCGCCAGACGACTTGAAGAAGATTTTCGGCAGATACGGTGCTGTTGCCGATGCGTACATTCCGAGAAAGGACGGGGGAAAGATGAGTGGGTTTGGTTTCGTGACGATGAAGAAGGACGTTGCTGCCGAGAGGGCCATCAAGGAGTCTGTGGGATTGAAGATTGCCGGTAGAGAGGTTGCTGTCGATTTTGCCATTGAAAAGTCCAAGTGGGAGACCGCCATTCAGGAGGGCAAGGTTGCCGTTCCAGAGATTGAATCCGAGGAAGAAGAAGAGTCTGAAGCGTCTGACGATGAAGACACTGAAGGGAACTCTGACGAAGACACTTCGGACATGGAAGATTTGGACAAGTTGAATGATATCGAAAACCAGGATGAGGATGTGGAGGAACAACCAGAGCCAGCCAAACCAAAGGAAAACAGACAGGAAGCGTGGTCAATCTTTGTCCGTAACGTGCCATACGACGCCACCCTGGAGAGTTTGGTCGAACACTTTGAGAAGTTTGGTACCGTCAAGTACGCACTTCCAGTCATGGACAGAGAAACCGGGTTGGCCAAGGGCACTGCCTTTGTAGCTTTCAAGGATGAGGATGCCTTCGTAAACTGTCTTGAGAACGCGCCAGCCGGTGCCTCGACCTCGATGTTGATTGCAGATGACGTTTCTCCATTGTATGTCTACGAGGGGCGTATTCTCTCGATAACCTCTACTGTTGATAGAGACTCCGCCTCCCGATTGACACTCAAGAATACCGACAAGAGAAAGGAGTTATTGGGTAAAGCGCCAGGCGCCAAGGACAGGCGTAACTTGTTCTTGTTGAACGAGGGTCGTATTACCGAGAATTCCAAGTTGGCGGAATTGATCTCCGCCACGGACTTGGGTCTTAGAGAAAAGTCCTACAACATGAGAGTGCAGCAGTTGAACAAAAACAACACACTCCACTTATCGTTGACCAGATTGGCCATTAGAAACTTGCCAAGAGCGATGAACAACAGATCCTTGAAGGCGTTGGGGCGCAAGGCGGTGGTCGAGTTCGCTAAGGAGGTCAGAGAGGGCGTCAGACAGACATTGTCCAAGGAGGAAGTCATCCGCTCCACTAAGGCGAAGTACGAGTTCGACGGTACCGATTTCAACCCTAAGAAGCTCACCGAGGCCCAGGCGAAAAAGTCCAAAAAGATGGGTGTGGTGAAACAGGCGGTGGTGATCATGGAAATTAAGGGCTCCGGTGAGGCCGGAAGATCCAGAGGGTACGGTTTCATCGAGTTCAGAGACCATAAGGCCGCATTGATGGGTCTTAGATGGTTGAACGCCCACGAGGTGTCTGCTGAGGAGATTTTGGAGGGCATGTCCGAGGAGGAAACCAAGCTTGCTCAGTTGGAGGGTGTCTCCAAGAGAAGATTAATCGCGGAATTCGCGGTGGAAAATTCCCAAGTCATTAAGAGAAGAAGGGAAAAGGTCTACACGTCTCGTAACACTGGTGCCGCTGGTGCAGAGGCCAAGAGAAAGCGTGAGGAGAGCGAGGGCCAGCATCAGGGCAGAGTCGGGTCCGACAAGAAGTTCAAGAAAGACGACAACAGAGGCAAGAAGACCGGGAAGCACAACAACAAGAGAGGAAACATGAACAAGGGTGCGCCAAAGGGTGCCAGACCAGCCAAGCCAGAGAGTGCCAAGACGGGCATCTCCGAGGAGCAGAAGAAACTCATCGGAATTAAGCGTAAGAGAAAGCAGCAGAAGGGGAAATAAGTCTGAATTCTTGCATTTTCGCCGGACTGGTCGTGTATAATAATAAATTCATCAAATTAAGCGTATGACGGATGTAAAAGACAACTTCGAGGTTTGCCCAGGATGATGTTTCCCCTTGTTAAAGACTGTCGTGGCGACTACCTCGTATTTGTCATCAGATTTGAGCTTCCAACTTAGAACCAAATATATCAACAGTTATAGTTAATGCTTGAAGACAATTTTATTCATCTTCCTGACTGTTTACACCCCCCTCATATTTGTTACTGAAGAAAATCACAATCTCATAGCCGAACTATAATATCCACACTATAAAATTTGAACAGTATTAATATATACAGAACCCCATTCTAACGGTTCTTCTTTGAAATGAGCCCGCGGAACATGTCGAACGAATTTCCATCCGGCTGCAACTCGAACCGCACACCCGTCGCACGGCCTTCCTCGTCCACCTCCTCCGCAAGCAACATGCCCCAGTCGGAACTAATACCAGTAATACGTGCACGCGCACGATGCTCCTCCAAGTTCACCACGTGCCCAGAGTGCAACCACCGCTGGTAGTACAAGTCCAAGAAGGGACGGAACCCGAAGCGCAAAAACTCGCGGTACATCGTCTCAAACTGGAACATGTACCCAGCAAGCAACCTTTCCATTCCGTAGGGTGGTAACGGCAGTTCCCCACGAGCTATCCGTACGGAATTCAACGCATCAAGCACGATGTTGAGCGATGTTGTAGGCGCTGCATTCGCAACGTTGATCCCACAGCCAACTACAAGCGTGTAATCGGTTCCGATGACGTTGGCGTTGACCATTGTGCCGCAGATCTTGGCATAGGGGTCTCCAGAGTCGAGGGAAACGGTTTTGCCGACAAACTCAGGCTTGAGGATGTAAACGTCGTTGGGCCATTTGATACGTATGGGCATTTCCGCGTATCCAGTGGAGGGACCGTCGCCCGCGTAGTTCCGCACCGCCTCCACCATTGCAAGTGACGAAACATACTGAATAAACACGACCGGCGACGTCTTAGCCCCCGACAACGGAATTCTAACCACAACCGAACTAGCCAACACCCCCGGAGGGTTAACCCAGACGTTTCCCCCTCTCCCACGCCCTGAAACCTGGGTCGTGCCCGTGATGGTAAACCCATCTGGAAAGAGCTTCAAGAGGTTAAAGTTTTTGTCGAGCATCGTACTGGTGGAAGTAAGCACTTCTCCGTACATAAGCGTCGAGCCAAAGTCACCAACAGAGCCAAATTTCTCCCAGTGGTGGAGCAAGTGCGAGTAATAGGCTTCGAGATTGAAGAAAGGCGTGGATTTGTAGCCTGGAAGGGCGTTTTTGTACACCTGGACCTCTTTAATCGCGGTGTCGGGGTCCTCGTATTCATCTTGTTTGGCAATTTGGGTGAAGGACTCGGAATAGTGAAAACGGAAGGTGTCGTTGGTGCCGAGCACAATTCCGTCGTCCATGCCCACTTCCTCGCGGATTCCATGAAGGAATTTTACCAAAACAGCAGGCTTCGCAGAGGTGAGAAAAAGGGGGGTGAGACGGGGAATGGGGGTGACAGAGTCGTTTACCTTAAGACCGAGCTTTTGGAGGCAGGCATTAAGGAAGAGAGAGTAATTCGACTCGCCCAAGCGAGTTGAAATGCTCGCCAATCGGCACACAGACTCGCGCAGGCAAGCCAGGTCCACCCCACCGTCACTCGACTCACCCTTCATCAACTCCGGAATAAACTCTGGGTGGGAGCCGGTCAACAACGCCAACCCACTGCCCACTTTGCAGAGCACCACCGCTGCCTGGCATGCTCTTGCCGCCGGGCCATCCGAGCTCGCAACGTCCAACTCCTCCGCATACTCAGCGAGTATATCTACCGAATCATACTTATCCGCATCCACAAAGACACCACCACCGTTGTAATAGTTCACACAGTTCTCAACCACCTCAGGAAACGCGGCCTGGTTGACGACCAACTCGGCGGCCCTGGCGCCGCTCTCCGACGCGTAGACAAAGCCCTTGAAGGCAGCACCGCGACAGGTTCCTGGGAAGAAGCCTAACTCGCGAGGCCCACTAACTTCCATCAGGAGGTTACCCACCTCAAACTCGCAGCGCGCCGATCCGAAGTATCCACCAGCACAGAAACCTGCGAAAAGCCCGCCCTGGCGCACATACTTTTTGATTCGCATGGTGCCCGCGCCGTTGAACTCACGGCAGAACGGGAGGTCTGCCCCGCCAGGAAACACCAATAACGCGGTCTTCGCCTCCCAGGGCTCCTTGGTGAGGATTGCAGAGGTGACGCTGATTACCGCATAGTGTGGCGAGAGATGGCGCCTGAGAGACTCCAAGCAGTGTTTGACCGAGTCGGTCGTGGTGCCGGGGCCGGAATAAACGAGTACGTTCATTTTGTCTGAATAGTGATGGATGGTTCGTTTTGGATGGATAAAGGAGATTTTAGCCGCCCATCTAAACATTAATAGAGAAGGAAGGCAGAGGGAGGAGGAGCTGGGGGGTATGGATGATGCACGATTACGAGTCATTGAAAACCGAGAGCAAGTATGCCGGATGTGACTCGAGCTTAATCACCTACCGTTAAGTGTCTAGTTATTTATTTTCATCTTTTTATTCAGTTTCATCATGGTAAAATTTATCTCCATTCATTCAACTCCGTTCTCCCTTTTCACCATATAGCCAATTCAAACAAAGTCGGATTTTTTTGTAAATATGAATATATATATATATGCTTATATAGAAGTAAAATTTGAGCACAAATCAGGTTTACTTGTAACTATAAAATAGTATACCCGCTATATCTCCTTTAACCACTTACCTCATACTTTCTCATACCTGTATTTAAATATTTCCTGAAGTATAGGCTCAATTTCCATAATGGTTTCTTAACTCCTCTTTGTTCGTTTCCCAGATAAGAATTTCATCCTGTATACAACCATTTCACTACAACTGCTGAAAACGCCCGCGGCTATATTAATGCAACTTCCTATCAAACCACTCCACATATCAGGATGTTTCTTTCAGCAGCCTTTTCCCGCTCTGCAGGTTTTAAACTATCTTCCCTCACGGTTTTTGCCAAGGTGCTGCCCAGTGCTGTCGCCATTGGTTGTCGAGGCAGTTTTGCCCGACCGGCGCTTTTGCGTGTCTTGTCACAGTCGCCGCAAAGGCTCAGGAATGAACTGCTCGGCAAAAAAACTCTTGGTGAATCTCTGCCATCAAGGTCTGAGGCTGTCCACAAGTCGCCGTCCCAGCCGGAGATTTTTGCGGAGTTGTCAAAACCAAACCCAGACATTAAAAGAGCAATCTCGGAAAACATTTATACGATTCCCAACATGTTGACCTTCACACGACTCATCTCCGCCCCCGCGGTAGGCTATCTCATCATGACGGAACAACGTTGGGCGGCAATTGGCCTCTTCACCTATTCATGCGTGACTGATTTTGTGGACGGTTACATTGCCAGGAAGTTCAACATGGGCAGCGTGTTAGGATCCATCATGGACCCTATGGCCGATAAGATGTTGATGATGCTCTGCACGCTTTCGCTAGCCAGTGTGGACCAGATTCCGGCATACGTTGCCGCGTTGATTCTCGGGCGCGACGCTATCCTCGGTCTTGCCTTTGTGGTCATCCGTTACGTGTCATTACCGACCCCAAAGACTTTTGCGCGGTACTGGGACTTTAGTTTACCAACCGCCTCAGTACATCCCACCAAGATCTCCAAGTACAACACATTCTTTCAGATGGTGTACATCGGGACGTGTGTAATGAAGCCAGCTGTGTTGCACGTGTTGAGTTCCGAGTACGTCGCTGCGTTCGACACCGGGATGGATGGTTTTGGTGTGTTTGTGGCATCAACCACGGTTTTGAGTGGCTTATCCTACGTGTTTTCGAAGGACACAGTCAGGTTTATCAAGTAGTCTGTATTTAGTATTTATTAGATTGCTCCTCGAGATGTAGATAAAGATTTAGTCATAGCCTTAGGGGATTATCTGTATTGGCAACTTACGAGTCGAAAGAAGACTTGTTGAACCTAGCGCCTTGTTTATTGATCGCGGGTATGAAAGTTCAATAATCAATGTTGATTAAAGGTCATCTACGATAATGTATGAGCGGGAGTCATGGGGTCAATATGACGTAATTTTACGGCCTATACCTAAAGCTTGATGCATTGACGTATTTGGCCAGTCAGGGCTCTTTACTAGATTTTAACGAAAAGTTTAGTATAAATTATCCTTAGCCATAAAGCTATCAAAAAAAAAAAAAAAGCCTAATTCTTCATCATTTGGGAGTATCCCCAGGTACCAGTTACGAGAAATACCGTTGACTAGCCAGCTTGCTTTTACCTTTCTATAATGAGCGGCATCTGCTACCAGTTTATCTCCTTTACCAAAATACATCAACATTATGGACAAGATATATCTACCTAGAAACAGATATATAACCATCCAGTTCATCCTCCTACAAGTCTTAAGACTGGTCAAGAATATTCAGTTCATAATTTCCGTTTATGGTACCTGCTACAGGCTCCATATCATGGCGAGCCATATTCCATTGCTTGATATAACCATGCCATATTCCATAAAATCTTAACCAGATTCATAGAAATATGTAACAGTAAACTTTCCAGGCTTGTGCCACCCAAGGAGCTCAGCTGTCTCGCCATGAGAGAATTCTGACACATGCATAGCATTGAAGGTAAACATTCCTACCAAATACGATACGCTCTTATAATCACGATAGATTTAACCATATGCATTTTTATTCTATATTAACCATAGCATATACACCTATGCGCTCTCAATAAGCCCAGCTCGACTTTGCTTTTTTGTTATACATTATATTTGCTTTGCAAAGCCCCCCTCAACTCCACGTCCATGCTCTCACCAACAAACACCTCCCAGTCGCTTGCAAACATTGCACGATAACCACCAAGAACGCTTGCAAACATCTCGCGCAACTTCGCGCTCGGCTGTTCGTAGAACGCGATCGCCGCGACGAAAACGCCCAACGCACGGCGGTCCTCCGGCGTGGTGATAAAATTTGGATTCACCGCAAGTACCTGACACATACCCTGGAACGCGGAGTCCTTCTCATCGTTCTCAATCAATCCGTCCATGTACTGGCCCCATAACAAGAAGAAGGCGGAAATGTCGGGCGCTAGGGCGCCCGGGGAATGGATCCCCATGCGACCCAAAGTGATTGCCGCATTTTCCAATACCGTTTCTTCGATGTCAAAGGCGGAGGAAAGCAAAGAGATAAGACAACCACACAAGTTGTCGATATACGGCGCAATCGCCTCTGGTGAGGCCTGGAGCGCGATCTCACCAAGCGCCCAGGTGGCGTTGTTGCAGACGGCGCTGGTACCCATCGTGCGACTCGTGATCTCCTCGCCAATAGCGACAATCACCGGTTGCAAGCACGGCGCGACCATCTCGGCGTGGCAGGCGATCGCGAGATCTCCCAAGAGCGCGAACGCGGACTGGCGCACGTCGTTCTCCTCGTCTTCAAAGCAGTGTAAAAGCAATTCCATCAACTTCGCCTCGGATGCCGCCTGCTGGAACAACTCCACGCAGTGGGTGCCCAAGCCCTGGACCAAGCCGTCAATCAAGTCTATCGATGTCACCATAAAGTCCTTGGACAAGGTCGGCACGAGCGGGTTGACGCGATTCTGCTCCTCGAGGCTAATACAGTTGGCGAGGATTGCCACTGCGCGCGCACACACCGGAAGCGCGTACGGTGCGAACACCTCGCCCAAAGACGCGGCTACTGACGACATGCACTCCAACAACGGCCATAACTCCTCGTCCTCATCGTCTAACCTTTGCCACTTGGCAATCAAGTTTGGCAACAACATATCCGCGTAGTTCTTTTCGGTGAGCAAGCTCCCCACCTTCTCCACAAACGTCTGCACAGAATCGTACAAAATGATCATGTTCTTTCGCTGATACACCTCAAAACATTTGGAAAAGTGCACGAGCAACGGCTCCATCAATGGCCGGAGCAACTCAAGTTCACAGGCCTCAATGAAACAGGCAAGAGAACTGCATGCGGCCTGCTGCACAATCTTCTTCTGGTCCAACGCGCAGCTGACTATCGCCTCGAGCGTTGGGATAAAGTAGTTCGCGCACTGGCCGCCCACAGATGCCTCCAGACACACCCACAGCGCGTAGCGACTCAACGTCCAACACGCGATTTGTCTGACGCGCGGCTGCGGTGCGGTCATCCGCTCTACCAAAAATGGCACGAGTTCCGGTAACTGGTCGTGCGCACCGCCCTCTGCTATCGCACCAAACGCGAGAATCGCCGCCTCGCACACCGGCCACTGGTCGGAAACAATCCGGTCTTTCAAGAGCGGTAACGTGCAGTCCAAGACTTGTGCGCAGTAGAGCGACGAAAGGACATCCAAGGTGGCAGCCGCACATTTGCGCAATGTCCATTCGGTGGAGTCCGTGTCATCTTCATCCTCATCCTCATCTTCGCCGTTGGCCTTCGCGACGGTGTGTTCGCGCGTCTTGACGTTCTGTGGTCTGATGTCCTGATCGCGGTCCGCGACCGCCGCATCATCCGCCGCATCAATCGCTGCGAGGTCGATCAATTCGTCTGCGGAGTACACCATCTTGTCGAGCAAGACTGGCAAAATAAGCGGTAACTTGCTCACCACCATCTCTTCGGGCATCTCCGACGTCGATAGGTTCAACAAAAAGTCACACGCCTCCAAGGAAACTTCCTTGTTTTCGTCGTTCACCGAGTGCAAGCAGTAGTTGATGATACCGTCGAGGTGCGGCACCAATTTATCTGCGCGCGTCTCCAAGATGAGCGTGAACGCGGTGCAGATGTTGCGGCGGAGCTCTGCAAATGGGTCTGTCGCGAGGGCAAAGAGCCGTGCGAGGAAAGCATCGAGATGTACGAGGAAGCTCTGGGTGCGTAACTCGATAAACTGGTTGATACAGTGGATAGCGCGCGCACGCACCGGCGCACGTGTCGAGTTGGTGAGCTCCATGAACTTTGGCATCAAGTAGTCCAACGGCCTCTCGCCGTTCAACGGCTTGTTGAGCTTCTGCGCGGAATCCTCGCAGATCTTTGCCAACGCGCCGATTGCGCCCTCCTGCGTCGCCTCTGCCACCCCGCTCGCGCCCGCGGCCAAATCCATGAGCTGGGTCAAAACCTGCGCCCATTGTTCCATCCCGAGACTAAAGAAGAGCGACGTGATCACGTTTCCTGTGATGTTTCTCACGCGTCTGTCGCCGTCCAATAACCCGTTCAAGACCTGCGTTTTCACATACTCTTTAACATGCTCCAGCGTGGCCCTGCCGTAGCTGCTAGTGATCTTGTTTTTGTAGACGGTCCCTGCGGACGCACGGATGGAGGAGTCACCCTGAGAGTCTAGCGCCAAAATGTATAAGAGATACATGTCGACATCCGCCTCCTGTTTCGCCTGGTCGAGCGCCGCGGTGGCCTCTTCTCTCGTAGCGGCATCAACGGAGAGCGTCGCCCCCAAGATGCGTTTTAATTGCTCCAAGGCCTGTGGGTCTGGGTTCCAGGACATGGTGTGTAGTTGTAGTGGGAATATAGTTTTATGTTTCAATCTTCATGAGATGGGGAAATGAGTTTTGATCTTTGACAGCTGAAAACTTTATGCACGGGCCAAAAAAATATTTCTTTTTTTTTCTCGTCCACGAATACACACAGGCTAAATCTTTCGCCGCATAGACATGTGTTTGTGCGCAGTATATAGACCGCTACAAGGATCCGGCCATGTGTTGGCGGCTGCAGAAATCCGGAACGATCGCCCAGTCAGAAACTAGAAGAGCCGCTCCGCTGCAATATGGAAACGACGACTAATTAAGTTTTTAACATATGATACTCGTGGATGGTACGATTGCAACCGTGTGATATATCTTAGGACCGCGAGACTAGTCTTTTTTTCGCGTTATAAAGCTGTTTAAAGCCATGTTGGCTTGATAGCCATTGCAGAGAAACGATCTATTCTAGATCTGTTGAGGGGTGGCTGAAACTAGCTTATAAACGCTTGAATATTAATACACGCATGCGAATTGAGCTTAGGTTAAGTGCCAGAGGTGGCCATTTGATTGTGCATATCTTTACATAATTTTAACTGTCTAAGTTTATGCTGGCACAAAATCCAGTTTTGGCTTACAATAAAGACTGTTTGGACAACGTGACGCTCACCTACAAGTCCGCAGCGGCGGTTTAAGCAAAGCACCAATCGTGGCTGGTTACAACTCGCGAAAGGCATAGGTATACAGATTTATTTTCACATACCAAGTGACTCCAACAATAGCATGCCACCAACCCATAATCATTTACGATATTTCAGCAAGAATAGGAGTAGTCGAGTGCATGCAAAAGGTAGGCCTTAACCGAGCAACGCTTCCAAGTCCTTCATCTTCGTGGCTAACTCATCGAGTTGATCCATCCATGGGTCAAACATCTGGTGGATACCTCCGTGTCTGGACGAGATGGTGCCGCTGGAGCTCAGTCCACCATCGTGGTGTCTCTTGTCCACGGTTATAGACGAAGAAGTGGCTCGAAGGCTACGCTTGGCTGAATGGTCGCTCATCAGCGGATAAGAGGCGTTGTAGCCCTTCACGCGACTCTTGAGATACACTTCGTCGTGTTGATCGACCGCTTCCAGGGTGGATGGAGCGGTGGAGCCCCCGGTGACCAAAGAAGAAGTAGACATCAATTTTTCGCTGGACTCGTTACGCAAGTCATCAAACGATCGGTAGCCATCGTCCGCATCATTCACCGTCGAGATAGATGAGTCATGGTCTGACACAGCAATCGCCGTAGCCGAGCTGGAGGTTCTGTCGTCGGAGCCTGTCTTGCCCAACACACTGGGGTCGAAAAGGGCGGACTCGTCGTTGATCAAGTTGTCCAACATACGCATACTCTCTGACACGCTGCCTCGGTGGCTTCTGCTCTTAGAAGATGAGCGCGAGATCCCGCCGGTAGAAGATAATGAACTGCGTCTCAAGCTAGGTGAGGTGGGCGAGGAGGTTTTTCTTTTGGATTCACTGGAGGCGGATTTGATCTTTCCAGAGCTCCCAGAGCGCGAGTGGGTGCGGTGAGCTTTCTGGAGGGATTTTGGCGTACTGGAGGGCGTCTGGGATATTATAGGGGTGCTGGTAGGCGTGGATTTCTGATCGACTAGCGGTTGGATGGCAGTCTGGAAAAGCGAGGTGTTTTCAGCAGAAGAGGACAGATAGCGGGCCGTTTGTGAGATATGAGGCGTGGAGCCAGCACTTGTCTCCCCCTTCTGTCGTGACGATTTCAAGGAAAAGGAGCGGGTGACGACCGTATCGTCGAGCCGAGTAGGCGAGATATCGCTCTCTATCTCTTCGTTAACTAGAATGGCATCTGCCATGAAGGAAGTTTGAGGTGAGCTGGTGGCCTGGATTTCCGAAGACAATCCAGAACTGGCATCCTGAAGGCTTATAGTCCTGAGATACGACTCAGAGCTTGGTTCCAGAGGCTCTAGACTAGGCACGTGGTCCAAACCCTTGAGCTTCAACTTTTCAGACTCCGGAGGAGGTCTCCTTTGCGGCGAACTAGTGGATAACGGTGGGGTGCTGCTAGAAAATTCAAGTGTGTCATCGTACAACCGTGGTGTCTGGGGGGCATCCTCTGGGGGTGCTGGGGGGCGACGGTGCGAGTCGTCGGCGAGGAAATCGCCAATATTACGACTGTTATCTGGATTAATGTCGATAACCTTTTTGGAAACAGTGGGAGTGGGCTCCGGGACCGGGTAGACCGTTCTTCTAGCGGCACCCAGGATGGGAGAGGCTGGTGTGAGGCTCGTGCGACTCCCAGAAGGAAATCTGGAGTCGTTGTACGATTCCGGTGAGCTCCAGTCGGATGTGTCAGGCGAAAAGGTGCCAATGCTGCTGGTCCCGTCATCACCGCGGTAAGCGTAGGAGCTGCTGTGTGCGCGTGGCGGTTGGCCCAAATCGTCCACCAACGCCATAGTCTGGTTGGCGCGCGCGTACGCGTTGTGCTGGCCGTCCTTCTGGCTTGACTCTGAAATCTTTGACAAATTGGCAATGCTCAACGCTTGTGGTTCCTCCTCGACGTTTCGTAAACCCGAACGGCTCTTGGCTAGAACTAACGGCTGGATGTTCTGGTACGGCTCACTGACCACCTCGCTGTGCGCTTCCTCCTCGTCATTGTATTGGTAATCCTGGAGGAATGTGACCGACTTAGCCTTAAGCCTTGGCTCCTTCTTCTCTGAAACCCCCCTCTGGAACGACGAAGCCAGTTCGACAGTGGTGTCACCCCCGTTCCCGTTCTTGAACGCCGTTTCAATCTCCTCATTCTTCCAGCAGTTCAACCGCGCGAGCCGTTCACCATAGGTTTCCAACACCTCTGCAGGTGCAAATCCAACTTTATTATCGCTAAGACGGCGAACCAACCACCAATAGTTATCCTCGTCGTTGATCAATTTCACGGGCTCGTCGCGCGCGATATTGCAGTGCAGCGGATCGGGACCGGAAAAGTCGTAGAGTGCGTACAACTTGTCGGGATCAAGCTCGCGCGGTGGGCTTCTGGGAGGTGACTGGAGCATGTAATCGTCGGAATCCGACTCAGACTCTTCCAGCGCCATGTCCTCGCTGTCAAGCTCTTCGGGGTCTGTCTGTATCTCTACCTCGTCATCGAGGTACGAGTAGCCATCTACCCGCAAGTCGTCTGCAGGTGTGGTTATGTCGAGGCCAAATGTGGTTCGTCTGGGCGTGGACTCAGGTGAGTCGAGCTGGAGCGAGCGGCGGTTCGCGCGCGGGCTGGCAAGCGCACGTGTGGGATCATTGCGCGCAGGGCTGGCTAACTCATCCACACGACTGTCTCTTTTAAGGCTAGGGTCTGTGCGAATGTCGCTGTTTGCCACGCGCGCACTTGTGTTGCCAGTACTCCCCTCGCTGCCATGGCTCGCGGCACGCTGCTGAATGTGCTGGTGAAGAAGGCTCACACTGTCACTTCGGCTGAGTCTCCGGTTACTCAACGGAGATGGCACCTTTAGCGACACCTGTGGCGGCTGGGGCATCTTTGGCCCCACGCGGTACTGCGATTCACGCTCCTGATACAACTGGTCAGTGTCAAGCGCAAACCCCCGTGTCTCGCTGCTTTGGTGGAGAACCTGGGACATGAGCGACGTCGCCGTGGACGTTCCAGCCTGTGATTGATGACGGTTGTGTATCACTGTGGACTGGTTGGACGATGTGTTGGAGGACAGAGACAGCTTTCGTTCCACCAGTTTTGGGGATACTAAATCGCTAAAGTCCATGAGATCGGTTGGCTATGCAAGGGACGTGAAACGCTGTTGTGCTAAGAAGCTATCTAAATGTATAACGATGATAAATAGCGTTTAGATAATCTGAAAGATCCGGTCAGGATAGATAAAAACAACAAAGCTCAACGTTTCTTGCTATGATACAGCCTAAGGTTTTTTTTTTGGTTTTCTCCTTACGGCCCAAATCTGGCGCGGCGTGTAATTTTTTCTAGGGACACACGCGAAGACGCTGTGCAGTACGAGTACGCGCCTACTGTAGGGGGGGCACAAGAATAAAGAAGCACTCTGCATCTATTATATTTTACTTATTAACTACAAAAGTAAAATCGTTCAATAATCTTATTAATTGGAGGTCGTACAAGTGCGTTCAGCCCTCGGCTTTAGGTACTGGTGCACCAAAGGAGCTCGACAAACCTGAAACATTGCAGACGAAACGCGATGTCCCCTTACACCAAAAAGCAGATTCCACCTGGATACGCCGCATATCGCACGCGCTAAACGAGGGCATAATCTGAGAACTAGGTCGGAGGACAAGGTCGGAGGATAAGACCGAGGGACAGGATCTATAGCTATTTACGACGCTTGTTAGACCTCTCTATAATAGCATTATACTATTATTAACAGGCGAGATTAATCCGTGGAGCTACGCCCTGATATGGATAATCTTGCGAGATCTACACGTGGCATCATGCTTGATTCATGCATAGATTCTCCAACATAGGGCCGATAACACAGTACACATTTCCTGGCCTTTCGTTGTTTTGGGATCTACCTTTAATCACTGTTCATCGGCCAGCCGCGTAAAGTCATGCGTATGGACATAGCTGCAACCGAGCTGGCATTTGTCGCGTCTCCATGCACTGCGCCTGGACGCGAAAAGAACGCGTTCTGTATTACGATCGTTCGGCTACATATATATGACGTAGGACGAGATACTTTCTCATTAGCGAATATACTAAACCGTTTACATGCTGTCAAACGTGTAGCGAGATCTGATAAATATGCTTACACCCGAATCCGTTGGCTTGGAGCCGTATGGACTATTTAGTGGACAATAGCCAAATCCTGAAACGAGCTTTATTGAGGCTCAGCATCGATGAATTCCTGCATGAAGACCCGTTCAGAGTTCCAGATGACGCGCCAAGGTCCTGGTATGCGTGTATCGTGCAAAACCATATCAATAGGGAATATGGTGCGGCTGCTTGGTAGAGACCCGGTGTATCTACCATAGCTCATAACTCTCAGCGCTATGTCATCTTTTGCAGCGGCAATAGACTTAAAAGAGGATGTTCAGTCCATTTCAGGGAGTATTGCTCTGCTGCTTCGCAAGCTCGTGGCTAGTACGTAAACCCCATCTTCAAACCATCGGATAACAAGTGCTAGCTGTGTGCATGGACATTGTGTAAGGAAAAAAAAAAATTCATTATGTTTGGCTTGACCTAGCCCCCACAGGGTATTTTAGTATAGATGCCGAATAAAGTTACACCCCCAGGGTGGATTCTATATCGGATGGTACGAGAAATGGAAAGACTCGCATCGGTAAAAGATAAATTATTACCTGACATTACGTTGAATTAACAAAAGAAAACGATTCCGGCGGGAATCTTATATGAGCTAAACATGAACAGTTCTAAAATGTATAAAAGAGGGGATGTTGGTTAATGTAAACGGACCTCACATATCTTGCCTCCATGAGGGTATGCAACAGGGATACTGGCACGGATAATTTCCTTGCCGTAGATATTCATAGCAATTGATACTATTGGTCTTAATATCAGCGTTAGTATTATTGATAGATATTATTGGTAGCTATTTCCTTATAACTCCTTCTTTTCCACGGACCCATTCTTCTCTTCCTCCTTCTTCAACGCTGCGAGCTTCTTCATCTTGATCTTGACCAAAGCGTTCTGGCCGGTACCCAAAAAGAAGTAGATCACGTTGAAGAAAATGACCCACAACTGAGGAGGAACGTAAGTTTGCGCGAGGAAGGTGACAAGCGGACTGACGATCCAGGATGTTCTCAAAACTGGCAACAAGTTGTTCTTCCAGTTCGTCTTGATTGCCTCTACTGCGTTTTGCAACTTAGCGCCGCAAGTAGTTGCAGTAGGCAGCGCCTTTAAGTTGAGCAAGGCCAAGTAGGCGACAAAACACGCGCCGGAAAGCGGGGTAATGGTAACCAACGAGGTTAAAATTTGCAATAATTTGGCTTTTCCGCTCAACGGAGGCTGGAATATCTTGTTCAAGATGTCATATCCGAAGTGCGAGATCGGGGCGCTGATCGCAAACCCGTAGAGTGCCATGAGCGGCACTTTCACGGTCAAGGTGTGCAAAAACTTCAACGAGCACACCTTTTTCCCGTTATTCTGGATGCTGACCCGCATAGTCTGGAGGTCGCCTGCTAACAAACTGGCAATTTGCTCGTTCAAAGAGACGAGAATGGCGGCGGTTACCGCCTTGGTCAATAAGGGGTTGCTCGCCAACGCTTGCATGTATCTCACGTTAAGTGAGGTGGAGCCTTTGGATCTGGACATTATAGTAGATTTGCAAAAATGGCTATTATATGGACTAAATATAATGGGGAATTGTCTGTTTTTATAAGTTTTCTCGGAAGTTTAAAAGCGAGGGGTGATCCCTGATCATGTTCATATTTTCTCACCCCACATTTTCCAGTACACGCGCGCGGTTCGGCCAAAAGCGAACGCTATCTCTAGGCCCCAGGTCCGTCACCGCTTCTCCGTCACCACCGTCGCGCTTTCCCGGAGACAAACCTTATTCACCGGAAGGAGGGGAACCATTCTCGCGAACGGACACCGGGGCACGTTTCTGGTCATGTGATTCTTCCGGAAAACATGGTATACCTGAAACTGGAAAAGTATGAGCTAACTAAACTCGGGGGCAAGTGATTATTGTCGGGGTACATATAGAAACTACATTTGCGTCCTTTCCAAACTGTGAAAGGGTGAAGAGCGGTCCATAATCTTCCGTTGGAGGGTGGTGCCAAGCATAGTCTTCAAAGGGTTCTTTGCCCTCGGATGTTTGCTCATTACGATAACCAAAATCTCGCGCGCGCCAACTTTCATAATACGCAAAATTCGTATTAATGTGCGAGTTCGGACACTAATAAGTACATATATATATAAACATTGTCAGTTGTTCCGGAAATAGCCCTTAAGGCAAACGTTTGATTTGCCTAGGAGCTTAGTTCCTTTAATCCCACCATTGAAAGTCGAGATTCTTACCCCACGGGTCGCAGATGTATCTCTTTGGATTCTCCTCACCCAAGTGGTACAACGCCTGCAAGTCCTCCTGGGAAAGCTCTGCCAATCGGACGATGCTGGCAATTCTATCGGGATTGGTAGATCTTGGAATGACAACTCTCCCGGAATTGATGTGGTAGGACTGCAACAATTCGTTCTCGTTGACCCCGTACTTCTTCGCCAACTTCTGTACCAATGGCAACTTCGTCACCGGCGCTCCGCTGGAGCCTAAAGGAGAATACGCAGTCACGATGATGTGGTGCTCAGTGCAGTAATCGCACAAGGCTTTCTGAGGCAATTGCGGGTGCAACTCAATCTGGTTCACGGCAGGCACCACATCCACCTGGTCCAATAATTTTTCCAAGAAGGATTGAGAATAGTTGGAAACACCAATAGCTTTGACCAAATCGGTGTGCTTGTAGAGATCTTCAATCTTCTTGTAGGTGGCAATGAAATCTCCCTGTGGGTCCATGAGGATAGTGCCGTCAGCACTGCGGGGAACGCTAGGCTTCCCGTCTTCGTCGCTCTGGAACGCTAAGGGCCAGTGCTGAAGAAACAAGTCTACGTAGTCCAACCCCAAATCCTGCAAGGATTGTTCCAAGGACTTGGCTGGGTTGGAGTGCATGGAGGGCCAGACCTTTGTGGTGATGAACAATTCTTCTCTCGTGACAATTTCCTCGGCAAACAATTCCTCCAAGGCGTAGCCAATATACTTTTCGGTCCCGTAGTACCAGGCAGTGTCAATATGTCTGTATCCGGCCTTCACGGCAGCAATAACCGCTTCCTTGGTCTCAGCATTCTTCTCTGAAGGTGTAGCGGTACCTGTAATGTTAGTACAAAGCTGAGCGGAGGGACTCACTGATACGTACCCAACCCGAGAGCAGGGATCTTGGTGTGGTTGTTCAAGGTGAAGACGACTTCGGTGGCTAATTTAGTCATGGTGTGTAATTTGTTGGTTAACGCAAGAGACTATATAAGATTAGCAGAGAGTCTCTTATTTATAGCGTAGTCTTAAATGGTCACGGAAGAACGTTGAAGCAAGCAACGGGAGGATGCTTGTCCGGTCTGGACTATTGCCATCATGCATGTAACGTGTAGGCCTCGAAAAAGCATACGCTGCAAGAGCAAGCAGATCCGGGGTGATTGTTGGTTCTTTTGTATCCTCAACGTCACGCCGCGTCATAATTTCATTAACCGATGCCACCCTAGTGTATTAACGTGTTTAGCAAGCTTTGGATCCTATAGGGACCCCTAGTTTATTATCACCTTACAGCCTTCTGCCTCAGTTGTTGTGCGATGTTTAGGACTACACTTCCAAGGCCCCCACGTATACCTTCTTTTGTTCATTTACTAGACCTTGGCTTATTCTAGCAGATGTAGATTAAAATAGACTGTTATTCTAAAAAAAAAATAGGAAAAAAAAGGCATAATCTGACGATGATCTCTCTGTCCGAAGAACAGATTTTGACAGCCCGAGGGGTTCTCAGGGGCCGGGCTGAGTTGCCGTGCATTACTGTATCGATCTCGAGAGAAGTCTAAATGTACTTTTGGACTGGTGGGGTTTACGTCACTCCCATAGTAATACGAAAAGGGTCAAATAATCTGATTACTTAATCAGCAAACTGGAGGTATGTATAAGACGTCCGAGCACCAGCGCAACCTTTACTCAAATCCTTCCAGGTGATTTGGTCGTGATGGATAGCTCCCCATCAGCAGAAGCTGAAGTTCTTTTTCAGTGAGATATTTATGAGAAATTGCTGGGGTGCGGCCAATCCACCTCTGCGTGAAACCCTTCCCGTTCACTCCAGAATTGTCTCGGTTTCATACCTGCGAATCAGAAACACTCACCGTAACCTGTAGCTCAAATCAAACCCTCGAATAAACTGACTGAAATCCTTTCAAATTCCGAGCCTCGCTTCCCAATACAAGACACGGCGGCAGTTTACCCGATACGGAATTGATTTCCTGGGCGCTCTTAAGCGCTCCCCAATCGGGCGTTAGCGCCACACACTGCAGGATACCCCATAGTGGCCTCCAATTTTCCGACGATGAGGCCGCTTACCTGAGGTATTTAAACGGGAGGACTCCCCTCAACCGAAGTTTGGCTGTCAACTCAAGAAGCAGTAAAAGAAACCCCAGCTAAATGACTTTTGAGCCAGCTTTCATAAACAAAAACCTCATCCGCTCCCAGGCCTACATCAACGGTCAGTGGGTGAGCTCGCCAAAGACCTACCAGATCACTGATCCCGCCAGCTTGAAGACGATTGCCGTGTTGCCAGACCAGGAGGTTTCTGCTGTGGACGAAGCGGTTGATGCTGCCGCGGTGGCTTTCAAGCAGTTCAAAACCACTTCTCCACGCTACCGTGCGGGGTTGTTGCGCAAGTTGTACGACTTGATGATGGAAAACGCCGAGGATTTGGCACAATTGATCACCTGGGAGAACGGAAAGCACTTGAACGAAGCTAGGGGAGAGGTCAAGTACGCTGCGTCGTACTTTGAATGGTTTGCGGAAGAGGCTCCACGGATGTACGGCCACACTATTTCTCCTGCCAACCCCTCGAACCGCGTGATGACGCGTAAAGAGCCGATCGGGGTCTGTGGGATCATCACCCCGTGGAACTTCCCAGCGGCCATGGGCTGCAGAAAGATTGCCCCAGCACTTGCGGCTGGTTGCACCGTGGTGGTGAAGCCAGATTCCGGCACCGCTTTGTCAACCTTGGCCATTGCGTATCTCGCGGAGCAGGCTGGTTTCCCGGCAGGGACGGTGAATGTGGTTCTTTCCGACACCCAGACGCCGGAATTCGGCTTGCGGTTATGCGAGTCCAAGAAGGTGAAGAAGATCTCCTTTACTGGGTCCACTAATGTGGGGAAGCTCTTGATGAAGCAGTCGTCATCTACTTTGAAGAAGTTGTCGTTTGAGCTCGGAGGAAACGCGCCGGTTATTGTGTTTGACGACGCGAGCTTGGACCATGCGGTGGAACAGGCGGTCGCCTCTAAGTTCCGAGGCTTGGGCCAGACGTGTGTGTGTGCCAACAGAATCTACGTGCAATCCGGGATCTACGATAAGTTCGCCGAGAGATTCGTGAAAACGGTGGCTAACTTCACTGTTGGGCACGGCTTGGACCCTGCGGCTACCCATGGCTGTTTGATCAACGAACGCGCCATTAACAAGGTGGAGGAGCATGTGAAGGATGCAGTTAGTAAGGGTGCCGTGGCGGTTTTGCCTGGTGGCAGAAGACCAGAGTTGGGCTCGCCAAACTTCTACTCCCCGACAGTGTTGACTGGTGTGACCCAGGACATGCAGGTAGCTAACGAAGAGACCTTCGGGCCGCTCGGTGCGTTGATCAAATTTGAAACCGCTGAAGAAGTCATCGAATACGCGAACGGTGTGGACCACGGGTTGGCATCGTATGTATTTTCCGAAAACTACAACACAATCCTCATGGTTAGTGAGGCATTGGAGGCCGGGATGGTCTCGTGTAACACCGGTTTGTTCACCGACTGCGCTATTCCGTTTGGTGGGGTCAAGGAGTCGGGGTTCGGCAGAGAGGGCAGCTTGTACGGGTTGGACGACTACACCACGATCAAAACCATCACCATCGGTAACTTGAGACCATTTGTGTAGCTAGGTCTGATGGGGGTGTTAATGAAATAGTGTTATGGAAAAGATGTAGAATGGAATTTCTCAATACCCTAGATGGTTAAACTTTTTATATGTCTAATTGTTTACTGTGATATAGCACATTTCTGTGTTTCTGCAAGGAATCCCAGTTAAGGACTGTTTGTGCCATAAGGTCCAGGATGGACTATCGAGGGTGCATGTTGAGTTCAGCAGTATTTTTAGCACGTAGAATATGTTTAAGGATCTGCAATCCAGTCTAAGCCGCGTCGGTGCAATTGCCGTCAAATTTCTATGCTGACTAACCCCGTTGGTGCTTGTCAAAGAGCTCACTGATCGGATTACAGGTATGGTCCATCAGTCATCTGTATAAAATGGTGTACGAAGAGAGCGGCGACTGTCTGAATCGATTCAAAGGCATCATTAGGTTTTGCAACTTGAAGCTTTGAAGCTCAGGCCTCCGGATAACGTCGTCATTTGAGCTTCCAGACATGGGAACAAATCTCATCTCACTGATTTGTGGGACTTTCTCTAATATCTAACTTGATAGCTGGAGCTTGACGAAGTTGTCGTATTACGCCTAGAATACTGGAACTAGCCTGACAAAGGCGGGGAAATCATAAAAGGGTTGGGCCTAAGTGCCACACCATACACACATCTGATCAGGCACGTGACTCCTTATTCGCCCAATATCCGACTTCCAGGTTTTACCGGAATGTCTTAGCTCGGCTGACTAATCTTACACCCCGCTGAGCTATTTCGCTCGCCACACAGGTTTGCTTAACACGTACAGAAGTGGTGTATAATGATATTTTAGCACTGACTTAAAGAATTGTAACAAAAGCACTACTTCAGCGTCTCGGCTCGCCGCCTGTTTTACTTGGCATGTGCGGGAATTTTATATAAGGATATTTTACCATGAAACTCAAACCTAGTAAGTGACTACCGGAGTACCTCGGCTGCCTAATTTCACTTCCCCACCCTTGTTGCTTAACACATGCATTTCTCGGCGACGGATTTAAACCTTTTTACTTTTGCCTTTCTGGGGTAATTTGCTATCGCCCCATATATAGCCACCCCCTTCTTCTTTACCCATTGAACGTCCGCATTTCCTATCCTACAAATAATTTATTGTAACTATGTCTATTAAATCCCTTGACCACGACTTCAGCCCCTACACGCCAGTAGAAGCTGTGCCCCAAATCGTTCAGGAGACCCGCGACTTGTTCCGCGCCAACCAGAAAGACCTCCACACAGACTCTAAGCGCTTCTTACAGCAGAGATTGAACAAGTTGAGAGACTTGTACTACGCCATTAATGACCACGAGGATGAAATTATTGCTGCGTTGAAGTCTGACTTTAACCGCTCGCCGGCGGAGACTTTAATGATGGAGGTTGGGTTCCTCAAGGCGGAGATCCTCTACATCATCGACAACTTGCACAAGTGGGTCAGGCCAAAGTCGAATAAGGACATGCCACTTTTATACAAGTCTGCGAGCTGTTCTACCACGTACGCGCCATTAGGCTCGGTGTTGGTTATCGCGCCGTTCAACTTCCCGTTGTTGCTTAGTGTTTCGCCGTTAGTGGGTGCCATTGCTGCTGGTAACACCGTGGTGTTGAAGCCCTCCGAATTGACCCCCCATTTCGCTGACGTGTTGATCAATATCATCGACCGTGCGTTTGGCAGCGGCGCTCAGGCTCTCGTAAGAGTCGTCCACGGTGGCATTCCGGAAACCACCGCGGTCTTGGACCAAAAGTTTGACAAGATCTTGTATACCGGGAACCCGATCGTCGCCAAAATTGTCTCGCGTAAGGCTGCTGAACACTTGACCCCCGTCATTTTGGAGTTAGGGGGAAAGTCACCTGCAATCATCACCGAGAACAACACTGTGGCTGATTTAAAGGTGATTGCCAGAAGAATCTGCTGGGCCAAGTTCTCCAACTCGGGGCAGATCTGTGTGACCGTTGATTACGTCGCGATCCACAAGTCTCTTCACAAGGAGTTTGTCGACATCTTGACGCAGGTCTTGGCGGAAGAGTTCTTCCCGAACTTGACGGCCGAGGATGAAACCTTCACCCACATGATTCACGACAGGGGATTCGATAGACTTGTTAAGACTATTACCTCCTCCTCTGGAGACGTTGTGTTTGGTGGCAAGAGATTCGAGAAGGAGTCCAGATTCATCGAGCCAACCGTAATTGACAACGTCGACTTTAACGATTCTACCATGGTGGAAGAAAACTTCGGCCCAGTTTTACCAATCATTGAGTACGACGACTTACCAACAATCGTGGACAAAATTGTCGCCAGCCACGACGAACCGTTGGCATCTTACATCTTCTCGCAGAAGAATGCCGATGTTCAGTACATTATGGCAAACTTGCGTTCCGGTGGTACTGTGGTGAACGACACAGTTCTTCATGTCGGGCTCTACACCGCTCCGTTTGGTGGGGTAGGTGGCTCCGGACATGGCTCCTACCACGGCTACAGGTCGTTCGTGGCGTTCTCCCACGAAAGAACCACGATGCGCCACGGCTTGTGGGCAGATGCCCTCTGGGGAAGCAGATATCCAAAGAACAGTGGTAACGTCTGGCAGCGGAAGTTGTTTGATGCGACGTTGGTGTGGAAGCCGTGGTTCGGAAGAACCGGCAATGTTTCCGGGATGAGTTGGTTGTACTATATCTTTGGGGGGCTAATGGGGCTCTTCTCTACCATCTATTACGCCTACAAGGGGAAGACCACTTCAAAAAAACTGAGAATTTAAGCTGTCTATGTGAATGAAGGGAAGTTTTATCTCTTCATTTTCTTTGTTGCGGTCGCTTTTTGGCCCCCCTCTTTCTTTTTTTCTGTTTTTTTTT